GAACATTATGAAAGTAAAACCTATCCTTCAAAAGAGGATCCTTTCTGTTCTGTATGTGTGCAGTATAGGGAAAATGTCCCCCTGAATGACCTATTGTGACCTTATAATGACCTTACCTGACATTGGCTGACCAGAGATAAAGTCAGGTCACCTCATTTGGGTCAAATTCCAGTCTTCTTTCAGCATGCCATCTTTATAAATATAATTAATGACTAATGAATTAATGTTCTGATGCACTAGTGTTTACAATGTAAAGAAATGTAATCGGTGTACACGAGACTATCTTTTCCTGAGTTCATTTTTCCCTCTTAAACTAATTTCTTAAAGTTTCCCAAATCCATATAGTACATGTACATAAAAGGGGACAATCCTATATGTGTGTGAGATAGCACAAGTTCAGATGGGTCAGGGGATTATGTAAAGTACAGTAGTACAGATTAGTAGTATGAGAGTTCTGGAGTGATTGACTGAATTACTCAAGGTATGTCCTGGACTAGAATGAGATAAATCAAGAATGTTGACCTGTTCCTTTTTCATCAACGTCACAAAAGTCAGTCGCAAAAGTCGTGGCAGACTGATGACGTAGGGTTCAGATTCCGTGTCAACATTACCCCTCGGCAAATAGATGACAGGGACGTTAAGGGATCACTGAGTATCAATAACAGGGGGGCTTTATAAAAGGCCCTCAATATCCCCCATCTCATATTTAGTGCAGACGACATAAAAACATTGACTACCCTAGTGAAGGAAAGGATGTTTACTTTTTTTTATTGATTCTCATCTCTTCTTTGCATAGAGTATTGAATGGAGGCTTCTATATTATGTTACTGTGATACAATTCCAAGGAAGAATTTGTAATTTGAATTTGTGAACTTTCACTGAAGGAATTGCAAAAACTGTTGATTTAGACACAGGTAATAATGTTTGAAAACCTTATATTTTGAGTGTTATTTGTATCAAGGTCATAGCTACATTTAGAAATGTCTTCCTCTAGCTATTGATATGTGTCATAATGATTGAGAAAAAGGACTCCTTTCGATGTTCTCAGGAAGGAAACACAAAAGTGATTCAACATGAAAAAAATCAGGACACACTTTTATAGTTTGTTGTTAAAATTCTTTGATTTTAGATCATTCATGTTTACTATTTAATTGACATATGGAAGAAACTTGGTCATTAATTAGTGTAATTAAAATATAAATGGCCTATAGAATAAGTGCTTCCATTCAGATTAATAATTCTATTCACAAGGGGGTCATTAAAAGCTTGAAGGCGAAGAATGACCTTGAGCTAGGGTACAAAACTACATGGCAAAATATAGCACAATTCGTAAATGCAGGTTGAATTGGCGCTATTTTCGTTCAAGCAATAAACTTGAGAGTTAGTTTGATTATGGATGGAATGATACAGCTCTATATGATCAGACAGAGATTTACCTGGGAATAGAAAACTGTAGGCATAGAACACCAGACACACCATGATGAATTGATATATAATCACCGTTGAATATATATAATTATGTATAAATACAAATTATTTGACAGTCGTCGTCATCAAAAGATACAATAAACATAAATCTTGATTCGTTAAGAGAATGGTTATTATGATCAGTTAATTATCAATGAAAGTAGATGTGTACGAGGTATACATGTATACATATGTACCCTAGCTAACCTCTACTCTGAAATTATACTAGGCAGTTAATATATAGCACAGATAAATTGATGCCTGCCGCCTGGCCCTTGTGTAAACGTGAACCTTGCTAATGGTTACTAATGAGCACGATTTTAGAAATGTGATCAGGATTATTCTTGCTTTTATTAATGTTCATAATAAAAGTATAAGATTTTTTCCTTCATTAAAATTAAACTACATATACAATTTTTAATTAGTGAGATTTGGTAAGCAGCAAAGTGGTACAACTTGCTGTCTAGAGTGTAAACAAATTTTAGAGATTTCCTTTCACTTAATTTTCATTATTAAAAGAATGGGATCTGTCAAATTAGATAGATAAATAGATAAAATTGATCTAAATATGAATAAAATACTAAGGGACCAAGGGCATGGAATGAGAGTAAGACAAAAGTTTGCTTCATAGCTATCTTTAAGTAGAGTGTAGCGACTAGGGTACAGATATTAATTACACACATCAAGTTAATCCCTCTGTCAGTATGTTTATTTTTTTTTCATTACAGTGGCACTTCGTTAATCCGGACGCCTCCGTCCCCAACGAAATCGTTCGGATAAATGAATCGTCCGGATAAGTGAATCACTTCTAAAAGACCCTTTTAAAGAATGTATAGTGGTATAATGTGAAGGCAAAGAAAAAACCTTCATTTCACCTTGATTTATTGATTTCATTTTTGTAGTTTTAAAAGAAATAATTAATATTCAAAAAAGAAAAATAAAATTGTTCATTATCACCATTGAGAATGTTCAAATGACTAGCCGCATATATTCTCAACATAGGAAAGTAAGTAACTGAACACTGTAATCAGTGTACGTATTGTAAACATTCAACGTAAACACAAGCCATATTCAGGATTTTCAATATTTTTCTATAAACTCCAAGTTATATACCTTGAAAAAACATGATCGGCATTTATAACTAACGCCAGTTACGTATTTCTTAGTGCATTAAATAAAAAGATATTTTCTTGAACTATGTATCCTTAAAAATTGTCTTATGAAAAGAAAAAAAAAACGTTTCACATAATGTACGCTTTGAAAAATGGAAAATCGTATTTTGATAAACTTACGCAACTCAATACCACAACGAAATCTTGTGATTTACATGTATTATTCATTTTATTTACAACTCTCCAAAATTCTCATAAATTTATACATGGTTAGCAATTAATTCTATTCTGAACGGATTTATATTTAATTAATGCACAGTATAAGCTAAATTCTTCAAGTTTATAATATTTATTATTTGAGTTTAACAGTTTTAACACACGCTAATTATAGACGCTATTGTTTGGAGGTCACAGGTAACCGCTTTCAAACTGATTCCACGAACAATGTTTTGACAACAATTGTCACTACTGCAAGAAAGGTGTGAAAAAGTCGCTCCTCCAAAAATTACCGTCCGGATAAACGAGTCATTTTTCAATGAGTAATACGTTTTGTAGTAGAAATTGACCGTCCGGATCCGGAACGCAAATTTCTGGATTAATGAGACAGAATCACGTGGAAAAAAATCGGTTCCCAAAAAATATCGTCCGGAATGTGAAACGTCCGGATTATTGGCGTCCGGATCAGTGGTGCCACTGTATTTGTATCTCTAGTCAGTCTGTTATGATATGACAAATTATTGTTTATTTTTTGTATTATCTTAAGTATTACCCTTTGGTCTGTTTGTCTATCTGTGAACTCTGACATCCTACAGTCAGTCTACTCGTACATAACAAGTCTACACAGCAGGGAGGTACTTCTCATACGTAACAAGTCTACACAGCAGGGAGGTACTTCAATCTGTTTTAATAGACTGGTAATCAAGAGTTAATAAACTGATAAATGTCTCATTCCATAACCATTCACCTTTCTCAGCACCACCAAAGCCTTCTATTTTCCTTGGTTACAAATCAACCAATAGCCATGCGATCCTTAAATACAGTGATACAATTAATTGAAATTTCCCTTAAGTAAAGGACCTCCAGTGGTGATTGTGAGAAATATTGATAGAGTTTTATTGTGTTCAATTGTGTATTTGATTTAATAATTGCAGCACCAAATAAGTATTAGTATAACATCTCTATTTATAAAGTACGTATAATATATGTAAGTATGAAGAACATGAGAAAATATGACAGAAGTTTGTTATTAAGGGTATTAATACACATTTATTGCTCTATCATAATCTTTTGTCGTTGTTATATTGTAAAATAAAGTCAGTCTTTTGAGGGAAATATGCGAAATATTATATCAGCATCTCTGGTTCTGCCCCCGTTCTCTTTTATACAGTACTTGGTAATTCCATTCAGTGTGCTGTTAAACATTAACAAAAAAAATCACTGTCATTAAATTAAGTATCATATGTCAACAACAAAAAAATTCACTGTGTTATTCATTCAATTATGTAGTTATAAATGTGTAAGTTTAACTTCTGTTTTCAATATTCTTCATCATAAAATTACTGTCTAATGAAATATATGGAGATAACAAACAATATTCAAGCTCAAAAGTCCATTCAAACAATACAAATTAGAGGCATAGCAAACACGGACCTCCAAAACATCAGAGGTGGGATCAGGTGCCATGGAGGAGTGAGCATCCCCTACTGACAATATGCTATCTTAAAGTCATATATGGCGAATTTTTGATAAGTTCAGACTAACTAAAATTAAAAAGATCTTTCTATTTGTTTATTACTTTATATAAAGATGGTACTTTCCTGTAAATTACACAATTTAATCGTGTATTATAGATATTGGAAATTTAAAACAATAACCGATTTATTTACCGACTCCGCATTTAAATATCAGACACATAGTTTTTCAGTAAATTTAACTACAGATACGTGGAGATATTCAAGTTCAAAATCTTAATTTGAACATAAATAGCAAATATTGTGTTCATCTACACTCAATCTCGTATTTTTATTTTTTAGCTCAGATATGCCATATATATAAGCTTTAAAGATTACAAGAAATCCATAATTGATACAAAAATTTGATGACTGGTAAAATAAATCCTTCATCTCTGGCATCCATAGAACTGTAGTTAAAAAGTTTTATTGTACATGTATGCACTTATTTGTTTATTTATATACCCAATGGTGTGCATGAATATCAGTACTTTGAATGGTCTTTCATGTTTTGGATTTGAATAGCCTTGAATACTAATTTTATTCCGTCTGGTCTAATTATGTTAATGTAAGCAACGTGAAATTGATGCATGTAAATATTTGCTATTTCTGTAGGTCACGTTTTGTCATTGACTGAGGAATGTTTTGTCCTATTTTGTTCCAGATGGAAGAATATCTGTGTAATGATCCTTGGACGACAGAGTACTAACCGTGCAGAAAAAGCTGGAAACTATTTAAAGTCATAGTATATTAAAGCATAATTACCTATTGATCTCCAGCTGACCCAAGGAATATAAAAAAAACTGCTCCAGGAAAAAGGACACTGTCTTACATGTCTCCGTTAGTTATCATTATGTGTAGACGATCCTCAGGTTATTGAAATTAAAACAGTGAAAAACCAATCACACTTCATTAGATTCAGCCATACAGCAAATAAATCCACTCTGTGATAGTGTAGGCAGTCATATTTCTGGATATTTATTTCATCTGAACCACTCAGTGGAGAAAGAAGTGTCCAGTGACAATCTAACATGGACAGCCAGCAACAGCCAGTCAGAGACCAGGGGCTCATTTCTGTTGCCTCACATGTGCTGGATGATTCTGATATTAGAAGTAAGACCATTTCTCTTATTTATATATATAAAATGTATGTTACAATTTTTTTGGTTGAAGATATTTGGCATTGTTTGATTAGTGGCAGGGGGTGGGTAGGGGGAGGTTTATTTATATATATATGAACAATGTGAAAACCATACCTGTCCAGGTCTAGGGAAGCCATTATAGGGTTGTTTGTAGTTATGAATTACTTGTCAATGAATAGCAAATAAAAGGCAATTGTGTAGGAATACAATATTTCTAATAAAAACAGATACAAATAGACAGAGGGAAGAATTTTATACATGCACACAGCCTGCAAATATTAAAATATTTATAATAATATGGCAAGTATTTCCTGAAACAGCTCAGTTACTTCACATATCTTCCATGGATGCAAAGCATTTTGTCTTTCTAATAGTACATCCTCATAGTTTGATCTTTGATGTCAGATGTAGTGGTAGAACTTGACACAGAAAATTGTTACCCTCTTGTTTTAAGTTTACAGTCTATGTCAGCAATAAGGGTAATTACCATCTGTTGTTCTTTGAAAGTCACCTCACAGCTGTACACTCAAAGTAGTAGCTGCTGTTTTTTGTGGGGTAATTTACTAAGATTGTTTTCTTGTGTTAACAAGACATGTAGTTTTGTCAGTTATGGAGGGTTGGGGTGGGGATGGGGGATGGTTTTCCTAGTGGAAAATTTGATACCGGACATTCACAGAGGAAGGAATATCTCAGAGTCAGTTTTTTCACAGAAATGAAAATGCATTCTAAAATTATAACGGTTTGGTTCAATCCTAATAGTGAATAAATTACTTTATTTTTATCAATTTTTAGTGTACTAAAAAGAACTTAACAATTTGCTTAATCTAGACATTAATATGAACAGTTTGTATCCATTTTACATGTTTATATAATATATAGATACATTCAGTGTATTTTTCTTCATTGAATTGTATTTGCAATCTAAAAAAATATTCTATTTGCTATTAACACACTGTAAAGCTTTTCACAGTGCAAGACTAAAAATGTAAGGATTAGGAACTTGATACGTACACTTTTTGAATCAATACATTTGGAACACCTAAATCTGTATTTTTTTGTACAATATAAATGAGAACAATTAAGCAATTAAAGTATTGTATTGTAAAAATGTAAAATTAACTTTATGATTTATTTGTCAAATTTTCTTCCTAGCAATATTGGGCACGAAATTTATAACAAGGGCAAATGAAAATTAAAATTCATAAAGAGCAAAATTATAAATATTAGCATTGAATTACTCCGTATTATTTTTGGATTGGTTGATGTCTACCATTTGTTGACATGACCAGGTGCTAGCTGACAATATCCAAAAATTATAATTTAGTGCTTAAATAAACTGCACTGATATATGATTATAATGAATACATGCATTTTTGAAATGAATTTCCCAGAATAACCATCAATACAGGTTTGAACTCTCATAAAATTTTTTACTCCAGTTGATCAGTAATATATATTGGAGGAATACTGTTATTTTACCACTTTTTTTATTTTTTAGATCATCGATCTACTGATGCAGTATATATTGGATTACATGTGCCAAAAAGAAAACATCGACACAAACGCCACAAACACCGAAAGGTAGAAGGGGATAAAACTCAAAGTAGCCAGCCAGAGGTCTTCAAAGATGGTATGATGTGATAATTGTCCTAACATATGTAACAAGCTATAAACCACTAGAACTTCATTTAGCAGACAAATGTACATGTATTGGCTATCATGTTAATGCATTTAGACCTTTATTTGTTCTTCAGGGCCACTTGCTTTGTAAATGTCAGTAAACATGTCCTCTCTGTAAAGTCAAGGGCAGGTGGTCAGTATTTAGTATTTTTATGAAAGCTTGATATTGTCAATATAAATTCCTTTCAGTTGCTAACCCGGCCCAGCGGGTCCAGTTCTTGTTGGGGGAGGATGAGGATGAAGAACACAAAGCCCATGATTTGTTCTGCGAGATGGAGGAACTCTTCTATAATGGAGATCAAATAGAGTGGAAGGAGTCCGCTAGGTTTGTGTTCCATCATTAAATAAAATTCTGAAATCGGAAGATTCTCATAAAGCTTATTAATATGGCCATTTTCCACCAGAATCTGCATACAGGAAACAACTCAAGCATAACGGCGATGTACATTTGTCAATTATGTCCTTTTCCCAATAAGTGCTGAAGCAGATCTTTCGTTTGCTTTAGAGCCATCAATATTTCATAAACTCGAAACTTTATTCTCTCAAAGACCAGGGAAAAGATACATTTGTGAGCTAAAGACATTATGACAACAAGATTGATCAGCCCCAGAAAATGATGTAATGGCAAACAGAATAAAACTATCAACTTATGTCAGTGCTTGTGTACTGAAAAATACATTTTCACCAGCGTTTTCATTTAGAACTATCTTTCCTACAGCTGCAAACATAGCATACAAAATAAAAACACCACTTTAAAATTGGTTTCCTTTCTCACCTTCATAGCAAATATGACAAAACAGTACCTTTCACTCTGCCAACTGATGTTTGATGAAAGCATCTCAGATAAAAAGCTCTGTATTGGCACTACAATGGTAAAAAAAGCTTATCTTAATTCTTTTTAAAAACGTTTGACTCATTCATTGATGTGGAAGAGTGTAATCGGATGGTTGTGGCAATAGCTAAGGTTAAACAAATCATTCTTTACCATTCAGTGAGAGAGAAAAATGTGAAAACTGATTCCCCCTTGTCTCCTTCGTTGAATAACATGACGTATGTCAAACGCGTTATACAAATAAACCTGTTGTGCAGTTTCATAAGAAATCTTGTTTATACATTGTCTGTGAAAGAAGCTTGTAAATTAAAAGATGGTGTGTCTTGTCTGTCAAAATTATGCATCTACAAAATTCAAATTGTTTTTGACAAAACCTAGTGTGTTTTCATTTGAAAACTTCTGTACAATATAACTTCAATGAAGAAAGGCAGTAGGCATTTTGTTTGAAAATTGAAAATGGGCACAATTGTACAATAGGTACAATACAGCTCGAATGGCCTATTTTGAAAATCTTTTTTATGAAAAACCTCCCTACCCCTATCAAAAAGCCTGGAATAAAACAGCCAGTGGCAAATTGAATTTTCTTATGAATAAGTCAGATGCTATGTACATTTCCCAAATTAATTTTGTGGAGCGTTAAATTTAGATTAATTTAGATTGTGAGAAGTTAGGCCAAATTGAAAGTAATATCACTCAATCAAATCTAAATACAACAAGAAATAGCATATTTTAGGAAAGCAAATTATGACACATTCCACGATTAAACATTAACAATAATAGGTTAATACCGACTGTCTACTATCAGTTCATTCACCCAAATGCTCAGCATCTTTTAGGTCTGACTGAGAAATAGGGTCACATTTTCTCTTCATATACTGGTAGTTTTATGATCGGTGAAAATGCAATGCCCAGTTTCAAATGATGTATTAAAGAGGTCATTTAAAAGATTGTTTTACGTGTCATTTAGAAGTTCTGAACTTGTTTGGGATACATGTAGAATGACATATCTCGAGTCTAAGCCTAGCCCTATATCTCTCATACAATAAAAAAAACTCATACTCTAAATGTTATTGGGCTCAGCAATATGTAGGCATAGTTGAATTTCACTTTTAGATTTGCATAAAATGGCAGTATCTATCTTATCGATTATAAAATAATATTATTTTTCCGTCTTATTTCTGTAAAGTAGATATTGTACTGTTTGTGTTATGAAATATGTGAAGTACATGTAGCAGAAACGAGTGTTTTTCTGTTTTACCCCACTTGTGATAATTTTTTGATGAAATCCTGGCTTATGGATGATAAATACCAGCATAATGTAGTCTTAAAGTCATTGGATTGCAGGATGGGACATTTATGTGAAAGACCCAGCTCCTCTCATACACTAAGTATAAATTACTACCACAGTTACAGTATTTGTATTTCACTGAAATTTCTCTTTGTTCTCCTCTATTTTAGGTGGATTAAGTTTGAAGAAGATGTGGAGGAAGGTGGAGAGAGGTGGTCCAAGCCACACGTAGCCACTTTGTCTCTCCACTCTCTGTTTGAACTGAGATGTAACATCCTCAATGGAACTGTCATGTTTGATATAGAACCCTATGACCTGCCATCTCTTGTTGGTAGGTTCAGTGTCAAGTGCCAAGACATGTGTTTGTGGTATACAAGTGAAGAATGACACAATAGATTCTTTTTACTAAAGTAAATAGTAACATAGACACCAATATTAAATTAAAATTAATCATGAAGGGATTTTTTTATGCCCCGCCATGAATATGGCCAGGGCATATAGTGTTTGTCATGACCGTCTTCCGTCCTTCCGTCTGTTCTTCTGTCACACTTTGTTCAAAGCTCAGTTTCAAAGAAACTATCCAAGATATTTTTATCAAACTTCATATGCTGATAGATACTGATGAGAGCTATGAGAGCTATGCAACTGCATCAACATTTTTTTTACCTTGACCTTTCCTTTGACCTTGACCTTACTTTTCTTAAATTAGTGTTTAGCTCAGTTTTAAAGATACCATTCAAGATAGTGTAATCAAACTTCATATGTTGATACATACTGATGTAAGCTATTCAACTGCCTCAACATTTTTTGACCTTGACCTTTCTTTTGACCTTGACCTCACTTTTCTTAAATTAGTGTTTAGCTCAGTTTTAAAGATACCATTCAAGATAGTGTAATCAAACTTCATATGTTGATACATACTGATGTAAGCTATTCAACTGCATCAACATTTTTTGACCTTGACCTTTCTTTTGACCTTGACTTCACTTTTTAGCTCACCTGAGCTGAAAGCTCAAGTGAGCTTTTCTGATCACCCGTTGTCCGTCGTCCGTCTGTAAACTTTTCATATTTTCAACTTCTTCTCAAGAACCACTGGGCCAATTTTAACCAAACTTGGTACAAAGTATCCTTGGGTGAAGGGAAGTTTAAATTATTAAAGTAAAGGGCCAAGTCCCCTTACAAGGGGAGATAATCAAGAAAAGACAAAAATAGGGTGGGGTCATTAAAAAATCTTCTTCTCAAGAACCACTAGGCCAGAATAGCTGAAACTTATGTGGAAGCATCCTGGGATAGTGTAGATTTTAAATTGTTAAAATCATGACCCCGGGGGGTAGGGCGGGGCCACAATAGGGAATCCAAGTTTTACATTGAAATATATAAGAAAAATCTTTAAAAATCTTCTTTTCAAGAACCACTGGACCAATAAAGCTGAAACTTATTTGGAAGCATCCTGAGGTAGTGTAGATTCTAAATTGTTCAAATCATGACCCCCGGGGGTAGGGCGGGGCCACAATAGGTATTACAAGGGGGGAAATCTGGTAAAGAACAGCATGGCCGAAGTTACTCAGGTGAGCGATGTGGCCCATGGGCCTCTTGTCTTAAATTAATGTTTAGCTCAGTTTTAATGAAACCATTCAAGATATTTTTAACAAACTTCATATACTGATACATACTGATGAGAGCTATTCAACTGCATCAATATTTTTTACCTTGACCTTTCCTTTGACCTTGACCTCACTTTTCTGAAATAAGTTTTTAGCTCAGTTTTTTAAAGATACCATTCAAGATAGTGTTATCAAACTTCATATACTGATACATACTGATGAGAGCTATTCAACTGCCTCAACATTTTTTGACCTTGACCTTTCCTTTGATCTTGACCTCAATTTTCTTAAATTAGTGTCAAACTTCATATGCTGATACATACTGATGATAGCTATTCAACTGCATCAATATTTTTTGACCTTGACCTTTCCTTTGACCTTGACCTCACTTTTCTTAAATTAGTGTTTAGCTCAGTTTTAAAGAAACCATTCATAATATTTTTATCAAACTTCATATGCTAATACATACTGATGTAGCCTTTTCAACTGCATCAACAGTTTTTTACCTTGACATTTCCTTTGACCTTGACCTCACTTTTCTTAAATTAGTGTCAAACTTCATATGCTGATACATACTGATGTAAGCTATTCAACTCCATCACTATTTTTTTCACCTTGACCTTCCTTTGACCTTGACCTCACTTTTCTCAATTTGTGTTAAAATGTTGCATTACTTATATACCCTCGGCAGGGCATTCATGTCCTCTGGACATATTTCTAGTTTTGAAATTTAAATTAATGTAATAAATGTATATTTAAATTGTTCTTATGGAATGAAAGCAGATCTAGACTAATCAAGAGGGAAAAAACAGTTTTCCTTAATTTTAGCACTTTTAATTTGAAAGAAAAGAATAAATATTATATGTAAACTTTTGGTACAAATTATCTAGAGTTGGTGGTAGACACTATGGTTGCTAGTAAACAACTGGAGGAGAACCTAAAGGAACAATTTGTAGACACCATGTTGATCAGGCATCGTCACCAGAACCAGAAAAAGCCACAAAAGGTGGATGAAAATGGAGGCAGCAAACTTCATTTGCCCTTAATTCGATCTTTTGCTGACATCGGCAGGAAGAGTTCAGTCCCTTCCTTCCAAAAACATGGTAAAATGGGGGTTTTGAAAGGAATATACTGCAAAAAATATTAGTATTGATAATACATACGAAGTGGTTAATGTTGGGTAACCATTTACTCTGATATCTTTCTTCACCAAAGTCTGGAAACTAAATTTTCTTAACATACATGTACAAATTCATTAGAGATTTCCTTTAGGAGGAAAATCACATAGCACAAATGAAGATTATATATGGAACTAGGTATAAAGATTTCTTGAATATCCAAAGATGGAAAATCACATATTAAATAATGCAAATTTCTTCGCTTCAAGAATGTTATAGACCATAATGTTTGTTTTCATGACTTCTTTTATGAAACATGAAATAGAAATATATTCACCATGTATCTTGTTGTATGCAGATTTATGTATTTGTGTAGCTGAAGATCCAAGCAATCCAGCACAGATACTAAAGAACAAGTTCAAAAGCGCCAAAAGTTCTCCCAACTTCCACGCTCCAGAAAAACAAGAGAGTGCACCATTAGAACACCACCCGACTTACACAGGGAGTTTATCTACCAATCAAAGTAGCAGTGATTTGCTAACCCGAGACTCCTCACACAAGGTTAGATAACTTAGTAAAGCCATCTTCAATATTTAAAATCCATCAGTTACATTTAGTCTGAGCAACATTCCCACAGCAGTATGGGAGAGATTACTGATATTATATAATATTAAACATTTTAGTTTGGAGGTTAAAAAAAAAGAATTGTTAACAGCCTCTCTAACCATAAAAATGCGAAGGTGTGTTACAAAATATTTACTTAATCTGAAAAATATACAGCATGAATTTTCTAATATCTTTAGTCATTAGATGGAAGTTAGAAGACACTAATCAAGTACTCAATTTTTGATAAAATCCTTACATTTTAGGAAAATTAGAGAAATTACAATAGAAAATGATAAATTTCTGTTGAATTTTTAGTCACTGTCAAGGTTTTTCAAGGTATAGAGTCTGGTTGTGACGGCTGGAGTCAGTTACGTGGGGTGACATTAATATGTCATAAGGTTACTGACGTTCACTGCTAATTTAACATCCTCAGTTTACACATATGGGAATTGATGTATATTTTTGTATCTGTCTAATGTGTATAACAACTGTACCGAGAATTTCCTTTTGCTTCTAAGTGTGCTGTAGTTGATAAACTTACAATTTTAAAGTCTAGATGACAGTTTTGTTGTGTAGAAATTAATCTCCTAAGTTTTGTTTGGTTTAATAGATCCATCCCTGACTAATTTCAAATTATGTAAGCAGCATGATATTCTTTTGTATTTCATTGTACTCAAAGATAAAAAAAAAAAATGTTCCACAACACAAATATAATATGTACACATTGTATTTTTAACATTATAAAGAGCAAGTGAAAGTCAGTTTTACTGTTTGTTAATAGTTATTAGGTTGAAAAAAGATAAATTGATTAATATTGCTGCTTTTTTACACTATGTAGGGTATGAGGGTAAGTGAATCTGTCATGATTGTCATTGTCATTATACATCTATAGGCCCTCGACTCAGAACAAACATCCAAGTCTATAATAACTACTCTCAAAATTTATCACCCTTTAAAGTCATAATTCTCCCCCCATTTGTGTTGTGGGTCACTATGTCTGGAATAGGAATAAATTAACTCCACTTCAGTGTGTAAAGGAAATACAGATTTTCCCTTTTTTGAATTTAAATCCTCAAAGAATCTTAATTGTGTGTCCACTGTGTGCCATTAAAAACATGTTAATCTCATGGATTGCACATTATCACCAAGTTAAAACTGACAGAGTCATTTAATTATTTTTTTGGATTAAATTACTTTTAAATTAGATCATCCACTCTACTTTTTCAGAAAATGTCCTTTTCTTTTTATTTATTCATCTTTTTTTTTTTTTTTTTTTTTTTTTAGAAATATTGCTTTCACATCTAAAGGCTGAAAATTCTCAGAACAAATTATATGCATTATAATTTTTCTTCTGAAAATTCTTTTGTTTATTTTATTTTGATTTATAAGATATGAAATGAATGATTCTCTAATCATATAAAATATACCAGCCACTAGATTTAAAATTGTAGACATAACTGGAGGATACAAGATATGTGTAAACACTGAAAGATTAGCAATGTTTAACTTCCATTATAGTGATGTTATTTATATCTACTTCTAGTTTATAAATATATCAGATTTATCATACAGTTATATTTATGAATTTTTCTATTAAATGAATATATAATAAATAAGGTTCAATGTCTGTATAAATTTTCAGGACTTGAGCCATATGAGCAATCATGTAAGAGTTTTACAAGCCACCTCAGTTATGGCATTGTTGTTTCTTTATCATTGTTAGTTGAACTAGTTCATATGTATTCATCATATGTAACTTCATGGCTATATTATTGTAAAAAAAAAAAAGTGAAAGAATGAAAAATATGTGTTGGGCCTGTAGGATTAATATAAAATATTTTTATTTTGATCTAAACATTAAAAATGGTATGCATTTTGAATAATTGAGTTTAGCATGTTTTAACATTATTAAAAAGAGAAAATAAATTGATAATTTTCAAAGATTTATGAAGTAATTGACGATAAAATGTGAATTAATGAACATGAATGAAGCCAAAATTCCATATTATTACAATGTTTTTTTATGAAATTGAATATTTTTAATGTATATATTCTGATATCATTCTTTAAATTTCTGTTTAATTAATGTCTGACCCTTTGATTCTGTTTCTTATCGGCCTAATGCTATTTCCTATTGGGCTGTGGCGACAACAGTGTAGCATATGCATGCATAAATGTAGCTACACAACAAATTAACCAGAACCTATCTTAGAAAGACCCATATAAACAGATCTGTTTAGAAATATCAGTTGTCTTTCATAAATTCTTATCTACAGAAAAATTATAAGCCTATAAAAATCAAAAAGTTTTGCCATGTTTCAAGCATGAAATAGCAAGAGCAATGGTGGACATATTTATTGTCAATGAAAAAAGAAAGACAACTCTGGATCAATTCTTGACAGATCTTTCCATATTCATGCATGAATTAGATGATGGCCATGAACTTTGCAGAAAATTAACCTTCATGAATGATTAATCCTCATCAGCAGAAGCCTTGCAGAAAAACATGATATTCAGTGAATTATCCATTTTTTTTTGCTGGTACGTGGTTGACTTTAATTGTTAGGTGCATACATAATATTATATGGTTTAATCTGATACAAATTTGCAAAAGCATGTGTTTATTGATAAATATACAGAAATCTTGATCAACGATAAGGTTTCAATACCATCTACATGTATTACTGGAACTATTAAAGCTTGATCTAAAAATGCTAATTGATTAAGTTTAATTTCACGTGCGAACATTTTAATTAATGAGAGACATTTGTTTAATTTTATTTGTGAATATTTACATAAATGAAAGACACTTGTAAGTACACATGTCCTAGTCAATTGTCTAAAGATTTAAATATACTGAATTTAATTATAGGTAAAATCTTGTTTTAATCTTCTGCTGGCACCTCTTCAATATTAGCCTTTTTTGTGCATAAGTATTATTTTTGAGATATTCATACCAATCAGAAAATTAAAGCATATCATAACCCTAAATTCCTAAAAAAAAATTATTGTCAGTTAAATTGTAGCAATATGTTAACATTCCATTTACTGAAAGAGTATCCCTCTTATAAATTTGGACCTTTCTTTATATATGTTTAAACAAAAGATGAATCTTTATAAGTTTTGTTTTGTTCCTGTTATATGTTGTTATGTTTCAACCTTATTTATATGTTTAGTAACGATCTATTTTATTCCATTCAGTTATAATACTTTACATACCAGTATTTTATCTCTTTATTATTGCTTGTTACTTTTTGATTTTTCTTTCAGATCAAATTTTGTCTGTTCTTTATGTGCTACTACCTTTAAAATAAATGTATTTAGACTTCATTTGTCTTTTAAACAATTGGCAATTTGCAGTCAAATTTTCTGTAATTTTTTTTTTCAATATGGATGAAGGCTGGTCCAGTTCTTTAAGTGTAGATAATTAATAGCTAGAGAAATGAAAATAAAGTTTGTTACCTAGAAATATAAGAATAGTGGCCAGAAACTCTAAGACTGAGAACAAAAGCATCATGAAATATTCAAACCATTATGGCCCCTTAGACCAAGAAGTTAATTTAGATTTTTTTAAGGTAGTCTAATATTATAAATGTTTATTGAGCTAATGCTAAGTGCTACAAGATTCATTTCTTTGAAAATTAAGGGAAGATTGAGGTGAGCTTTACATCTACTAGATCATTCTGCAGTTGATTTTTTTTTTTAATTCTAAATGCCAATATTTTTTTATAAATTTGATATTGAGTTATGAACAAGTTGCACATAATAATTTTAGTATAAAGTCTTGTGGTATGTATGCAGTCATTTCACAGGCAGTTTTTAAGTTTAGCCATGTATCAATGATTTGACTCTCAGGTTGTTTTCTTTTTATTGAATTCTAAGCAAACCACACTTTCCAAAAAAAAAAAAAAAAAAAGAAAGAAAGAAAGCTTTTCATCTTTTTGTTGATAGGATGATAAACATATGTATCCAGCTTGTAATTATCTCCCTTGTAACACTGTAGAGTCTGCACTTTATGAAGAAGATTCCCCCAGGGGCAGAGGCAGCTAACATTCTAGTCGGAGAAGTGGAGTTCCTGAATCATCCTGTTGTCGCCTTTGTCCGGCTCCTACATCCTATCATCCTGAGGGATTTAACAGAGGTTCCTGTGCCAACCAAATTTGTGTTTATGTTGCTGGGACCTATGGGAGGCCAGAGCAAGTACCACGAAATAGGACGGTCTATAGCCACATTGATGTCAGATGAGGTCCGTTTTTTAGTGTTTTTCTCCAGAAAAAATCTGAAATATTCTTTGCCAAATTTCCATTTGTACACTGTACAGGGTACACAGTAAGCACTCTCTCACTCACAAATGCAAGTAATTTTGTCTGTGGGGAACTAACTCTTGAGGATGTTATTGCCCACATGGCAAGTAAGAACTTTATCAGAACTTCTCTGGAACCTGACCTTAGTTTGATTCTTCTCTTTATTGTACTTTCCTTTCCACTGGTCCCTACCTACAAAATGTAGTATGAACATTATGACTACATGAGGTCTTGAAGGAGTACATGAAATTTCATACAAGTGATGTCAATATACACAGAAAAATGAAAGAATAAGGACTGCATTGTAGGCTTTTCAGAGATTATGATACAAAAAGAGAATCTTTTTTTTTACTAAGTGGACAGAAAATTGTGGGCCTCAAAATATCAGTCTGGGCTAGTAAAACTCTTAAAGTTGGGAGCCCACATAAGCCCTTAAGGTTTTAAATGTTATTTGCAAACCTGACACAGGCATATCCAAGTAATCATTTTTTCCCCAAAAATTCATAAAGTACATTGTGACATTAAAGAAGTACATACATGCAAGTATTTACTTTTATACTGTATACAGGGAAATTTTAGCCCCATTTTATTTCCGCCAACTTTGAATTTAAAACAGGGTCAACTCAAAAAACACAGAATTGTGACTGGATGAATTTAAAATGGAGCAAATCTTTTTGCAAATGTAAATGGGTGAAAATAACACAGGGTGAAAATAACCCTGTATACAGTGCACAGGGAAAAGTGGCTTACAAGATATACATGTGATTATCTTTTTATTTGAAAATTATGTGAAAATCATGTAAAAATTATATAAATATTTTTTCTTGGGAATATCATGTGAATAAGTTTATATGATATTCACATAAATTTTTTTTTTTAGAACTTTCATGTGAAGTTTTCTTTGCACGATATTTATGCGATATGCTCTTCATGTAAAATTCATTTGAAAGTTGTGTCAAAATGGCTTGAAATTTTCACATAGATTTCACAAGTCTAGTTTTTCGTCTCTTTCTCATGCAAAGAATTTACATGAAATCATGTGAATTTCATATAAAATTTATGTAAGCCATTTTTGCCTGTGTATACATAAACTGAAAAGATACTTGAAGGAAAATGGTTGTGTATGTGCTCATCTTTTTAAAAGATTTGCTACATAAGTTGTTTATCTAATTATTCCAGGTGTTCCATGATGTGGCGTACCATGCCAGGAGCAGAGATGACCTGTTGGCTGGGATTGATGAGTTTCTGGATCAAGTCACAGTTCTCCCCCCTGGAGAGTGGGACCCCAGTATCAGGATTGAACCTCCCAAACAGATCCCCTCCCAGGAGAGCAGAAAGAACAACTGTTATACTCCCCCAGCCAAGGCTGAAGGGGGAGACCCAGAGGAGGTTGAGATTGAAATGGATCATGTTGACTCCTCGCTTGTTAGGACAGGGAGGTAGGCTGTTATTCCATCACTCTAAAAAAAAGGGGGGAGAGGGACAACATGTCAGGCATAACATTTGCTGTAAAGATATCTGAATTACCATTGCCCTTGTTTAATGCTATTATTTTTCTGATCAATTCAGATTGTGTGGAGGCATTTTAAATGACATCAAGAGGAAGATTCCTTTTTATGCCAGTGACTTTAAGGATGCACTACATGTTCAGTGTCTAGCCTCGTTTATCTTTTTATACTTTGCTTGTCTAACCCCTGTCATTACATTTGGAGGTCTTCTAAATGATGCCACAGATGGTAACATGGTATGTAAATTTTAAAACTGCTCAGTTTAAAAAAAATATTTCAGTGTTAAATTTGCAGACATTAACATGATCTCGGATTTATGTCTCTTTGTCTTTGCTATGCAATATGTATTATTAATGAAAATAATCTACATCATCAGATACCCATGGGTGATCTCGTCTTTTACTCATCACCCGTGGGCAAAGTCGCCGAAATATTGTTGAAAAATATGCGAATTTGTTGATTATAGACAACCAATCAGAAAATTGGAACTCTTCAATTTTGAAAATGTGTTTATTACTTTGCTATTTATGCTCAATACCTTGACACTCGTTAAAAGGTGCAAATTTTGTTTTAAAACGATTAAAGACAAATTGTGCAGGTCACTTACATCAAATACCAGTAAGAAATGATATGGGAGTACCTTTCTCAAACTGCAAAATGCATTGGTGAGTGATTTATATGCAATCCATGGGTTAACTATGGAAAAAATTTTTTGTCATTGCCGAACATACATACGTAACGTAAACTTTAATTTGTTGATTTGCCATCACAACTCGGTGGAGCAGCCAATCAAATGGCTCACGCATATTAATTACATATGGTGATTTTTCGGCAAGTTTGTCCACAGGTGATGAGTGAAAGACGAGATCACCCATAGGTATCCAACAATGAATAATCTAATACCTCTTTTATGATATCACAAAATATTTTTTTTTTCTTTTTTGTGGTCATATGTGTTGTAATCTATTGAACTTTATTTATACATCATTAGTATTTTTACTAGTTATAGTTTATGGTTTGATTCATTATGAATTGGGATGCACAATTCAATATCATTACCACCATAGTGTATAAGAAGCAAAAAAGGAAATTAAGAACTGTTCATAATATTATTTTCTGTAAACAAATAAATAGCATGTAGTTTATTTATTTTTTGCTCTTTTACTATTTTATTTTTTTACTTTGTTCCTTTAACTAACACATTTTGACTTGCCCACAGCTGTATAATTTTTGATGTGACATGGGTAAGCCGGTGGTAGTTATACAAGACAGTTACTTGTTGATGTAGAATCAGCTCATTTCACTGCATGTTTAGTTTCAGGTTTTATACTTCAATGTGCACAGGACTGTGGAATCATTTCAGTTTTAAGTGACAATCTATTGTGGATTGCTCAAATTTAATATACTGTTGGGATGTTTTCCCACTACATAATTTTTAAAAAATTGTTTCCTTTTTGGGAAAATTTGAACCATATTAATACAATGATTCCACAGTAATATCTTTTATGGCAGAAATGTCATAAATGGATCTTTCATATAATTGAGTTCAATTTTGAATCTTTAATCAGATTTGTATTCTTTCACAATTTTCAAAAAGTGATGTCAATGAATTCTGGTTGTTTATTCACATTTAAAGAAAATTCTTATAGTATTGTTCATTGAAGTAATGAGAACACGTTTCAACCACTGTCTTCATAAAATATTTTATCTTATATCAACATTTCTTTAATTTATCATGTATCAATATTTCTATGAAAAGTAATATGTTAAAATTATGTTTTACAAGACTACTCTGGTTCTTTAATTTTAATAATTTAAAAAAATAAATAAATAAACAGGTTATAATATTAATAATTTTGAATAAATATCTCTTTTTGAGTGGGAAAAAATTATGCTTTTGCAGAATTTTCCATGATGTACAGCTGTATTTTCCTAAAAAATATACTTTTACATCAGGAGTTGGACCTTTTTGAACAAGAAAAATTACACTCATTTTAAGCAGTACTGAAAAATGCAAGCTGTATAAAATGCAACAGAAATGACCAAACTCAACTCTGTGCAACAACTTGCATGTACTGCTGAAAACTTTTCCTCATGCACTTTGAAAAATGTTAATGAAAAACAAATCATGTACTGAAGCTATAACATTCTTTCTTACTGGAAATGTTATTAAAAATGTTTTATAATTAACTTATTTAGAGATGTTAAAAAAATGTTTGAAGAGAAGACTGGACTTTTAAAATGTTTACAGAATGTACTAAACATTAATTTTTATCTGAGCTCATATCACTACAGAATTTATTCACATGGGGTTATTGGTAATGGAAGATTGATAATATTAATACAAGTCATGTAGGTGTAACTAGATTATTAATAAGTCATGTTTGTGTAACTAGATTAATAACAGAGTGGACATGTTGGGGAAAAAAGTGTTTAAAACTTTAAAGTTGCTAATTTTAAGATATATCTTAGTCCCAATTCTGTTCATTGCGGAAGTGGTTCATATACCGGTAACCTTCTAAACATGTATGCCTATGTGGTCTGTTTTTACATGTTACACATTTGTAAATTCTGTGTTGACAAGAAATGGCTAAATATTTTCAAATAGATTTTTTTTAAAGTAAATTCTGTGATATTTTTTTGTTCCTTTTAGCAAAATTGAGGATGTACATTTGCGAGACTTGTTTCTCTTGACAGGCTGTGTTTGAGAGTATTTTAGCAGCAGCTATATGTGGTATATTTTATGCATTATTGTCTGGTCAACCTCTCACCATTCTAGGCAGTACTGGGCCAGTACTTGTGTTTGAAACCATCCTACACCATTTTTGCAAGTAAGACATTATATATTCTTTGATTAAGTGAGTCTGTGTAATGAACAAGTAGTGCATTTTTAGCACACCTCAATTAAGTTGGCAGGAGCTTATGTAATTATGTGTCGGCATATCACATCCAAGGTTAAAGTTTTTGGAGCAGCTTTCTTCTCAAGTACTCCTATGCCCTATATTGGTCAGAGATGCATGGACCATGTTTCATTGTACCAGTCAAGGTTTCAGTTGCTCCAATTTCAGCTATAGAATGACCAAGTTAACGTTTTTGGAGCAGGTTAAGTTTTTTGAAGCAGATTAAAGTTTTGGGAGCAGATCTCATTTCCAAGTAACTATATACTGCTTTGGATGCTGAATCTGACCTAAATTTTCCGTACTAGGGACCAGGTTATAGCTTTTGGAGCAGGTTCATTCTTAAGTAGTTATTAGTCCTATGTTGACCAAATTTGCATGGATGATACATCTAAGGATCGCAGTACAGTTTAGGTGCCAAATGGAAATATCGGCGAATTTTTTAGATAGAAAATACATTCTTTCCAAGGATGGGAGTTTCTTTTTAGGACTTTACTATTATCGGACAAATGCAATGTGGTTGAAAACTACATGTTGTGGACGATTAGATTTCTTATTTAGACTTGTCACGTGATGTGGCAGTCACGTGATTTTAGCAAATATACCTGAAGTATTGAGGTCATCTATAAATTCTAATATTGCAAGGGCATAACCAAGTTAAAAATCTAAGTTTAACATATAATTATTTTCAACACACTTTGTAGTTTGTGAAAAGTGCTGCGAACCTATATAGATTCTACTAATTAATTGCTAAAATTACATTTGTTAGACCATATGTTGAATATTTTGCTGGTCAAGTTCATTAAATATAGATACATGTATAATAAATTCATTTGCAAGATTTCAACAGGTTTGCAGCACTTTTCAAATATCATCATACTTCTTGACTTTATGTGTAAAAGCTTGTCATAATTCATTGAGGGTATGCCTTGCAATGCATCGATTTATTACGACCCTTCTATTACCCTTCATTGAATCTGCATACAAATATACGACAGTATCGCTTGTCTAGGGAATGTACGGGAAGTATATGAATAAAATCATAAAATTGACATCGCATCCAAGTTAATGGCCTCTTACATATCTACAATTTATATTTTATTTAATTACAAAATACATTTTTCATTGTATAAATATAACTTGATCCGCCTCTCACTGCATACAAACTGCGTCAAATTTTACGATATGACGTCACATTGACAAGTGCATTGCGATCAGTGAATCATTTATATATTGCTGTGTGGGATTTAACCAGAGACAATAATGCATGCACTAGTTATTATTGATGTAGTTTAGAGCTATTTAACAGTTTAAAATAGCAAATCATTTCATTATGTGGTAATTTGAAGAACTTATATTTTTGTGTGATGTCATAGTAAGCATTTCCCGTATAAATTAGGCCCCGCCTCCTTACTGCAGCCTTAACTATGCTGGGATGCACACTACTGGGCTTGCTTGGGCTACTGGATCTGACCTACATTTTCCAGATGAGTGTCAAGGTTAAAGTTTTTGGAGAAGGTTCATTCTTTAGTGGCCATAAGCCCTTTGCTAACCAACTTTTGCATTGAAGATACAATTATTGATGCACACTACCAGAGTTGCTTTGATGCAGGATTTTACCTACATTTTCCAGATGAGTGAGCAGGTTAAAGTTTCTTGAGCAGGTCCTCTACCAAGAAACTTAGTGTTAAATCTAAAGCAAACTAGCATGGCGCGGTGCCATGCCCTTTTTTCCAGCGCCATGCCCTTTTTTCCTTGCAAAAATATATAAATGTGCCTAGCAGAGGCAAGATGGACTAGCGGCTTTGTTTATTCAGTGCATGCTGAGTAGTCCCTTTGTTTATTTAATGCACGCAAAGGTGTGAATTCAGGACAGGAAATCACTTCTCGCTTGAACGCACACAGCTACCTGGCCAGGTAACATGCCTCAGGCTGTTAGGGTATAAGAGACAACACGAGAAAATATCATTTGATTGCATTGATCAGGCCCGTAGGAAGCAATTTCAGTTTGGGGGGGCACAGCCATACATTTTCAGTATAGGGGCACTATCAACTACCAAAAATTTCTTGACAAGCAAAAAAAAAAAAAGAAAAAAAAAAGGTCATCAGACGTTTTTATTGAGGGGGCACAAGCGTATAGTAGCTATGTTTTCTACTGTAATCTATATATCGGCAGAATTATTGGGGGGGCACGGCCCCCCCCCGTGCCCCCCCGGTTCCTACGGCCATGTTGATTATGCAAGAATTAGCCCAATGTCAAAGATAGATTAATTTGTAAATTAAAATGTTACACATTTTAAATCAACATCGTTTCTTTTTAAATTGAAAGTAGAAAAAACAGAGTTGAAGAAATGTGAAAAATAAAACTGCTCAGGGGTTGAAATTTTCCTGGAAAACCCACTAGCCCAGGGGCTACTGATCAGTAAAAAATTACTAGCCCAAACATCAAACTAACTAGCCCGACAATTTTTTTTTAGGCAAAATGAAAGCATAAGTTAAAGTTTCAAACGCTTTGGCGACAGAAACAAATTAAACTAGTTCTCAATCAAAAGCAGTCTTTACCAAAACTATTTTACGCCATGGACCTGTAGGACCTGTCAGTCAATGAAAAATACAGGCCCTCGGAGAAATAAGAAGGTCCCCTCAAGTACATGTTGTTCAATTATTATCTTCAATTTAAAGTGCTGTTTTATGAAAGAAATCTGCAGGAGTCTAGCTCCTCTGACTGAGTCCGAAGTGGAGTGATGTCCACACTTTTTCAGTTTTTAGGTCACCTGAGTCACTCAGGTGACCTAGCTATTGCTATCTGTTTTCGTCCGTCGTCGTGCGACGTGCGTCGTCCATCGTGCGTTAACTTTTGAACATTTTTAGCTTCTTCTCTGAAACCACTGAACCAGTTTCAACCAAATTTGGCATATAGCATATATGGATGAAGGGGAACAAAAATTGTGAATTTCATGGTCCCTGCCCCCCTGGGGCCTGAGGGGTGGGGCTAAAACCACCAAAATTAATGCAATCTTTAAAAATCTTCTTCTTTACTCCTGGACATCAAGCAGTCAAACTGTTGGCATGATTGTAATAAGCATTGAGCCCTCTACCAAAATTGTGAAATTCATGGCCCCAGGGTCAGGGGTTCTGGTGCTAGGGTGGGGCTATATAGATCATATAGAGAAAGTGCATTATTTCTTTTAAAATCTTTTTCTCTGCTCCTGGGTATTAAATAAAGTAACTAAGTACATAGTTATAATGAGCAAGAGTGCCTCTTCCAAAATTGTGAATTTCATGGCCCCAGGGTCAGGGATTCTAGTGTTAGGGTGGGGCTCTATTGACCATATAGTGAAAATGCATTAATTCTTTGAAAATTTTCTTCTCTGCTCCTGGGTATTAAATAAAGTAACTAAGTACATAGTTATGATGAGTAAGAGTGCCTCTTCCAAAATTGTGAATTTCATGGCCCCTGGGTCAGGGGTTCTGGTGTTAGGGTGGGGCTCTATTGACTATATAGGGAAAATGCATTAATTCATTGAAAATCTTCTTCTCTGCTCGTGGGTATTAAATAAAGTAACTAAGTACATAGTTATGATGAGCAAGAGTGCCTCTTCCAAAATTGTGAATTTCATGACCCCAGGGTCAAGGTTCTGGTGTTAGGGTGGGGCTCTATTGATGATATAGTGAAAATGCATTAATTCTTTGAAAATCTTCTTCTCTACTCCTGAGTATTATTGAAACAAATTAAATACATAGTTATGATAAGCAAGGATGCCTCTTCCAAAATTGTGAAATTCATGCCCCCGGGGACAGGAGTTCTGGTGCTAGGGCGGGGCTATATAGATCCTATAGTGAAGGTGAATTATTTCTTTGAAAATCTTCTTCTCTGCCTCTGGGTATTGTTTAAACAAACTAAGTACATTGTTCTGATACGCAAGGATGGCTCTTCCAAAATTGTGAATTTTATGATCCCACGTTTAAGGGTTCTGGTGAGAGGGGGTGGGGGGGGGGGGGGGGCTCTATTGATAATATAGTGAATCTGTAGTAAAAATGAAATGCATTATTTCTTTGAAAATCTTCTCTGCACCTGGGCATATCTAAGGCAAAAAGAGTTAAAGTTTTTATAAGGAAGGGAATTTTTACCAGATTTTTTAACATTTGAACCATTTGGTGAAGTGTTCTGGTCCTGGCCATGGTTCTATTAGTTTGTATTCTTCTGAGAGGAGTTATTCCCCTTTGCCATTTACTTTTGATAATTTATCACTGTAAATAATGTACTTGAAAGGTAAGTAGAATAAGAGAATTATGCAAGAATTTTTATTGAATAATACATAAAGTACTTTCATAGTTCTAATGATCAGATAGACTTGTAAGTAGTAGATAAATAAAAATGAGACAAAAATAACTTGTCTTATTAAATGTTCATCAAAGACCAAGAGAGGCCAATGTAAGAGATTTCAACAAGGGAGTACAGAAGCATTGATAATTTGTTAATATTCTAATTGGTGATGATGATAAATGGGGAACAGATTAGAACCTAATTTATGAACTGTTAATGAATATTAAGACCAATTATTTTGTTGATTATGATCACCCTATTTTTCTTACTTTTGGGCAACAAAGCTTCACCTTTCAGTTTATTTTATACTCTATGCATCCTTTAAATTGTTGTATCATACTCAGGTGACCGTTAAGGCCCTTTGGGCCTCTTGTTTTTTTTTTTTTCATTTTTCTTTTTTGTATTAAATATTTTAAATGCACGTGTAAATATATTTTTGTATCTGAAATAACCCATATAACACTTACTCTTTAGTTGATTGAGTAAATGAAAATAATGTAATGGCATATCTTCATGTATTTCATAGGGATGCGCGATTTTATCGGTATACCGGTATATCGCGATTTTTCACTGCGTGATACGTATCGTGATATGGAGACTAAAATACCGGTATTTGGTACATAACTATAAATTCCGGAAATTATTCATTTATTTGTTCAAACTATTGAATGACAATTATAGGAAGTGTAAAAAAGGTTGAAAACAGTTAAACAACGGCATCAAAATATGCTTTATATTAAATAAATGAAAATTTAATAAGTAAAGTTATGTTTTTATAACATATTTTAAAAAAATGTTATGGAAATTCATTTGAAATTGTAGTAAAAATTGTGTGTAAAAATATTACGATTTATCGTGATATTTTTAGGAAAAAATCGTGATATATCACGATACGAAATTTTTGCCGATACCCATCCCTAGTATTTCTTATGAACAGAGGTATGGAGGAAATTCGGATTAAGAAAAAAAGACGATCATTTTTAGGAATAAATAAGTAATATAGCACTGCTAATTGTATTAGATGAAGGAGATTACCAACCAATGAAGTCATACAGCTTTGATATTTTTAATTGGTTGGAAATTTTATAGCGAAAATTTGGGGGGAAACATGCTTTTTAGCTTTAAAATCCTGCACATCGTCGGATACCCGTGATGAGTAAAAGACGAGATCACCCGTGGGTATCTGACGATGAATCCTTCAGGACTTACTTGATTTTCAACTTTACTGGCCCCTAGCCAATTTTACTGGCCTCGAACCTGTGGATTTTTGTAATGACTGCAAAAAACCAGTCCATGTAGAAAAGCAAAAGTAAATCATATAACAAGATTTTTTTTCTGTTCTGCTAGTCCGACGGACTAGCGTTACATTTAAATTAGCTAGCCCGAGTCTTAAAACGACTAGCCCCGGGCGTCGGGCTACCGTATATTTCAACCCCTGCTGCTGATGAATTAAGTCAACTTACAATGTACAGTACCAAAAAAAACCTGAATATTATGTGTGAAATGGGCTAGGAAACAATTCTGTGTTCTACTTTTTGAGTTGACACCCAGAGGCTCAATGTTTCTAAGCCAGAAAAAAAGTTTTAAGCAATTTATATATTATTTCAAGTTTAATTTTTTGGTATAATCAGTTTTCACTTGATTTTGTTGATAGATTATTTTCAAAATAAAGAGAATGCCCTCTACATTTATTATCCAAGTATCCCCACCCTTGCAATTTTGTTCTTTTATTTACCTCATACACAAATAACAATATTAAAGGAAGGGGAAAAAAATCATACCCCAGACTAAAATAATTCTTGAGCAAGTGACAAAAAGATTCACAACTATTACTTTTTAAGCATAACCTTGATAACCATACTAATTTCTTGATTAAAAAATTTGAATTTCAATTTTGGCAATAATTGCCCTCTCAGTGTGTATTAAATGAATTAAGCTGACAGATTTATAAATTTTTCTTTTAGATACTTGTATAACTAAAGATTTCAGTATTAAATAATAATTTAAGTACATAAACATGATGAAGAAAATATTTATAATTTCAAAAAGTGCCCTCATGAAAACTTGTCGCGGCGTAAAGTGCCCCTTTGATTATTGGATTACCATGCCCTTTTTAGGGTCTGGATTTAACACTAAAACTATATGGCCTACCTGAACCAAACTTGCATGGATGATGCATCAAGGGACGCACACTCTCAGAGTTGCTTCAGATACTGGATTTGACCTTTATTTTCCAAATGAGTGACCAGGTTAAAGTTTTTGGAGCAGACTCATTCCAGTGTAACTTCAAACCCTATCTAGACCAAACTTGCATGGATGATGCATGAAGGGATGAACACTTTCAGACTTGCTTCAGATGCTGGGTTTGACATATTTTCTGTAAAATAAGTGGTTAAAAATTAAAACAAGCCCTAGTGGACCAAAATTGCATAACTGTTGGATCTAGGGATGCATACTACTAGATTATTAGTTTAGTGTGGGACTTTGCCTTACTTAAAGATAACATTCATTGAGGTGAGCTCTGTAACCTCTGGTTACCTGTGTTTTTAGCTCACTTAACTGAAAGTTCAAGTGAGCTTTTCCAATCATATTTTTTCCAGCATATGTCTGTCTGTCAGTCTAGCTTTCTGTCCATCATTAAACTTTTACATTTTTGACTTCTTCTCAAGAACTACTGGGCCTTTTGCAAATTTGCCACAAAGGGTCTTTGGATGAAGGGGATTCAATTTTTTGTCAAATGAAGGGCCACACCCTCTATCAAAAGGAAATAATTAAGAATTAGTGAAAATTAAATTGCATCTTTCAAAAATCTTTTTTCTCAAGAACCACTTGACTAGAAGAGTTGAACCTGATCTGAAAGCTTCATTACATACTGTAGATTCAAGTCTGTTGAAATCATAAACCCTGGGGTAGGGTGAGGCCACAAGAGGCAAAGATTTGCATTGGAATACAGCAGGAAAAAATCTTCTTCCTAAGAACAGCAAAGGCATGATTAGTCATCATATTGATTTGGAAGTATTTTTAGGTAGTCTAGATCCAAATATGACCCCCAACTGATGGAACTTAGAGACTCGGGTGAGCATTGTGGCCCATAGGCCTCTGTAAAGTAACGTCAGCTTTTTTCAAAAAGAATTTATTGTTAGATCTGAGTTAGATCATCTGACATTGTTCCATTGAGGTTTGTTTTATGATTTTAAGAGGATGATGTGTACATTGCATTCCTTGACCTCTTTCAGAGACAATGGCTGGGATTATCTTGAGTTCAGGTTATGGATTGGGTTGTGGACAGGTATTCTTCTCATAATCATGGTGATTCTGGATTTATCTGCCTGGGTACAGTACATCACTCGCTTCACGGAGGAAAGCTTTGCACTTCTTATCTCCCTTATCTTTATCAAGGAGGCCTTTGCCAAGCTAGCCAAAGTGACATTAACCCATCCGATCCACTTTCCCATTGAAACCCGCCCTGGATGGTGTCAGGGAATATGTCGACCTCCTCTGTCAGAGGAGGTATCAAACGACACACTAGCTAACGTCACTGTGGTCAGTACGACAGTGGTGGCCAGTACTACAACGATGTCAACATTCAGTAACACAACCAACAACACGACGACAATCTCTTTTGAATCAACTCTCCTCTGGGCCAACAAGAGTTTGGAGGATTGTGTACTAAGTGGAGGACATTGGGATAAAACCTATGATTGCCACAGTGACACTGAGCCAGAAGTCTTCTTTCTCTCTGTGATTCTATTTTTAGGAACATTTCTCATCTCTATGACTCTGAAGAGAATGCGTACCAGTAAATTTTTCCCAACACAAGTATGTCATGTTTAACTGTTGCCTTTCTTATTCCAAAACCTTGTTACAATGTTTTTTTATGGGTAAATCATCTAACCTGCCGATTGATTTCTCCCTTTGCATTAAAATTTTACCTTTATTACTTGACTGTAATTTGCTGTTATCCACATGTATATAATAAATCTGAATTTGTTGATTTAGGTCAGAGGAATAATAAACGATTTTGCTGTGATGATTGCTATTGTGATAATGGTGCTGACTGACTTCCTCTTGGGTATTCCTACACCAAAACTACACGTTCCTGAGGAATTCAGGGTAAGTTTTGTTGTGATAATGGTGATGACTTCCTCTTGGGTATTCCTACACCAAAACTACACGTTCCTGAGGAATTCAGGGTAAGTTTTGTTGTGATAATGGTGATGACTTCCTCTTGGGTATTCCTACACCAAAACTACACGTTCCTGAGGAATTCAGGGTAAGTGTTTTTGTGATATAATGGTGATGACTTCCTCTTGGGTATTCCTACACCAAAACTACACATTCCTGATGAATTCAGGGTAAGTTTTATTGTGGTATAATGGTGATGACTTCCTCTTGGATATTCCTACACCAAAACTACACGTTCCTGAGGAATTCAGGGTAAGTTTTGTTGTGATAATGGTGATGACTTCCTCTTGGGTATTCCTACACCAAAACTACACGTTCCTGAGGAATTCAGGGTAAGTTTTGTTGTGATATAATGGTGATGACTTCCTCTTGGATATTCCTACACCAAAACTACACGTTCCTGAGGAATTCAGGGTAAGTTTTGTTGTGATAATGGTGATGACGTCCTCTTGGGTATTCCTACACCAAAACTACACATTCCTGATGAATTCAGGGTGAGTTTTGTTGCGATAATGGTGGTGACTTCCTCTTGGGTATTCCTACACCAAAACTACACATTCCTGATGAATTCAGGGTAAGTTTTGTTGTGATAATGGTGATGACTTCCTCTTGGGTATTCTACACCAAAACTACACATTCCTGATGAATTCAGGGTAAGTTTTGTTGTGATAATGGTGATGACTTCCTCTTGGGTATTCCTACACCAAAACTACACGTTCCTGAGGAATTCAGGGTAAGTGATATTGTGATAATGGTGATGACTTCCTCTTGGGTATTCCTACACCAAACTACATATTCCTGATGAATTCAGGGTAAGTGATATTGTGATAATGGTGGTGACTTCCTTATGGGTATTCCTACACCAAAACTACACATTCCTGATGAATTCAGGGTAAGTTTTGTTGTGATAATGGTGATGACTTCCTCTTGGGTATTCCTACACCAAAACTACACGTTCCTGAGGAATTCAGGGTAAGTGATATTGTGATAATGGTGATGACTTCCTCTTGGGTATTCCTACACCAAAACTACACGTTCCTGAGGAATCCAGGGTAAGTGATATTGTGATAATGGTGATGACTTCCTCTTGGGTATTCCTACACCAAAACTACACATTCCTGATGAATTCAGGGTAAGTTTTGTTGTGATAATGGTGGTGACTTCCTCTTGGGTATTCCTACACCAAACTACATATTCCTGATGAATTCAGGGTAAGTGATATTGTGATAATGGTGGTGACTTCCTTATGGGTATTCCTACACCAAAACTACACGTTCCTGATGAATTCAGGGTAAGTGTTATTGTGATAATGGTGATGACTTCCTCTTGGGTATTCCCACATTGTGTAAACTTTGTAAACATTGTGTATACTTGGGTATTCCCACATTTTTCCCACACCAAAACTACACGTTCCTGAGGAATTCAGGGGAAGTGTTGTGATATAATGGTGCTGACTTCCTCTTGGGTATTCCCACATTGTGTAAACTTTGTAAACATTGTGTAAACTTAGGTATTCCCACATTTCTCCCCCCCCCCCCCCCACCCACCAAAGTTACATGTTCCTGAGGAATTCAGGGGAAGGGAACTACAAGTGATAACAACTAGATATTGATCATTATTCATTCACTGAATATTAAATTGACATGCAGTGTATATTTCATAGGACAGTGGAAATCATATTTGGGCGTTTTTTTTTTTTTGTTTTTTTTTTGTTTTTTTTTTTTTTGTATGGCCATGTAAAATATAGTATATAATATGAGCCTTGTATTACACAAAACAGAAATGAGTACTCTTTTTTTTTTAGCCCACTAGTGATAAAAGAACTTGGGTTGTAAATCCAATAGATAAGAACCCGTGGTATCTACCGATAGCTGCCATTATCCCGGCATTACTTGCTACCATCCTTATTTTCATGGATCAACAGATCACAGCTGTCATTGTCAACAGGAAGGAGAATAAACTTGTGGTATGTAAATTAAAAACTGTAAATTAAATGTATGTAAATTCACTGTATTATTAGTTACATAGTTTTGTAGTGACAGGGTACGGGATGATACCTGGTTAGTAAATTTCATACCTGGCGAGGCGAAGCCTCGCCAGGTATGAAATTTACTAACCAGGTATCATCCCGTACCCTGTCACTACAAAACTATGTAACAAATTTACCCCATCGATGAAATGTTTGTGGTCTGTGGTTTGTAAAGTTGTTTTTCTCCGCTATATGTTTCATCACTCATACAATGCCTATTATGACGTCACGTTGTGTTACGTAATGTTGTTTTGCGAGTGTTTCATAACGTACTGACAGTTTCGAAGACTTTAAGTAAAGTGAGAAAAAGGTTCCATCTCGTTACTTACGTTGATTAACTTTTTACTTATCAACAGACACCCGCAAACCCCTGAACTCGAGTTGTTCGAAGTGTTACAAAAGTACGATAACTCCGCATGAACCATGTATTGATTTTCAAGCGACTAGGTATAAGTAATACACCCCCTTCACGTGACAGACTTCAACCAATCGGAAGCCAGGATTTCATCGAAAAATCATCAGAGGTGGGGTAGAAACTGATACACTGGACCTTCAGATATCCGGACGCTTCAGTTCCCGGATGACTTTTCATGGGAACGAAATTTTTTAACGTTATTATACCCCCCGCAAATGAAGTTTAGGGGGGGTATATTGGAATCAGTTTGTTCGTCTGTCTGTCCATCTGTCTGTCTGTCCGTCTGTCTGTAGACGAGATATTGTCCGGACCATTTCTTGGAAACTGTTGCAAGGATTTGTCTGAAAATTTGTACACTTATTTTTCGCCATATGAAGGTGTGCACCTGATATTTTCATCATGATTGGATAATTTTTTTGCATTTTACAGGTGCTTTTTTCATTTTTATTTTATGGTTTTGTCTGGATCTGTTCCTAGAGACTATTGCATAGATTTGTATGAAAATTTGTACACTTATTATTTACCATATGAAGATGTGCACCTGGTATTTTCAACATTATTTGATAATTTTTCTGCATTTTACAGTTGTGTTTTTTTTTTTTCATTTTTATTGACTTAGTCATTTCGGGTTCATGTCTAAGGTGTGAGACATAGAATCTAGAACATCTGTACAAATATGTGAACTACAGCTTAAAACAACTCATTAGAACTAAAAAAAAAATCACAAAGTATTAAAAACAGTTTTTACTTACACAGCAGATAGTGTAAATCCATTTGTCCCTTGGGAGTAATGAGTGGACATGCATCCAGTTAAAGATTAATTAATGAGTTCAGTGTGGGAAGCTGTTAGGGCATCTCTGATCAAGCAGGTCTTATCATCTATATCTCCTGGGAATTGGGCAGAAAGAAATAAAGATCTCTGTTGTCTAAGTCTCTTAATTGTAATTTATGTCTGTCAAAATACATAGTTACTGGAACCATTTTATTTTTAAAATGAGTTTGATATAAAGGTATTAAGATGAATTTGATTTTGTATAATTAATTATGATCATTTTTTTTTTCAACGATCAATTTGCAGTGTCATGTCTCACAAAGATGACAGATAGTTGCAAACTATTTTTTCAATGTAATAAAAAACACTGTAATTATTAGTATTGATGTTTTATTAGGCTGCACCTTAGTTTCATTCATTAAATAAAGTGCCCCACCACAGCATGATATGCCCATCAAATATTGTTAAATTATCATAAACAGTTTAGATTCAATTGTTCGAATGACATCTTAGCGAGACAAGGCAGTCTGCAATTTGTTGTAAAGATATAGAAATTAAAATAAAAAAACGTACAATAAATAATTAGTTTAAATTATATTATACAATATCATATAAGTTTTAATTATTATATACAATATCAAATTAGTTTTAATTACATCAAATTTATCTTGAAAGTAAGACTAGCCAACAAGAACAATTCAATACAACACAAGCAATTAATTAAGAGACTGATTCCTTTTGCCCAATTCCCAAGAGATGTAGATAACACCTGCTTGATCAGAGATGCTCTACCAGTTATCTCCTCACACTAAACTCATTAATTTATCTCTAATTTGACATGCAATTTTCTGCTATCAAAATTTTCCTTGACCAGTGCCTGATCATTACACCCATGGGAGAGGTGGAATTTTTCTTGTTACAGACTGCTGTAAAGAACATAATGAAAATAATAAGACTAGTATTTTCTTGATTAAACACTTTTTTTAATAAAGATACTGCAATACTGATCTGACATCTTTTGGGATTGTGTAATTTAAAAGTTAAAAGACATAGTTTTTTGATTCTAAGTCTAATGGTTTTCTAGTTATGATTTTTCCATATTTGGCCATAGCGTCTTAATTAAAGGTCAGAGCGACCTGGTTTTAATGTCCGACACACCTTCTACCCTAGATGTATCAGCTGACAAAGTTTAATAATTCTAGGCCTAATAGTATTAAAGTTATGAGCCGGACATGAAAAAGCTAACAGACGGACGGGCGGACATGAACGCTATAACATAATACATCCCGTCTTAAGACGGGCATATAAAGAAATATAATGAGTAATTTAATTTTCACTGTAAATGTTTAAGCAAAATGTGAACACCTCTCAAATCTACAAAACATTAGTGATTTGGTACTTTCTCTGAAAAACCCAGCGGGGGGTATTTGTCCCTTTTGGACAGTTCTAGTTTTGTCTCGTTTAACCGGAATTCCGCGTTCCGTATTCAGACGGTCTTTTTTCACCACAAAATGAATTTTAACGTTATATTTTGGTTCATTTATCTGGACGATAATTTTTTAACTGGTCTGCCGAGTCTGCTCAAATTTCTTGATCTGGGTGGTAACAGTTGTAAAAACACTGGTCTAGCTGTTTGTTTAAAAAGATGATCACCTGCAACCTGTTATCAATGGCTTGCGGCAAGGTTAATTGTAGGTTGATAGGTACGCACGAAACTCTCACTTCTCTAACATGGTTTTGATACGTTTTAATTAAGGGAAATAATTTTATAAGTCTAAGATAATTTTTTGGTAGTTGGCAAATATATTTCTTTTACTGTTAGAATACAGTCATAACATGGTTTTATTATTTATAGACATGTCATTGGAGTTTTTTATGCACAGTATTTTGTGCGCAAAAGGCATTCTATGATTTGATGACTGTTTATAAAATCACTTTCAAAATTACACAATCGTTAATACGATCTTGCTTTGGATGATTACGATTAGCGTTCGTATACATGTGCAGATTATGTCACATTTAGCATTGATGGGCGTTCATATTAAATAAGACTCTACCGACAGTACCGACATGGCTACTAAAAGAAGTTGATTCATTAGACACTGGGAAGTAGAAATTATTAATGTGACCATATAAACATGTTTTTCCAATGATACATATACTTTTTTATTTATTTAAACAAGTATTGAGTAGTACTAACTTATATTAAAGTATTTAAACAATAAAACATATTGAAATAAAGCAACATTCTTTACTATTGAAAATGGTATGAAAGGCCATATAACCACTGATAACTAAAATCAGCGCAATTCAGGTATGCGGACGCTTCACATATCCGGACAAATTGACTGGGAACCAAAGTGTCCGGATAAATGAGGCTCCACTGTATATAAATTGTAAACTCACTGTATATACTGTAAACCATTACCTCCCCAAAATACCCCATAAACTCACTGTTTGTAAACCATCAACTCCTCATATGTAAACTGTAATGTATGTAAACTGTAATGTATGTAAACTCCCTTTGTGTGGAGTGTAAACTGATATGTAAAGTGTGAACTCACTCTATTAAACCTTGAACTCAGAACATGCATGCAACAAACTTTTCATGACTATACTAGCTATATGATCTTCACAAACTCAAAATTTATTGACCACAAACTTGTCAGATGTAAATATCCAAGTAACCACCTGTACAATATAAGGAGCACACTTGTCTTATACAAAATGTGATTCATGGTTTGTAAGCTATAAATTTACAATATGTAAATCACAAGAAGTTTAATTAACCCACTCTGAGTTTAGTAAATGCTCTTTACATGTGTAGCCAAATTCTAAATGTAAATAAAGTGCAAACTCAGTGTATGTAAACTGCAACTTTGTAATATAGCCTAAAACTATTTTTATCTCAATGTATGTTGCCAAAACTCACCATTAAACTGTGCTTGCATTTGTACAGAATTAATGAGACTCCTCTGTACAACTCCATAAAATTGTATTATTTTTTTATTAATAGAAAGGTAAAGGCTACCACTTGGACCTGTTTGTGGTGGCATGTCTGATCATCATCTGTTCCTTCCTGGGGCTGCCATTCTTCGTGGCAGCTACAGTCTTGTCTATTACCCATGTTATGAGTCTGAAGAAAGAATCAAAATGTGCCGCCCCAGGAGAGGCACCAAAGTTCCTGGGTGTCAGGTAAACCAGATTATCTTAATTTACTCATGTAATACATTAATGTTTGTAGCAGTTCTTTTAATAAAATATCTCTTTCTTACATTGTTTACAAAGACATGTCAAGCTTCTATGTTAAGTACTGAAATCTTTTTTTTGTACTTAGAGAGCAGAGAGTTACTGGCTTTATGATCAACTTGATGATTGGTATCTCCATTTTACTGACAGGGATTTTAAAGGTTGGTGAATTAATGTACATTAAATATTTAATATAAAGTAAGGAGAAAATGTAGAAGTACTGAAACATTAGCTGATACATGCATGACTGTCTTTGATGGTCCAAGCACTTGTGCATGCAGTAGTAAGAATGCATTATACATGATGGTGTCCTTATTCTTATGATGTACATGTATATTGTTTACTTCATCACAGCACATCCCGATGCCTGTGTTATATGGAGTATTCTTGTATATGGGTGTGTCCTCTCTCCGCGGAATGCAGATCGTGAACCGGATCCTGATCTGGTTCATGCCCCAGAAGTACCAGCCAGACTATATGTACCTCCGACATGTTCCTACTAAGAGAGTCCATCTATTCACTGCTATACAAGTCATGTGTCTAGTGATTCTGTGGATTGTTAAAAGCATTAAAGACACTTCAATTGTTTTTCCTTTAATGGTAAGACTATGATGGGTCATTGCTAAATTCATCATTAGATTTATCTGCACTGGTGAAAAAAAGTTTGATCTAATCTAACAACAATGTACTTTTGAAGTCCCTGATTTTCCAAATGGGGGTGCGGTGGGGGGGTAGTTTTTGGTGTTTTCATGATATGAATTCATGTCCTTCACAAAATGTTGAAATTTTGAACTTCACTATCATGTATAATTTTTCATCTCAGTGAACCATTATTTTTTCCTCAGACCACAAAAATTGATCCCACAGAATAAGTGATTTTACAGTACATTTTAGGTTTAAACATGATTTAAAATCCAGTTAATATGATCCCCCCCCCCCCCAAGTATGTGGAGACAACTAATGACTGCTGGAAGCAAGTTTTAAGTATATGCAAGCATGCTATACTTTTAAATTTAAAAAAAAAACATTACAGCAGGCTTGTTCCTATGACCAGTGGGCCGGGGAATTTTCCCACCTATAATGACATTTCCCCCAGTTATTCTGGTATTCCCTCTCAACCACTTTTAGGGGAGGAGACTCAGACACCCTTCTATTTTTTAATATCCCCTGCTACTTCAATTCTTAGGGACAACCCTGATTACAGTCTAACCTTGTTATCACAAACTCAATGGGACTGAGAAAAACTTCAAGATATCCAATTGAAAGATTTGAGACACATGTATTGAGGTTGAAATACATAATGAAAATGTAGTTGGGACTCTTTAATTACTCAAACTTATCAATGCTAGTCAAGATATCAATGTTCAAGATGCCAAAGTTCAACAGTATTTTTGTTCACATTTTGCTAGGTGTTGGCTATGTGTTTTGTAAGGAAGGGATTAGACTGGATTTTCACGCAGGATGAATTACGATGGTTGGATGATATCATGCCTGAAATACACAACAGAAATAAGGAAGACGAAGATAAGGAAAAGAAGGTAAAACTGTCAACATAATCATAAAAGTAATCAAATCATCAACGTAATCAGAAAAGTTATAAAATCCTCAACGTAATCAGAAAAGTAATCAAATCCTCAACATAATCATAAAAGTAATCAAATCATTGACATAATCAGAAAAGTAATTAAATCAACAACGTAATCAGAAAAGTAATCAAATCATCTATGTAATCAGAAAAGTAATTAAATCAACAACGTAATCAGAAAAGTAATCAAATCATTGACATAATCAGAAAAGTAATTAAATCAACAACATAATCAGAAAAGTAATCAAATCATCAATGTAATCAGAAAAGTAATCAAATCCTCAACGTAATCAGAAAAGTATTCAAATCATCAATGTAATCAGAAAAGTATTCAAATCATTGACATAATCTGAAAAGTAATTAAATCAACAATGTAAACAGAAAAGAAATCAAATTATCAATGTAAACAGAAAAGTAATCAAATCATCAACATAATCAGAAAAGTGATCAATTCATTGACTGTGTTTAATGGTATATCACAATTTTATTATGTGTTTCAACATCACCTCCCTCCTTTCAAAGGATTGCATGAGGTAAAGAAATTTTCATATCCGTCTGTTTGTCCATCCCAGATTGTGTCAAGTAACTCACTTTATAATGGGGAAAAAATTGGAATTTCATACTTCCAAAAAGATTAAGTTAGACCAGTTAACTGTTGGACCCAAATTTGGTACAAATGTTAAGGATGACAAGACTCAAATGTTAGGAATGACCAGTGTACCCAAATGTTAGGTGTAGTCAGTTGACTCAACAATATAGTTTGGTCAGTTGACCCAAAGGTTAGGTATGATCAGTTGGACACTTGAATTACGTATGTTCATTTGACACCAAAGATTTAGTATGACCTGTTGATAAGATATGACCAGTTAACACAAAAGTTAGATAAGGTCAGTTAACACAGAGGTTATGGTCAGTTGACACAAAAATTGGGTATGACCAGTTGATAGATTTCACTTATTGACACAACATATTTGACCAGTAAACACAACAGAAAATATTACAGTTAGGATTTGGGCAGATGTCACAACATTTAAACAATTAATATTACAGTTAGGATTTAGCCAGATGTCACAATGATTGAACAGTTGACATAAAGTTGGGTATAATCAACCTGTTGACACAGATGGTTTTATTTGATCTTCCTTACCGTTAGTCATAGGAACTCGCTCGATGAAATTTTTGTTTTTAGCAGAATGTTATTTTGCAAACCTTGAAGAAGAAGTATATTCTGAAAACTTTGTGATTGGTTATTCATCAAACAATTTTAATCAGAATGATAAATTACAGTTCTGCATATGTAGACATAATCTGAAGGTCACCTAGAAAAGATTTACAAATGTGGTACATTGTATTCAAATACAGAAAAGGTATAGAGTGTATGTATGTTCTATAATTGTACAGGACAAAGAAGAAAAGGAGAAAGAAATGGCATCGCTACCAAATGGATCCTCCTCAGCAAACTCTCTCCACATGAACGTTGTCAAAGTGGGAATCAACACACCAGACAGTGATATGTGTATATCTGACGAGATGACAAAAACCAGTCTCTGGAAGTCTATTATTGCTAACGAGTCGTCCCCCTCCCTCAACAGCAACAATAGTGTAACAAAGTAAGTACCTTGCTGTGTTAAAACAAAATTGTTTTTCTCACTTGAACTGATTTTGAAATACCTAATAATAGAAAATAGCTTGCATGTAAATTCAGTTTGGAAGTTTTAATCAGTGAATATTAAAAATATTAATTGGTTATTAAGTAATGATGGAATTTGAAAGATAAAGAAAGTAAATGAGTATGTTGATGTTTCAGTCCTTTTTTTTAGGTCACCTGAGTTTACTCAGGTGACCTATTGCTATCTGTTTTCGTCCGTCGTCGTGCGTCGTCCGTTAACATTTGAGCATTTTCAGCTTCTTCTCTGGAACCACTGAACCAATTTCAACCAAATTTGGCCCATAGCATCTATATGTGAAGGGGAGTAAAATTTGTGAAATTCATGACCCCTACCCCCCTGGGGCCTGAGGGGTGGGGCTAAAACCATCAGAATTAATGCAATCTTTAAAAATCGTCTTCTTTACTCCTGGGCATCAAGCAGGCAAACTGTTGGCATGAATGTAATAAGCATTGAGCCCTATACCTAAATTGTGAAATTTATGGCCCCAGGGTCAGGGGTTCTGGTGCTAGGGTGGGGCTCTGTTGAATATGTAGTGAAAAGCATTATTCTTAAAAAATCTTCTCCTCTGCTCTTGGGTATTTAGGAAATGAACAATATGCATAGTTATGATGAGGAAAGGTGTCTCTTCTAAAATTGTGAATTTCATGGCCCCTGGGTCAGGGGTTCTGGTGTTAGGGCGGGTATCTAATGATTATATAGTGAAAATGCATTAATTATTCAAAAATCTTCTCCTCTGCTCCTGGGTATTATGCCGATGAACTAAGTACATAGTTATGATGAGAAAGAGTGCCTCTTCCAAAATTGTGAATTTCATGGCCCAAGGGTCAGGGGTTCCTGGTGTTAGGGTGGGGCTCTGTTGAATATAAAGTGATAATGCATTATTTCTTTAAAAATCTTTTTCTTTGATCCTGGGTATTTAACAAACAAACTGATGCATAGATATGATGAGTAAAGGTGCCTCTTCCAAAATTATGAATTTCATGGCCCCTGGGTCAGGGGTTCTGGTGTTAGGATGGGGCTCTAATGATTACATAGTAAAAATGCAATAATTCTTTGAAAATCTTCTTCTTTTCTCCTGGGTATTAAGCTGATGAACTAAGAGTATTGTTATGATATGTAAGGATGCCTCTTCCAAAATTGTGAATTTTATGGCCCCTGCATCATGGTTCTGGTGTTAGGTCAGGGCTCTAATGATGCATTAATTCTTTGATAATCCTCTGCTCTCTTTCTGGGTATTAAGTAAGCTTACTAAATGTAAAATTATGATGAGCAAGTGTGCCTCTTTCGAAATTGTGAATTTCATGGCCTCTGGTTTAAAACATGAATCCATTGTTGCGAAGTTGTTGCATGATACTCAGGTGACCTATAAGGCCCGTGGGCCTCTTGTTTCTTTATAGAAATTATAAGAAAGAGATTTGTAATTTGTACAAGATTTTTGAAAAGCTTTTATTGGGAACATTATTTTTTTTTCAGACATAGGAAGCATAAAAACAGTAAAAACAAATCCTCAGGTCAAGGGGTGTCTTTCTACATAGACGAAGAGGAAAAGGAGCACCTGTTATCAAACAAGGCCCCTGAAATTGTGGTGGATCCACCCAGCAGAGATCACAGTGATAATGAAGAGAAGGATAGTAAAATGTGATAAAGCCATGTGTAGTCCCCCCCCCCCCCCCCCAAAAAAAATACAAATGTGATGTCATTTTGTTAAGGATTGCTAAAAGCTATTTATTATTATGTACATTGTACAATATTTTAGGTTTGGATCTTGTTAAATTGCATTTATTTTGAGTGAATGAAGTTGAGAGCCTGTCAGTGTAAAAATTCATCTTGTATGATTGTAGAGTACATGAAGTTGTCCAATGTCAGGAATAGAATAAGAGTGAAGTGTTTCAAAATCAGCGAATAATTATCAAAATCAGTTTGCATTTGTTTGAGTTCATCAAGGTTCAGGGCATCATGTTTCACAAGCAACTTTTGGATTTATTATTATTATTAATTTTTTACTTGATATATTTTGAAAATAATTCATACAATGCTAATCAAATTAAGTAATTTGTTTTAATATACCTCCAGTTACCCTTCAAGAATCAAGATTGTCCAAATAAAAAATGGGGGATAGGCAGCACTGCATAAAATAGGTTGGGAATTGGCTAAAATACATTACATGTTAAATATTTTCTGTAGTGCTGAAGAAATCTATGTACTACACTGTTAGGGATTCAAATGTCATATTTTATGTTGTGATATTGGTCTTTGAATTTTCCCTGCAGATATTGTATCTAAAACTATTCATGTTTTCCTTTTTTGTTTGTTTTTTGTTGTTTCTTTTTTATTTAAAAATTATGTCTCACTTTTGTAGCTTTATTCATCTATCCCAGTGCATAAAATTTTTAATTATGATTTCCAGCATTGAAATCCGTATCTTTATAAAGATTTTTATAAATTTCTTTATATTTCTATATTTACATGTATATTTAGGATATTCATTGATTGTTTATTTTGTTTGTCTTCATTTTTCTCCCTTTATTTCTTACTTTTTGATATGAATTTTTTTTTTTAGTTTTGGCACATGCCTTTTTATGAAAGGTTGTATGAACTTGGAAAAAAAACACCCTTACAACGGAAATCTTTCTGAAGCCCTTTGATGCATATTTTTTTATGTAGATGTGTGGGTGGTGATAGTATTAATAAATGTAAAATGGAGGGTTTTTCTAGGGCTAAGTAGTTCAGAACTATGTCAAGTAGCTCTTTCTTACAAGAAATTCTTTCTTCCCACTTGAAACATGTTGATTTTATTATAGATTTACAAATTAAAATGATACCTTGAGATGTTTTAATTAAAGTGCATTTTTAGGCATCTGATTGTATGCCCAAAATTGATCAACCTGTGTGTGATTATGAATTAACGATAGTATTAATTCAAGGTCTTAAGTGAAATAGAGGACAATGGTCAGTTAGCCTGATATGTATTTTGTCACAAATACATATTGTGTATTTATGTACTGTTTGATGTGTGTTCAATAACTGCAATACCTGGGGGTAAAATGTTACTACTGTTTTGTCCATTTCCTCTTTATGTTACCCTCCACTGTTTTTCTTTCCATATGTAATCATTATATTAAGCTTTGTTGCAATATTCTATTATAATGCTCTTGGTGGTCATAACCTGTAACTTTCATGCATTTTATATAATTTTTCTTCAGTGCTTTTTTTTTTGTTGGATCTCATAGATATTGAATGCTCTAAGCTTGTTTGAAACATGGATTGATTCTGATTTAATACACACATTTATTATTGAAGAGACAGAAGGGCTTGTAGATGGACACACAAATACTGTTATAAACTCAGGCATTTAGAAAACATATCAGTTTTTGTGTTGCCCTGTACTATAAATTTATTTTTATCTCGGATAACTGGAACAGTTATTGGGTGAAGTAATTAAGAGACAGAATAAAAAGGAACATACCATTTGTTAAGGTCACTCTTTTTACATGAAATACATGTATATGTACATGTATTCCTAGGCATTTAGCCTCTTATTATGAATGAATTGTAACTTGTTCATTTGTCAAACTGTTAAGAGATTATCATGAATTCATGCAATTATCACCTCTTGCTAAAATGCACCTAAATATTGGTTATGGAAGGACACAAAAGGTCAAAATGCATATCCATTGTGCTACAGTCTATTTATCCAGCACTTTTTGCATTAGAATCATCAGTGTATAACGTTTTATTGCTTCACCCAAATGGTCAGTTTGATTATTGTTGATTGTAAACATTTTAAATAATTACTAGCCTTCAAAGGCAAGATGATTTAAGTTTTCTGCTGTGCAGGAATCACACAGTATTGTTTAAATATTAACATTCACTTATACAATACTGTGTCATGCTGTGCTCTAGTTCAATTCTGAATCATTGAAATAATTTGAATTTAATGATCCATTCACTTTAATTCATATGCTCTTGTCCATGTTTAAAAACAAACAGTATATGAAAACTTTCTGTTTCATTGAAATGATATGTATTTTGAACTTTCATGAAATCATGTAAACTAAGCTTTTGTCTTGCTATGAATTCAATACAGCCCATGAAGGCCCAAATGTTTCTCAGACACAACTGCATTATACTGAATGCTACCCATGAGAAAGGGAATGACTCAATTTCGAAAATTGAGTTATTCCCCATAATAGAAATTGCAATAAAAATACATGTATTAACTCTGCCTGCTGTATTTTATTTTGAAATTGTTGACTCAACAAAACTATTATTACTATTATATTGTATGATCATTGAATTTCAGATTCAACATTAATTATTAACTAAACCTTGTGGTAGTTCAACTCCTATCTTTGCTAGCCAGTTGTTTCTGATCCTCATTCTGAAGAGTGGGTCAGAAACACTCCACTAGTGAAGATGTTCAACTCCCTGTTGAACATTATTAGAAGAACTGATGATTGCATACACCATTAGGTTTTGTCAGATGTCATACATTTTGTGTTTGGTGTATTTTCGTCAGGATATCACATCACTTTTTATAATTTGGTTTGTTTTTTTTAGCAATGGATTTTTCCACTATGTTGGTTGTTACAAACAAGAGGAAAGAAAGTTGTTTCCCCTTGTTTCTTATTGATTATTATTAGTAATTTGTTGAGAATGTGTTTTGATGAACATCATTATGGAATTAGGCAGGTATATTAAACTGTTAACAAGTTGTGTAGTCAGTGAATTCATGCTGAACGTGAATAAATCATGAACTAAGTCGTCTACTTCTCTCTATTGAATAATTTCTCTACAGAAGGAAGGTATACAATGTTGCGAACAAAAAGTTACATCCCTTAAATGATCATTGTAAATGTTTGCACATTTTACATGTGCTACGAATAGCACGGCTTCTACAAAGAGGGAATAAAAATATACCGTCACCATTGTTGTTCCTTCTCAAGAATAAAGGAGTAACCCCCTCCCCCCGAAGTAGAAATCGTGCATCTGAAGCTTACTGATGGATATTCCCCAAAAATGACAAAACTTATTCTCCTTGAAAAAAAGAGAAAAGGACTGTTCATTAGTCATGGAATATGTTGGACAGTTCAGTGCTGTTTTGTGAATATCAACTCGATCAATTTTGAACGTTAAATTCTTATATATATATATGTTTATTCACCAATCAAGGGCCCTCAGGGGGCATATACAATTATTTCAGAATGATTACATATAAATAATATTAAAGTATATTGTAATATGACAGAATATAAATCATATCTATCATGAGGGTACAAATGAAAGATGTACAATAACACGAGTAGGATACTCATGAAAATGCAAGATTTGCAAAATAGTCACAATAGTCTGAAACTGGATCAAAAATATTGAGTAGGAAGAAAACAGAAGGAAGATAAAGAAATTGACAATAATAGTAGTATGCTAATACATGTATATAGTGTGGCTTGAATACAGAGGCACCAGGGGACGATGCCTCTGCATAGTCAATCTTACTGACACACCTGTACCCTAAGTATTCAAGACACTCATTCAGAATCATCTAGGTGATAGCAAAACTAATAACATATATAAAAAATACTTAACATATAATTATGTACCTACTCAATTCAACCTTTTTTAAAGTGATTATAGGTATTTTACATTCTAGTATAAAATACATAGTTACATACCCACATACATATACACAATCGTACATACATATGCATATCTACATACATTATTATAATACACAAATATACCATTATATTTAACAGTAAATAAGTAATATTAATACTATTATTTAGTGTAGAAAAGGTAGCTTGAATACAGAGGGTACCAGGGGACGATGCCTCTGCACAGTCAATTTTACTGGCAAACCTGTACCCTAAGTACTCAAGGCACTCAATCATTTCACTTTTAAAGGTTATAGGGGGAAAACACAAGTAACATATAAAAACTATGTACTTTACATAGAATAGACCTTAATAAATTTACTAATATTTTATATTCCAGCTTTCAGAATCATTTTACTAACTTGAATTAGTATTTGCACATCCTCGTTGGTCATAAGCCAAGTTAACTTACTATCACTGTCCAAGTTGTGAAAATTCTTACAGGATTTGTTTATTAATTCATACAAGACATTTCTTTCATCTTTAACATGATTACATGAAAGAAGAAAATGTTTCTCGTCATCAACTGATTTGTTGTTACATCTAGTACAGTGTCTTTCTTCTCTAGGAATGCCTATATATCTTCCCCTTTCAATATTAAGTCTGTGAGCTGATATGCGAAAACGTGTAAAGCTTCTCCTCTGCTCAATATATTTTTCCTGACCAAAATTTTGTTTAAAAGTACTGTAGCAACTTAGTTTTTTGTCAGAATTTGATTTCAGTTGTGAATTCCATTCCCGTATATAGTATCTAAATAAACAATCTTTAAGTGCACGTTTGAATTTGTCTTTTGACTGAAGTTAAATTGCGAATGCCATTGATACTGGTGAGAAGAAAATTAATGGAGCTGTACCAAGAAGGAATATTCTTGTCAAACAGTGATTTGGATTCATAATATGCATCTTTTAAAAGTGGAAAAGACTGGCCTAGATTTTCAAGTCTATACCAGTAACTTATCATTGATCTTATAATGTCAAAGTGCAGGGGGAATCTACCCAAATCAGACAAAACAGCAAAATTAGTTGCAGATTTATGCACACCAAGTATTGATTTGCAAAATTTCAAGTGAAGTTTTTCACAAATTAAGTTGGAGTATACTTTTTCAATAGTACAGCTGGGGATGCTGTTTTTTTCAGTAAATGGGTTAAAATAACCCCAAATTTCAGATGCATACAGTAAAATAGGTTTAATAGTATGGTCAAAAATGTGAATAGTGGTTTTAATGTCAGGATTCAGGGAAATGAAATTTTTTCCGAGTTTAAAAAATGATTTTAATGCTTTTTGATAAAGCTGCTTTTGAGCAAAAGAGAAAGAGCCAGAGGAACAAAATGTTACACCTAGATATTTGTATTCAGACACACATTCCAGTTCAACATCATCAAAGTAAAATTTAGTTTTGGTGAGCCTACCTGCTTTGTTAAAAACAATAATCTTAGTTTTAGATGTGTTAATATTGAGACACCAATCATTGCAGTATTGCTGTAGAATATTAAGTTCTTGCTGTAAACCTTCTGCTGTAGAGGAGAGTAAAATTGTCATCAGCATACATCAAGCACTTAATTGAATTTGAATTTATATAAACTGGGTCAGTAGCTGAGTTTAGATAATCTGGAAGATCGTTAATAAAAATTTTAAATAAATTGGGACTAAGATTGTCACCCTGCTTCACACCTAATGTTATTGGGAAAAAGTTTGTAATCTTATTACCGATATGGACACAGGATTTGCTTGATGTATACATGCTTTTGACTACTTGATAAAAATTTGTTCCCACACCGATTCTGAGGAGTTTAATTTTGATACCTGTGTGGATAACAGTATCAAAGGCTTTTTGAAAGTCAACAAAGCAGGCAAACACTCTACCATCCTTAGTATTACAATACTTATCAATAATTGTCTTAAGTATATACATATGGTCTGATGTTCTTGCTTTTCGAGTGAAGCCGATCTGATAATCACTTATTATATGATATTTTTCTAAAAATTTATCCAGGCGGATGTCAAGTATTTTATTAAATAACTTTCCTGTTGCATTTGTAACTGTAATGCCTCTATAATTGTTTGGATCGGAACTGTCATTACTTTCATGAATAGGAATAATGTACCCAGAAGACCAAGGTTTTGGATAATATCCAAAAGTAAGACAACTGTTGAATATTTTATAAAAACATGGTAATAAAAAAGTTTGACCACATTTGATCATATGGTTTGAGATATTGTCCAGGCCTGGGGCTTTTCCATTTTTTAATTTTGAGATGGCTATGGATATGTGATTATCAAGTTCACTGAAACATTTTTCTTTTTCCAAATCTGTAAGAATAGTGTCAAGCTGTGCCAGACGTTGAGCATACTTGGATTTTGGTTGGTTTAGATTTTGGAAGTGGGAGACCCAGGTGGATGGGTCAATTGCCTCAGATCTGTTAGTGTTTTCAGTACCTTGCAGCTTATCAATTAAATTCCAATAAGATTTTGGGTTTTCTTCATGTAGAGTTTCCAACTGTTTTAGTAGAGATTGCCTATACTGACGACATTTGTATTTCCTTGTTTTTGTATATTCTCTATAGAGTTTGTAATAGTGATTTCTGACCGCAGGATCTTTGGGGTACTTAGAATATATCTTTCCATAGCTAAATAAATTTCTTCTCATGGAGTTTAAGTCTGAATCAAACCATCTTTTTTGGTTTCTGTTCGACTTTTTGCGAATTTTTTTTTGCATTTTTGAAGGGATTTACCTGCAGTATTAATTATGATATTTGATAATTCTGTTGTGGCATTATCAATTGATGAGGGAGAATCAAGATTAGTTCCATTTAAAAGATTGTGTAATTTTCTTTGAATGTCCTCCGAATTAAGAGCAGCTTCAAAACGAGCAGAAGACTCATCAGACCATATATAGTTTGGTGATACAGGGCTTGAGTTGACATCATCCATATCAGATTTCAGACAAAACCTAGCAGACAGTGACCATTGCAACAAACAGTGGCAATCAGACAATGTAGGTAAAAATTCTGATATTCTAAAATACAATATTTGGTTTAGTATATTTTCTGAAACCAATACATAGTCAACAGTGCTACATCCATTTGGCGTAAAACATGTGTAGCTACCAACTGTATCTCCGAAGGTACGACCATTTAATATTCTCAATTGGTTTGATATACAGAGATCTAATAAGTCTTTGCCTCTGTTATCTAATTTAGAGTCCAAATTATGTCGATTAATAATTTGTATGTCAGCATTGTACCTTGAATGAAGAGGAATGAAGTTATTATCATCATTTACAATGAAATCAGGTTCAGTAGAAACTCTTGCATTGAAATCTCCACATAACAGAATATTACCCAATGATTTGTAATGAGCTATGTCTTTTTCAATGCACTCCAGAATATCATAGTCAATACTTTTGGAATAAGATGAATTTTCCGGGGGGTTATACAATACACAGATGAATAAATCTTGATCGAAATTGAAAATTTTTTTCTCTAACTTTATCCACTGAAAATCAGATTTTGTGTTCTTTAAAATCTTTATATGTGGTTGAATTCACTTCTGCATAGCATGGCCAACCCCCCAAAAGTTCTGTTGTTATGCTTTGATGCAGATCTACACACAAAGTGACTGTAGTATTTTCCTATCTTGTGGATACATTGATCATGACCTACATGAGTTTCAGCCAGGAAAATAACATCAAATTTTTCTATCTGTTTGAGAAAAATTGTGTCATTCAATTTATTGTATGATTTGCTTAAAAGGCCCCCTACATTCCAGAAGCCCATTTTCACTGATGAGTAAACAAAAGATGACTTCATGATCGAAATCAAATGAGTAAAAAAATAGAGAGAAAAAAAGTACTTGGCTTCAAGTATCTAACCTTTTATAACTTATTTATCTGAACACTAAAATCTAATAAGACATTGTCCTAGCTGCTTACATATTATGTTTTATATATTCAGTAACATATAAATGCACCTGTAGCTAAGTACTAAAAAATCAATTTAGTATCTCTTATCTTAGAGTATTAATAATAACTAGTTGAACACACACACACACACACAAAAGTTTTCAAGAACAAAACTACACTGTTTCCCATTTTACAATTACATGAATACATTAAAATTTGATGTAACCCCGACCTCGGCCTCTCCTATTGTTATGGCGGAATCTGGATCTGGATCTGGATCTTTCTTGGACTGGAATGTTCAGTAAAGTATGGATGCTTTTTTTAATGTTGGCTGCTAGTATTGAAGTTCCTTTAACAGAGAGATGATATCGGTCTTCTGTAAGAAAGTCAGGATATGATGTGAACTATGCTGGTGAACCCCCCCCCCCCCCCCCAAGTACTTTTTGACCTATCTTCTGCGGTGATCGTACAGACCTTCCGATACGTGACACAAGTTTACCAAACTATTTAGGTGTGTATAGGGGTCAACGATTTTTGAATAAGGGTGATGGGTGATTTAAATGTACTTTGCGTTTATTGTCACCCATTCGTCATTCCGAGTCACCTGATAATTAGTGTGCAGAAGTGAAATGGGTAGGGAAAACATTGAGAAACTACTCATTTTGTTTCTACAGTTTTTCAGTTGTTTCATGAAAATGGTATGATTAAAAGTGGCTTTACTGTAATATTCAACAAAGTTTTTTTGTACGCGTGTGCGTGCCTTTAAATTTTTTTTTCTTCAGTATACTTCAAATTTCTGTTCCGGTTTAAGTATTTTATGTGTACAGATTTAAAAAAGAAAAGAAAAGAAAAGCGAACTGTCCTATCAAAGGTTAACAATTCTCAGTATAACTATATCATATGTACAGTATCTGTCAATAAAATAAATCGACTGTTACTGAAAATCACTAGCGTTATCGCAGGCTCACGGCGTTTTGCCAGAATTGATTCCATAGTAATTTTTTTTGTAACATGCGCGTGGGTTCTTTCGTATTACAATAGAAAAAGGACACAACTTTGCGTAAAACTATTCATTTAAAAGTCAGCGGTTTATCAGTTTATTGAGTATAGAGGAAGTGTGTGACGGAAATAACCACAGCTTCACGTGGTAGCGGGCTGTCTGGAAACTAGATCTAAAACGGTAAGTAAGGGAAAGTAAGGACGCGAGTGCCTCTGTCCGCGAGTCTAAAGATCGCGTTTTCCCTGTGTATTAGAGTTGAGAAAGTGTAAGTTATTCTCGGATGTTGTGCCCTCAGTTTCGAGCCAAATGGAAATGTATTGATTTTAGTGAAATTCTGCCGGTTTGTTATAGTTTTATTGTGAAACTCTCGTATTTCACCTATAAATCTAGGATTCTGGAAAGTGATCTGTAATTGTTGAAGGTGACCTGAAGTCTCATCAGATAGTTTTTTCTCTTTTATGTGTTCATAAAAAAAATTAACAAACTTCCAGAAACGTGTTTTCCAGGGTAATTTAGTGTGTACATATTCTTTGTTACAACCAGATCGAGCTGGTAATTCACCTTTATACCCAGGGCACATTGGCAGTATATCATGTCGGGGGGTTTTCTAATCATGTCTGTTTTTTTTTGGGGGGGGGGGATTCAATTCCCGAGAATTTTGTTCTACAATAGGAAGTAATAATACATGTATGTAATCATTAGATATCAGCTTAATCTAACTTAATACTGGTATAGAAAATGTATTGTACCAAATAACACAGTTGTTAGGTGGTTTTAACAGTTGTTTAAGTTCAAGTAACAAAGAAACTCCATTTTAGCTTCATCTAAAGGGACAATTTAAATTATTTAATTGAATACGTGACGAACACTAGGAAAAAGGGCATTTCCATTAAGTACACTATACATATATATGGCATTTGATCTACTTGAAACAGCATCTCTAAATCTGTTTAATTTACACAAAAAGCTCGAGGGACTGTTGAATATTTGAAATGAGGGTTGACTTTTTAAATTATTTCATTTGATTTAAAAGCCCTGATTATCCCTGCATGAACAATTAGAACACCATTTGTCTTTGCTTTAGGAAGATTGATTATTGATTTTAATTCATACGTTTGACTTTTTGCATTTTTAATAGGTTAAGAAAGAAAGAATAAGTGGTTTGGACTTCCATCTAACTTCTACATATATCCAAGGTATTTGAGATATCAGTGTTCAAGATACAGAAGTTAAACTGTATACTCAAAATGTGGTGTAAAAGTCTATTAGCTTCATTGCATGGCTCAGGTTGTAAAGGCCGGCCGGAGCATTCAAGCTTGTGTCATTTCCCAAGCTGCCTCCGCACATGTTCCCCTCTTGACCTTTGCAACTCATTGGACTGCCTTCATCAGTCTAACTAGGGGACAATCAACAAAACTAGTAATTTATAAAAGCTAATAGTCCTTTGGACTATGGTTATTTAGTTGGTGTCAAATCTTGACTGTTTGTGTGAATTGCTTCACAGTTTGGCTAAGTGAAGCAGGTAGCATTTGTTCATGTGAAGGATCTGCATATATAGTGTGTCTTTATATGGTACCTTTAGAAAATGTCATTGGCAAACATTTTTTGGGAAAATCAAATTACTGAATACTTAAAAGGTTTATCCCCCTCCCTCCCTCACATTAAGACATTTCAGAGGCATAGGTGCTATGTTATTGTTTCTGTGAAATTTGGACTAAGTCGCCCGCATGGCCAGTGGTTTGAGTTGTGGTGTAATGAGTTGATCCTTACGTTGCTGGTTCAAATCCCACTGCGAGATGTGGAGATTGGTCCTCCGGTTGCAATAGGTGCTGGCATGAATAAGATCCCTCACTGCTTAATGGCCGTAAGTGCCGAGTATAGGATAAAATTTGCAACCCTCCACCAGCAAGTGGTGGTGTCTCCATATGAGTGAAAAATTCTCAAGAGGGATGTTAAACAACAGAAAAAGAAAAGAAAAAAAGAAATTTGGACTGACTCTAGTCCCAATTTCAGGTGGCCCTTCTGCTAAGAGTTCATATACAATATGTGCTGACTAATTGATTTTTAATTTATTACATGAGCTGAAAGGTTTTGTTTTTTTTAAATCAACTCAAAAGCACTAAAATCATCATAAGCAATTTTTTGAAATTGAAAGTGCTACAAGTTAAAAAGCCTTTTTGTTTGGTCTGTGATGTTTTAAGTTGTAAAATTATGTTCTAGATATATTTAAACTTGGCCTCTTTTAGCTACTTCCTTATGTTAACCACAACTAATTTGTAAAGATTAAAGTATTTTTTCAAATTCTTTTTTTCACTGAACAACATGAGCAGTATCCTTTCATTTGTATTGCCATAATGTCATAAATGCCCTCAAGTAAGATATATTAGTTAGATGTACTTGCAAAGTTATTCTTAAATTATATGTTTTGGTTTACAACCAAGATGTATAGCTTTGGTTCCATCAAGTATTCTTTCCTTATCCTATATGTTTCCCTTAAGGAAGTTCTAAACACAACTGAACAATGTTTTGTGGACTTTGAGAAAATAATCATATAAATGTATACAGTTTAATCAAGTTCATTTTCAACATAGGGTCACCTGCATGCCATCATTTCTCCAAGAAAATACACTACAGTGAAGTACAGAAAAACTTGAATCCGGACACCACTGTTTCCATAGATATAGGCCAGACTAGACAATATATTCTGGATTAGACAACATTTAAACAATAGAATTTACTGAAGGGGACAAATTTTACACAGTATTAGTCAAGATTTTGGTTTACACAACTCCCGGCAGGCACATAGGGGAAGGGGACTGCCCCCCTTTTTTTTTGAAACATAACTTTTTACTATTGAAAATATTGGTTCACCCCCTCCACTTTTTGTTGCAGTATAGTCAAAAGTCAAATAAGGGTAATGTAGTAGTGTATGAATAAAATTTGGTAATGAAAGAAGTTGGAACCTACCCTCCCTCCCCTCCCTCCAAGTATTGCCCAGTCCGTACCCAGTTTTTCAATGTGAGTGCTTATCTGATGGTATATAATCACGTGGTTCCTTTGAATTCTGTTATATATGAACATGTAATAAATGTGCAGCTTCTCATTTCAGTGATTGAATTGGCTATTAGCTGCTATTGGTTTATGTTATGAAATGGATCATGCACGAAAATCTCGTCATCACGGAAAAATTAAAAATAATACAAAGGAAACCTCTTTCTTCCTTTAGTCACATAAAAACATCACACATTATCTGAAACTGTATTTTTATTCAGTGGATGACACAAATAAACTGAAATAAAATTACATGATCCTGATTACTTAACTCTTACTAGTAACGTTTGGTGAGTCTAGACATCCTGAAATAGTTTATTGATTTCTTCAAGCAAAGTTAAGTATCGATGGTTGTACCTGTGGAATAAAGGGTAATTTTATTCTTATCTTTGAGCCTGCCTGTAGGAAATTTGTCAAAAGGGTTTGATGAATTGTTACAGGCTTAATATCCGGACTGATGGGTTTGTGAGGTAGTCCGTAAAGAGGAGCTTGGATGTAATTGTACTGGAATGGACAGCCAGGACTGGCCACTGCGAGACCATGGTTCCTCAGCCAAACTGTACAATCCAACAGAATCCGATATCCAAGGTTAGCACTTAAAATTTCATTTAAACTTCACCAAGTCATTTAGAGGACCTGTTGCTATCCATTTTTGTACATGTCTAACATTGTTTGCATTTTTCATGTTTTTGATCCTTTAGAACCATGGGGTCAATTTCATCCAAACTGACATTAGTACAAAGTATCCTTCAATGAAGGGAATTCAGTGACATGTAAAATCTTGTTTTGGATTTATACGGAAGATTCTTTCATTGGAAAGATAAACATGCAGCACAGATCGATGTGTCACATGGGATTTTTTCAGAGCCCCCCCCCCCCCCACTTTGAAAAACTGCTACAGGCCTGTAAGAAGCTATTTGGATTGCTGTATATCAACTGTTGTGATGTCATTTAGTAAATAGTAATACAAATAAATGCATGTAGTATTAAGTATATTTAATGTATGTTTATATGGACAGATATTTCGATCAATAATAGAAACAACCGCCACTATGCTTCATAAAATATTCCTGAAAATGAGTGACGTACTGAATACAATTAATTTTTAAAAGTAGTATGATTAATTATATCAATTTTAAGTTCTGTGTATGAATTTTGATTAAAAAGAAATTAAAACTATTTCAGAAATGTGTAACTTCCTGATAAAGTCACTACATGCATGTATATATGTATATGCATTTTGTTTCCTAGTTCATGTATTTTAATCAATAGAAGTCTCATGACACTCAGCAGCCTACATTTTATGTCATTTTAGGATATTAATGACACTTCTTAGTTGACTTTCTTCAGCTTGAGTATCTCTGACGTTTTATCAGTAAAATTAATACTTTACACCATAGAAACCCCGAACTTAATTTATCAATCCATATACAAAACTATAGTACATGTAAATGATTTTTTTTTTTACATGTATATAAGGATATATGTATAAATGAGTAGATTCGGGTCTTGAATACACTAGTTAAGTAAATACGATGTACAGATTTCAAGCGAGGTTTGCCCGAATAGGGCGAATTGTCCTAAAGGCAAGTTGTCTTAGGGGCGAACCGTCTAAAGCATTCTTGCGCATGCGTAACCTGACATAAGCCCATGGCATCTGGTTTAACCCCGCTTATATATTTTCTGCGTGGACCTCAGGGTCCACGCAATAATGAAAATTATTGTAGGAATTTCAGTAATAGTGTCTTGGGAACCGTTGAGCCAGAAATAATAAAGCTTATTTTGAATCTTTATTAAAAAGTGCATATTGCTTCTTTTTTTTAGCTCTACTGGTCAGAGACCAGAAGAGCTTATGCGATAGTAAGGTGTCCGTCGTCCGTCCGTCTAGCTGTCTGTCTGTCCATCCGTCCATCTGTAAACAATTTTTCAAAATGCTACTCCTCCTACAGTTTTAGTCTGAATTCAGTATAACTTGGCACACAAGTAGACTACACTAAGATACATAATTCTGTTTATCGCTTTTTAATTTCGATGAACGGTGTTGCCATGGTTACTAAAAATAGAGATTTCTGGGAAGTACATTCAAAACGCTACTCCTCCTACAGATTTGGTCTGATTTCAATATAACTTAGCACACAAGTAGACTACACTAAGATGCATAATTCTGTTTATTGGTTTTTGATTTCGATGAATGGTGTTGCCATGGTTACTAAAAGTAGAAATTTCTGTGAAAAACTTTCAAAACACTACTCCTCCTACAGTTTTTATCGGATTTCAATATAACTTAGCACACAAGTAGACTACACTAAGATGCATAATTCTGTGTATAGGTTTTTGATTTCAATGAACGGTGTTGCCATGGTTACTAAAAATAGAAATTTCTGTGAAATTCTTTCAAAACCCTACTCAGCTACAGTTTTGGTCTGATTTCAGTATAACTTGGCACACAAGTAGACAACATTAAGATACATAACTCTATGTATTGGTTTTTGATTTCAATAAACGGTGTTGCCATAGTTACTAAAAATAGAAATTTCCTTGAAATACTTCAAAAATGTTACTCCTCCTACAGTTTTGGTCTGATTTCAGTATAACTTGGCACACAAGTAGACTATACTTAGATACATAATTGTCTTTTTTTTTTAAATTTTGTTGAATGATGTTGCCATGGTTACTAAAATCGAAATTTCTGTAAAATTCTTTTAAAAGGCTACTCACCCTACAGTTTTGATGATTGAAATAAATCTTGCCACAAAAAGAGACTAAACCAAGGATCATTATTCTATGTATTGCTGTTGCAAAGTTTCAAGTACAAATGCTACTTTTATCTTCCTTTGTTATAAGTACAAACCAGTAGAGCTACAGTCTCATCAGAGACTTCTGGTTTTAAATTCTGGCCCTTGGGCGTTATATTGGGACCAGGGAAAGAGTCTAAAGTATTGCATAGAGTCTTGAAAACTCTTCTTCTAAAGGACTAGAAGGTTTCATATTTGTTTACAAATTGTCAAAAAGATATGAGAACCATTTATTGCCATTTAAATTAACCAAGGGACAGGGATAATAGTGCAAAAAAGATCAGATTTAATTATTTGAACTCATCGTCATGCAGTTTAAAATCAGATGTCAATGCTTGATTATATTTAAAGAAGTTAAAAATTTTTTTTATAGAAAAATATGTATTTGGTACAAATTGCAAATTAATTATCAGCATCAAAATTTTCTTATGCAATGCAGAATCAGTTTGTTTATATCATACATACTCTTTATATTGAATGGAGTTATGTTATAGAACAATCTTGTTCTTTGGAAAAGATCAGTGGACCTTTTGTATTTATTTAGTACCACAATTATCATACTAACAGTATTGATTCCAAATTCAGCTGTTACACGATGCCAGAAATAAAATTTATGTATATCTGTTCATTTATTGTCACAACAAAGAAGTCAATTCAATCATAATACTGGTTGAAGTCGGTATATGCCTGCTATCTATTCTAATTACATGTACATATATTTTGATGTCATGTAGAAATTAATTAATAAGTATTGCACCCTTTTAAGATTTAAGGACTATCATGATATGAGAACTTAGATTAAATATAGCTACTAGCAAGGGACTTTTTTGAAATAAGAAATCTTTGTCTTTTAAGGTTCATTGATACTCTGATAAGAGAGATAACTCTTAATGACATAAATGTCTGCTATTCCCTTATAAATTTGTTAAAGGTGAAATATATCTTTTTTGTCCAGTTTTGCCCGCAAGCTATGCTACAATTACTTGTATTTTACTTATAAATGACTCTCATATTTCACTTGTGTATTCTTTGTAACAATACTTTTCCTTGGGTACAAACATATTTGACCTCTTGACCTTGACCTTGGAGTTTGATCCACTTTTGCAAAATTTTACCGAACTCTAACCTTGACCATAACTTTTAAACAGTTGGTGCTAAGGCTTTCATTCTTCAAATGTGTATTTATTGTGAGAATACCTTTCCTTGGGAATAAATATTTTTGACCTACTTTTGAAAACCTTTAAGCTTAGCTATAACTGTTAAACAGTTGGTGCTAGGTCTTTCAAATTTCACATTTATATTTCTTGTGACAAGACCTTAAAAAATTCCCTTGGGCACCATTAATTTTGATCATTTGACCTTTGACTTACTTTTCAAAAACTTTAACCTTGGCCATCATTTCTGAATGGTTGGTGCTAAGGTTTTCACATTTCACAGTTATATTCCTTGTTACAAGACTTTTAATTAGCTACCAACATTTTTGATCTCTTGACCTTGGACTTGCTTTTGAGAAAATGTGACCTTTGACATAGGCTGCCATAGGGGCATCAGTGTTTCATAAACACATGTTGTTTTGTAGAATCTACAGACATATTGAAATTTATTTTTTGTCCCAACAAGTTTAAGATGACAAGGCTTGACTGTATATCTATTCATAATCTTTAGATAGGAAGTTGTACTCTTTTCAAAATATTGAAAAATAGTCTGAAATATTTTGATAATTTTCATGAAATGAGAGTGACACAATCCATGATGTCCTACAATGTGATAAATGAATGAAAAATTAGCATCATTTTAATTAGGTATGTTTACTATAATTAAACAGTTTTAATGATTCAGAATTGAACGGGGCCAAATATTGGCAGCTACTAAATCATCTTTTAAAAATTCAGTGATAATAAAGAGTTTCACTAAGGTAAAACATTGCACACATGTCAGGTAAACATTCACTAATAGTCAGAACCCAGCTGCTTTGATGAAGTAAAACACATAGTGAAGTGTCAGGGATGATCAATTTTGATTTAATTGCTATAAAGTAATTCATTATATCTGATAATTTCATATGTTTGAAAAGTATGGGGCAAAATATATCACTTTGCTATAAGCGTAAATTCATCATTAATATTAATTACTAAGAATGGTAAATTGTAACCATATGTTTTACTTTTGTGTAGAATTTTATTAAAAAATTGTGTTATCATATATATATGAAATATTTGATTTTTTATTGTGCAAATTAATGTATTATTTAAGTGATAACCTTACTATAAAAGAAGCCATTATTGTAATTAATAGTTGACTGTTTTTGTTTTAATGGGTGACCATTTTCATGAAGTTGTTAATTCCTGTCATACAGACAAGGAAAAAAAAAATCAATTGTATGGAAGCCTGATATCCTGATTAGATTATTGGTTGTACAAACCCTTACTGAGGTTATACTGATGCTAGAAGATTTAAGGCTTAAGGACATTGGCAAGGTTCCTGGTTATTGTATAGAATTTTTCAAGAACTTTTGAGTAGGTTTAAATGTACTAAACAGGTTATATTCTGGATCGTTTTAGCTACCAATCCATCATTCTTTTTTAGATTTTGTCAAATTAGTGTTTTCACAATTCTTAATGCATTTCCTATGTAAAATGTTGATAAAAGGGACCTACATAATTTTTCACCATAATATTTCTTCAAAACCCATTTATTTCATACAGTTTTTGTATTATATACATTATTGTATCTTCATTTCCTATGACTTCTAGATATTTTGGCTAAAAATGTATATTTAGAAACAAGACATGGGTATACCGGCACCGATCATTATTTTGGAGTTGCGTCCCTTAACAGCTAAAATTGGTCAAGAGACTGGTTGATTGTTTTATCATGTAATTGACTGAATTGAAACTCATTGTCATAAAAATATTGTCATAGATTTATTTTTGACTTTTATTCGTAGTTACTAAATGCCGATTCCTTCACATGACCTAAGAACTGTTCTCAGTCGGCATGGTCGACCTACCTTTCAGCATATGTCACATCTTTGCCCTTTCCAGCAAACTGAGCATAACTATGGTAAATAATGACCTGTTGGCTCTTTGTCCCTGAATACAATGTACAACAAAGCCATTACTGCTTTTCTTTCTTGCTGTATAGATGATTCTACCCGTTGAAGGAGGTACACGTGCTTATGTTTACCTCTGTAACATACGCTTTATTGGTTTTCACCGCTTAGAGAATTCTACACGGGAGATCACTCTCAATCACTATTTTATAAGCGAAAAAAACCATGTATTAAACCTTTTTTCTCCGGAAAACCCTGACTTGCCAATGTCCTTAAAGAGACTTGTTCTTAGGGGGCACCTGTTTATAGTGGAGTGTAAAGGCTGGATTTTTGCCACTTGAGATTTATCAAGTTGATATTGAGAAACAATATGAGCTCTATTAAGCTACTGAATTAACTAGAACTTCCTCTTAGATGAATTGGAGGTGCAGGCACTCTTCTAAGTCCTTAACTGAAATCTTTCTGCTTGTGAGATATAGGACAGGCTGGTTAGATATACAGTAGAAAGAATGAACTGTAAAACACACATAATGAAACTTATTGCTCAAACCTTAGTAACGACCCTTGCATTACTATAGCAGAGCTGCCAACCCTTACAATTTTGGCGTAATTAGACTTATGGTTTGAGTGTCTAAAATACGCCTTACGATATATCTATTTATCCTTAGGCCTTACGATCTCCGTTTCTCTTCGTCAAAAGTTTGAAATACTGGTATTTTCATAACTTTCCACCTTCAGTTTTCACCATTAATACAAATGTCAGTTCTTACGGCGCTTTCTTGTATTCTTATTGTCTGTTTCTATGCCAACTTGCGGTCTAAATCATTTCAAAGTAATCAAAAAGAAAATATCTAGCGGCCGGCCGTGGGTCTAAGCGACCTCTGGACCTCCTCGTTACAATTTTTCATTTTACGATGTTGGCAGCTCTGTTATAGTCATCATTGCTCTAACCATGCACTGAGCTATCCTGGCCAATATCTACTGTTCACATAACACCCAAACTAAATACCACAATATATGCCATACTGTTTTTGATCCGCCATCATAATAAATTGATTCGATGGTTGACTAATATTAAATGATTTTAGTTTATTTATGGTCTTTTCATTATGTGACCACTTAATTAATTAAGTACTATAAATAAACAAAATTAGACAGTGTTCATGTTAGACTAATGACTGTTTTTATCTGACATTTTTTTGGAACTGCAGGTTAATGATTAAGATTTATTTTCCTACTTGGTAATTCACCTGTTAAAACTAAATCTTATAACTGGAGAGGGCTTATATGGAAAAGCCTGCTGCACGATCCATTTATGTTTACATGATGAAATATATTCAAATTATTGAGAAAAAAATTTATAAGTGTTCAATCTTAAATGACTATACAACTTGACTATTACAGAATAATAAACACCATGAAAAGAAGCTAGATATGGGAATCCCCTACCCCCTTAAGTGCAAAAGTTTATTTGAGATACTTTCCAGATTAGACATATTTTTATGAAAGCATCCCCAGGTAATGTAAATTTAAGTATGTTTAAAGCATGATCCCCAGGGATATTGACTGGGGCCATAATGGACGATCAAAGTTTTACATAGAAATATATACCGGTAGGAAAAATCTTCAAAAATCATCTTCTCAAGATCAACAAAGTTCAATTTTTCATGTTCAAATCATGACCCCTAGAGTAGCTGTGTGGGGGTGACAATGAGTGATCAAAGTTTTATAATTTTATGCAAAAGCAAAGTTAGCTGTCCTGGTGAAACTTGTGTATTGTTTGACTTTTCAATCTCTGAAACGTATACTGAGTTAGGGGATTACCAAGCCTCTCAGAAAATTACAGGTAAAAAATCAGGTAAAAGAAGCTTGTAACAATGTACATGAATCTAGGAGAGGAAAAAAAAAGAATTTAACTTGCCAAACACAATTAGCAATGGATATATATATTGAACTTTCAATGAAGCCGATTGCTTCAGAGCAACACTTAATTTAACGAGCAGTAAAAGTAATATGAAGATCTTCACTAAGGGGCGGTATTGTGAATTTAGATTAAAAATGCAGTAAGAAAGAAATTTACAAGAGGGCCGGTTCATAATGTTGTAGTGATTCAGACTGAAAACATAACAACAAAATGTATCTCCTAAAAACACCACATGCTCTACTTATTGTAGGTGAGAGCTAGTGTTTGCTTTAGACTTCCTGCAAGCTTGGTACTGGTACAAATGACTTTCATTGCCAGCTAAACCTAAGGTGGCAGAGGTTACTGAGGATATTCTAGATCAATGCCATTTACTGACACTGATCAATGCACCAGAAATATGCATTAAGTTTTTCTGTTTTCATTCTTAGTAAATTAGTATTTACACCTAAAACATGCTTTATAATGTAACATACAGTTGTAATATTTGAGTAATTTGCTTAGCGAATTTCTTTTAATTTCAGATCACAGATCGCATTCCACTGTTTTCATTGGTCTGCATTTGCCAAAACATGGACATAGACACAAACGCCGAAAGCACCATAGAACAAAAGGGGACAGAACTCTAAATGAACAGGTCAACAAAGATGGTAGGTAACATAAATACAGTCCAACTTCATTATCTGTAACTCATTGGCATGGAGAAAACTTTTTGATGTCTTCAAAAATTTCAGATATCGAGGTTGATACTGAAAAAGTGGTTGGGACCTCCAACTCATTTAAAAAATTCCATGGTATTTGAGTCATCGAAGTTGGAGATACTATAGTACTGAAGTTAAACTGTAATTTTTAACTATAAAGTTATTTATATTATTATATTTTATGCATTGTAATGGTTGATTTTGTATATATTAATTTATTTGATTAAACATTCAGATCTTTACATGATTGTATAATACTCATTTAGTGAGTATAAGTTGGATCACCTTAAAAAAGACATACAAGTGTACTCTATCTTCCCAATATGACCAACTGAGAATTCTATAAAGAAAATATTCCTCAGGATAGAGTTGATCTTGTAAACAGTCTTGTGCAGTAATTTTCAGTAGAAAGGATTGAAATCCAAAAGCTACATTAATAATAAATTTGATGATTGGTTGTATGTTTGAGTAAAGAACCACCAAAAAGTCATCAGATCATTGATTTTCTTTATCTCTCAGACTAATCATGACGTCAAATTCTCATCAACAAAAGTGTAATGGCAATCACTCCCTGTCAAATTTATCAGCAATGGCCACTTGACTGTTACATCACTTCGCAATTTTGTGTCATAAATGGCAAAATGATATATGGCTTCATTGATTTATTGAATTGCAGAGCTTGTTTCATTTTATGATTGAAAATTTAAGATATATTTTGTCTGATATATTATGTTACATATGTACGGGTAGTCTGTAAACTGTAAGGTTAAACTACACAAATGATGCAGTAAAATAGTCATATAGCAATGTTTGGGTTTTGAAAAGGTTATTTATAAATAATAGAAATAAGCTGAAGACATTTTTTTTCCTGGTGACTGATTGGAGACATTAGTATAGCACTGATTTTGTACTCTGTTAGAGGTTCGTTATCACTGATTCGCACTTCTGTTGGTGTGTAATTTTCTCAAGAATATCAGTGGGATTCTAGCAACTGCTTCCTATCAATAGAAGCCAGAAGCCAGAGATTGCATGTAATTTGTAAGAGAAACTAAAGGTCATGTGTCTTGTAAGATACTGGTTTATTATATTCTATAATGGTTGTTCTTGTGTGGTGGTTCTTCAGAGATTGGATATTTTAGGCATCATGTAATGAGTCATGAAATCCTTGGGTTGCTACTTGAGGAAGAAGGAAATGTTCTATAGTGAAGGAATAGAGTTCTTAATAATTCATTATAGAAGATTGACAGATAGTCCACAAAATTTTAGTTTATAGTGAAAATATCATCCTGTGTTGTTACACATTGTATTAGATTTGCTTGATAAATGTTGTTCTATAAAGTTTAATGATCATAGATTATCTATGACTGTATCAAAAAGAAAAGGAAATTTTATTGTAGAATTGAATCAATTTGTTAATTTTTTGTACATGCTTTAAAATGCACCTAGTCCTCTGAGAAAAGGGAAGTTTCAGCCCTTGATCTGTGTTGTATTACAGCAATAGATCATAAGATCTTTTGATCACTTTTGTGACAAAGAGAGGGAAGTTGATTAAGGGCAGTAGTTTTACAAATGCTTGAGTGCACTACATATAAAATATGTCCCATAGCTGTAAGGCAAAACAGCAAAGTTTTGTTAATACCTACTTAGCTACTCAGATATTTTATGCACTTTTTTAAAAGTTGTTAAAATTTTAGACCTGCATATTTTTATCACTAGAAAATGAAATTACTCTTTAAAATCATTTTCTAAAACATTTGAATGTTGATCTGTATTAAGTGTATGAAATCATGGACTATTGATTTAATTGTTTCAAAACAATTTGCTTACTTTATACAGTGGAAATTAGAATTAAAAATTTAGTTATTTTTAACCAGGACCATTCCCCAACAGATTTAACCTTCAGTGATATAATATACTCATGAGGTTGCGAATAATCTGCAATCAGAAATAATGATCAGGCTGAAATTGTTAAATGTTTAGATAATGCTTGTTAATGAGAAATATATGGCCTGATATTTTTATAGTTACTTAGGCAAAAAGGAAGAAATACATTTATAATTATTAATTGCTAGAATGATTGGGGAATGTTTAATTTAAGGAGACCTTAGAAAGTTGCTGAAAGAATATTGCTACTTAAAAGCCATCCATTTCAAAATAGATTCTCGGAGGAAAAAGAACTATTGATTAATGAGAGCCTTAAGAAGAAACCTTTGTTCCTGCCAATTTATTTGTCAGTATTGCCCTTTTGGCATGGAAGCTGGAACATCAGTGATTTTACTGTAAATAAACTCCATGGCTTCTTGATAGCCTAGCTTTCACATATTATTCCTTGTGGTAAATATTCTTCTAAAACTCTAGTTTCTAAATAGAGAACTAGTCAGTATGATATCTCACTTTTACAAAACAATTGTCATCACTTTTGAAGACTCTCCAAAAATCAAGAAAATAATTAAGCTATAATTTAACTCCCCTAAGGGAGGGCCTCATCTTCTTAATGTTAATTCATAAGAAAAAATACTCCTTTAATTAGGCAGAGAGCATGCATACATGAGGTGACCTTTAAAAAGTATTACGGAAACCCTACAAAGTATAGTTTTCTCCTGCAATGTTAATAATGACATCTTTAATTCAGTCAATAACTCGATAGACTGTGAGTTTTAACAATTGACTATAATTTTTTAGAAATCACCCACCCGGCCCAGCGGGTCCAGTTCTTGTTGGGGGAGGATGAGGATGAAGAACACAAGGCCCATGATTTGTTCTGTGAGATGGAGGAACTCTTCTATAATGGAGATCAAATGGAGTGGAAGGAGTCCGCTAGGTTTGTTTTAAATATATATAACACCCTTCGGGCATTATAGGATTTGATCATGTGACCAACTTTATATCATATCTCAATGAAACTCTAAAAATGATATCATTTCTTTAACAACATTATAAGATTGATTTCAGAATGATGAAGGAATTAAGGTACAGTAAAACACGCTTATGGCAACCACACTTATAATGAATTGATGCATACAGCAAAGTGAATTTCATTCCTTGAGGCTTTAAAATATATTGTCAACTTATTCAACAAATTAATATTTAAACAGATATAATGAATTATGTTTACAATGAAGCAAATTATCCGTTCCTGGTACTTTGTTATAAGCCTGTTTTACTGTATTCAGTATGACTTTGTGTGTGATGACTGATCAGAATGATATTGCACTGAAACTTACAGGGCAAGTTAATTTTCCAAACAAATGTATATTTAAAACGCAAGACTTGAAGAATTTTTACCCTTGTAAGTGAAATTCTTCAAAATTTGTTTGTTTTAATATTCAAATATTTTCCAGAAACTTTATATATAAAAAAAGAATGAAGTGAACATTTCATGTAGCTTTGGTGCATCAAATTTGGAACATCCTCAATAGAACTGTGATGTTTGATATAAAACCCACTGAAGTTTTCTCTTTGTTCTCCTCTATTTTAGGTGGATTAAGTTTGAAGAAGATGTGGAAGAAGGTGGAGAGAGGTGGTCCAAGCCACATGTAGCCACCTTGTCCCTCCACTCTCTGTTTGAACTGAGGTGTAACATCCTCAATGGAACTGTGATGTTTGATGTGGAGGCTTTTGACCTCACTTCTCTAGTAGGTAGGGCCAGTTTGAATTTGAAACTTTGAATCCAGTTTTTTTAAGGAAGAAGAAAATCTCCACACATATCATTTACAAAGCATTTACTGATAATGGGGAAATAAATTCAGGTGAATTAAAACACTAAACATATAAATGCACTGTAAATATATTCTAAAACTAAGGAAACTTTATAATTAACAAACTTCCCTATTTTGAAGGCAGGGAACTTATGTTTTGAGGTTTTGAAGAACTTCTCTATGAATCTCTTTTGCATTTCAACTTTCAAGCAATAATGGAAGAGTTGTCTTTCTTTGTGTTGTACAGAACTGGTTATAGATAAAGCTGTGGCAGCTAAACAGCTGGAAGAACCTCTAAAAGACAGAGTCAGGGAAATTCTGCTGCTTCGCCATCGACATCAGAATCAAAAAAGAGGTACAGAAAATGGAGGGAGCAAACTCCAGCTTCCCAGCATCAGGTCATTTGCTGACATTGGAAAGAAAGGCTCTGTATCTAAAGCTCTAGGGAATATAGGTAACATGATTAGAATATCTAGTAGATGAAAAGTTAAATGACATACATTTTTTGTAGAAATGTGTTTTAGGTTGTACATTAATTCAACAGTTTCTTTATTTTCTAAAAAAAAATTATTATTTTTTCAGGTGATGAAAGAGATTTATCCATTAAAAATGATCAACTACTGTCTGCTAAAAGTACCCCAAATTTCCATCACTTTTTGTCCCAGGAGAAACCCAAAACCAGATTAGATGCACACCCTACATATGCTGGCTCTCTGGCTAGTAGTGCCAGTGCAGCTGACCTACAGCGTGAAAAACAAACAAAGGTAGAGAACTTCATCATGTCATTTGTTTGCAAGTGAAAATGACATCAGCAAATATTTTAACTGAAACTCGCATTAAAACAATTCTTTTTTTTTCTCTGCCAGTAGAATTTGCATTTTATGAAGAAGATTCCCCCAGGCGCAGAGGCTGCCAACATTCTGGTTGGTGAGGTGGATTTTCTGACCTACCCAATAGTGGCCTTTGTCAGGCTTCTCCACCCCTTCTTCATGCCTGACCTTACAGAGGTGCCAGTCCCCACCAAGTTTGTTTTTATCATGCTAGGACCCATGGGAAATCAGAGTAAATACCATGAGATAGGAAGAGCTATTGCCACACTCATGTCAGATGAGGTATGTATGTGGAACAAATCATGTGTCCTTGAAATTTCTAGTTCCAAAATATTTTGAGAGTAAAAGCCATACAAAATCCACTAAGTTAGAGGCAATATTTCAAAATATTTAGGGAGCATGATGAGTTGTGAACAGTTTTATTCTGTCGCAGGTGTTCCATGACGTGGCGTACCATGCCAGGAACAGAGATGACCTGTTGGCTGGGATTGATGAGTTTCTGGATCAAGTCACAGTTCTCCCCCCTGGAGAGTGGGACCCTAGTATCAGGATTGAACCCCCTAAAAAAATCCCCTCACAGGTGAACCGTAAGAACTTTGATGGCACCACTCCTCTTCCTAATGGTAAAGCAGTGGAATTTGATATAGAGGAACCAGGACATGAGGACCCAAGTCTGAGGAGAACAGGAAGGTGTGCCCTGAAAATGTGACCATGCTGTACACTTGATACGACCTCTTATTAGTAAAATTATATCCCCTGACTTGAAGTAGTTTAGGTGTCTGCTGGAAACAATGTGCATGCATCTTTCTACCTGTATTTATGTAATTAGATCTGCAAGGACAGCATTTTCAAGCCTACTAGAAGTGCTGTATATATCAAGTTTGCATGAGGTGTATCTGAGGACTCTTGGTAGTCTTATGTTAGCATAGAACTGTATTTTCCCTATATTTAGTGACTGTGGTAAAGGACAGAATATAGGTCTCCTTCAAACATAACCAAAACAAGCTTTGCACAAGTAGTGTAGTTATGATGTTGAGTCTGAATTGTTCTCTAGTTGCTGCAACAACCTGCATTTTACACTAATACTGAGTGACATGAAAATGGGAAGTTTCCTGCACTGGTATTTCAACTCCAGCTTATCATAAGTGACATACAAATCAAACTTGCTAATCTGATGCAGTATTTTAGATATGCTTTGTTCAGACTTCATTGATTGATTGGATGACATTTCTCATTTAATTGCTACATAAGGATACCCAAAAAGCAGATTTTTTTAAAAGAATATGTTTACCTTAAAAGGGAAGCCTAACATTCTGAAAAAAAACAACAGGATTGTTATTCGAAATTTACATTTACAAGATTGTAGATGCATTTTTTTTGTGAATACAGACTCATTTGATAAGAAAATTACCTAATCTTATAAAGACTGGATCTTTGTGTTCATGAAACTGGAAAGAATGTGTTTGATAATGCCCTGTATGTTTTCACATGACAGGTTGTGTGGAGGTCTGTTTGATGACATCAGAAGGAGGCTCCCCTGGTACCTCTCCGACCTCCAAGACTCTTTCCATGTACAGTGTTTCGCCTCCTTTGTCTTTCTGTACTTTGCCAGTTTGACACCAATCATCACATTTGGAACATTTTTAGCAGATGAAACCGATAATCAAATGGTAATTAAGTTCTGAAGAAAAATAACTATTTAGTTTCCCACATGCATTCATTCTTTTATTGTGTAGATCATTTTAGGATTTTAGTATACAGATGGTTTAATGACAATAAATATTTGCTTTACAGTTATTTACAAGATACTTTAAGATAACTTTAAAGTTATATAATACCCAGTGTTAATTTACAGTAGATAAGAGAGTTTACAAGGTTCTGTTTTTGACAGGGGGCACTGGAGAGTATATTTGCTGCAGCTTTGTGTGGAGTTATATATGCTTTGACTGCGGCTCAGCCATTGGCCATATTGGGATTTACGGGACCTGTGCTGGTGTTTGAAAAAATTCTCTATGACCTGTGCAGGCATGTAAAATTGATGTTCTTAATAATCATAGCATTAAAAAAATTCACTTTTATGAAATATTAGATTTAAGTACATTTCATATCTTGATATTGCGAGTTTTGATGTTTTTTAGTGAGAATGGTTGGAACTATTTAGAATTCCGTTTCTGGATTGGGATGTGGATTGCAGCCATTTTGCTATTCATTGTGGTATTTGACCTATCTGCACTTGTGCAGTATGTGACACGCTTTACAGAAGAAGGCTTTGCACTTCTGATTTCCCTTATCTTTGTCGTTGAAGCGTTTGAAAAGTTATTCCATGTGATGAAGGAGCATCCTATTCATTTTCCTGATTTGCCACCAGAAGAGGAATGTAGCAGTTTCTGTGTTTCTCCGTACTCCCGTAACAACCAGACTTTTAATACTACAAATGTATGGACGAGGAATTACACAGAGAATGATACAGATGAATGGTCGAGTAAAAGTCTACGAGACTGTGTTATAGATGGAGGAAATTGGACGTCTTCTCCTGTGGATGTACACACGCGGGAGCCCGAAGTATTCTTTATGTCTGTGATATTGTTCGCGGGAACATTTGCCATTGCCATGGCTTTAAAAGGAATGAAAACAAAGCCACTGTTTCCTAATATGGTTAGTGTTCATGCATTTAAGTATCTTCAAATTACATACTGTTTATTAACTATTTTATGCTCATGTAAAGTACCAGTATACCAGTAATTTATAACAACTGATTAGTAAATATAATTTGATACTTGCAACACATTATGTCCTCTGTTGTGTACTTTTTTTCTTAGAATTTCATTAGGGAGTATTCTTGAGTATGAAATGATTAATCTTAAAAAAATTCCTTTGAGTATTGATACTGATTTAAGACCTCTCCAGATGATAGATTAATAGTAGCAGAAAATAATTCACTGTATTCTCTTGACTATCAATCAAAAATAATAACCTCTATGTATGATTCTTTGTAGGTGAAGCAATTCCTGAGTGATTTTTGTGTAATCATTGCGATTGTCATTATGGTAGTTGTTGACATAATATTTGCAGTCCACACTCCAAAACTAAGAGTACCATCAGAATTCAGGGTAAGTTATTTCACTGTAAAATCTCAGGAGGTGAACTAAATGGGATAAAGCTTTTTGGATAATGATTTGAAATTGAAATCTATAATCACTAGACAGCAAATCCCTGCATCAATTTACAGTGGTACTGGAATTCAGCTGGTAAACTGTGTCTCTCATATGCAGAAGATTGCAGTTCAATTCTGGCTGATTTGTAAATAAGAAGCTACCCCTTCCATTGCTAAATGTTCAGTACTAGAAAATATTCATATTTACTGTTATTTCTACATAAACAGCTATGTACTTGATTTGAAAGCCATTTTCCTGTATATACTCACGGGTAGAAATATAGACGGAAAAACTCGCACTAAAGTGACGTCACAATGAGGCAACAGAGATGTTTATAAAGGGTATTAACAATATAGGGCAGCGAGAAATTGAAACATTGAGTATATCTTTGGTGCTTTTAAACATGTACAGTGTAAATGTAAGGAATGTTTTTAAGTTTGGTGTGGATTATTGATGTGAAAATCACACAGACTTTAGTGTGCTTCATGAAAGATATGCCTACGTGACAAGTCTGTGTGATTTACACACCAGTAACTCACACAATACTTAAAAACCAGCTATGGAGCTTTCAAATAAAAACAAGGCCTTATGTTATAGCTGTCACCAATGTAATCCAAACCCTTTAAACACTGGCATGAGGCCTAAATTTGGCATGTCACCTCAAACTACAGTAGTGATATCTCAGCATGAATGAAAATTCTCACAGGGAAAGAGATAACATACATGTACATGCATTGAATTGATTTTCTGTTGAAATATTAAATAGCTGCTCTTTGCTTTAAGCCTACAGATGCAAAAAGATCCTGGATCGTGGATCCAGTTGAACACAATCCATGGTGGCTGGCCTTTGCTGCCATAATTCCTGCTCTGTTGGCCACAATACTGTTGTTCATGGACCAACAAATCACACTTGTCATTATCAACAGAAAGGAAAACAAGTTAGTGGTAAGTCTCCAAGGAAAGCGGTACGTGCAAGTCTCCAAGGTAAGTGGTGCATGTACATGTAGGTATTCCAGATTAGTGGTACAAGTAACTCTCTAAGGGAGATGGTCTTTAAGTCTTCCAGGTAAATGACACACCTAAGTCATCAAGTTGAGTATTCCACGAAGTCTCCAAAGTTATCAGAGATAATTGATAAGACTTCTGGGTACTGATAAATCTCTAAGGATAGTGGTAAGCTTTCCTGGTCAGTGATGAGTATAAATAATTATGCAATTTTAAATGGTTATTGGTAAGTCCACATGATAAGTAGATGTGTCTGTGATTAGTTGTATGTAGAAAGTCCCTCTGTTTAGAAGTATATATCCATAATTTATAGAAGGTTGCTATGGTTAGTGGTTAGGCTCTGTGATAAATGGTTAGTCTCTATGGTAAGTGGTTAGTCTCTTTGGTTAGTGGTAGGTTACTGTGGTTAGGTGTAAGTATCTATGGTTAATGGTAAGTCTCTATGGTTAGTGTTAAGACTCTGTGGTCAGTGGTAAATCTCTATGGATAATGTTAAGTCTCTATGGTTAATGGTAAGTCTTTATAGTCAATGGTAAGTCTCTATGGTTTATGGTAAGTCTCTATAGTTTATGATAAGTCTCTATGGTTAGAGATAAGTCTCTATGGCTAGTGTTAAGTCTCTATGGTCAGTGTTAAGTCTCTATGGTCAGTGGTAAATCTCTATGATTAGTGTTAAGTCTCTATCATTAATGGTAAGTCTCGATGGTTAGTGTTAAGTCTCTATGGTTAATGGCAAGTCTCTATGGTTAATGGTAAGTTTCTATGGTTAATGGTTAGTCTCTAGGGTTAGTGTTAAGTCTCTAGGGTTAGTGTTAAGTCTCTATGGTTAGTGTTAAGTCTCTATGGTTAATGGTAAATCTCTTTGATTATTATTAAGTCTCTATTGTTAATGGCAAGTCTCTATGGTTAATGGTAGGTTTGCATGGTTAATGGTAAGTCTCTATGGTCAGTGGTAAGTCTCTGTGGTTAGTAGTAAATCTCTATGGTTAGTGTTAAGTCTCTATGGTTAATGGTTAGTCTCTATGGTTAGTAGTAAATCTCTATGGTTAGTGTAAAGTCTCCATCATTAATGGTAAGTCTCTATGGCTAGTTGTAAATCTCCTTGGTTAGAGATAAGTTTTTATGGTTATTGGTAAATCTCTATGGCTAGTGTTAAATCTCTATGGTTAATGGAAGTTCTCTATAATCAAGGGAAAGTCTCTATGGTTAGTAGTAGTCACTATGATTAGTGGTAAGTCTCCAAAATTAAACATAAATGTCAAAGGTAAGCAGTAAGATGCAAGGTACATTTCTCTATTATTTGTGTCTTTTCATGAATTAGTGTTTTGTCTTTTAAAAGTTTAAGAAAGTCTTAAAGGATATTGATTAATTTTTTAAGTCTGTCAAACATTGATTTATGTTCTTAGGAACAACACACACATAATTAAAGGAAGTTTCTAATATTCTGTTGAAATTAAATGAAAATGTGTACTTATCTTGAAAGCTCTTCAAAGCAAAAATTAAGAAAAATCAAGGAAAGTTGAAATACACATACCATTTATTTCATACCTCTATAATCTCTTACCATTTTGTAGAAGGGACATGGATACCACTTAGACTTGTTTTTGGTGGCTACTCTGGTGGTGGTCTGCTCCATTCTGGGGTTACCATGGTACGTCACAGAGACGGTCCTATCCATTACACATGTGATGTCATTGAAGAGGGAATCAGAGTGTTCAGCTCCTGGGGAGAGTCCCAAGTTCTTAGGGGTCTGGTAAGTCTGTATCTAGCCCCAGGGGAAAGCTTCTTCACAATTGAGTTTGTGCATGTATGGCACAAAATAATCTCAACTACAGTTTAACTTCTATATCTCAAACACGGATATCTTGAATACCATGGATATGTCGAAGTGATTGGGAAGTCCTATCCATGTATTTCTCAAGTATTTTACCTCGATATCTCAAACTCTCAGATATCTCAAAGTTTTTTCTCGGTCCCATTGAGTTTGAGATAACGAGGTTTGATTGTATATTGAAATAAGGATAAAGTAAAAGATATTTTTTCCAGGGAACAAAGAGGAACTGGGATAGCCATCAGTGTCATGATTGGAGCATCGGTACTACTGACAGAAGTTCTCAAAGTATGTGTATATTCATTTACTACAGATAATGTCTCCTCATGTTCATTTTAATACTTACATAAATTCTACATTTTCTAAAATTAATTTGTAAGAGGAAATTTTACATTTTTTTACAAGATCTAGAATTAGAATAATTATCAATATTTTTTGGCACACATTGAAAGAATGTGGAAGATAAGAATGTCTACATTTCTTTTTTTTCAGTACATCCCTATGCCAGTTTTATATGGTGTATTCCTCTACATGGGTGTGTCTTCTTTACACGGAATGCAGATTGTGAACCGAATCAGTATCTGGTTCATGCCCCAGAAGTACCAGCCAGACTACACCTACCTCCGACATGTACCAACTAGGAGGGTCCATCTCTTCACCCTCATACAAGTCCTCTGTCTCATCGTGCTCTGGATCATCAAAAGCATCAAGAAAACATCCATTGCTTTCCCAATCATGGTACGTTTCAGAGAGGATTCTATTATGGGCATTTTTTGGATCATCAGAACTTGTAAATTAGTGAAAACTTTTTAGAACGTTATATTCAGCTGCATTATTATTGTCATCATTTATAACAACTGAACAAAGTCCAAGTTTTTAAGCTTATATTGTTTGTCTTTTTTCATTATCCCAAAACTTGGAGTGTACATCTGGAATGCTTCCTTGACAATTTCAGGTGCTTGGTATGTGTTTTATCCGCAAGGGTTTAGACAGAATTTTTACTCAGGAAGAATTAAAATGGCTGGATGACATTATGCCTGAAGTCAATAAACGAGCCAAAGAGGATGAACTAAAACGTCAGGACAAAGAGGAGGTAATGCCTGGTAACTCAGTGGTACTTAGAGTGGCAAGAGTTGTCGTTCTTGGTTTTCAGTATCATGAAATAACAAAAACCAGTAATATCTCAAAAAAATTATTTTGTGAAATTAAATTGAAGTTTTGTTCACTTCACCAGTATGTTTATTTTTTTTAATCAATGTACATTAATTGCAACAATAATGTAAAATAGTCAGCATTAAGTGGATGTTTTGAATATAAAATTTGATGTTAACAGGCTCATAGAGGCTCTCAGGTGCTGAACAGTTCTGGTACAGTGCAGGTGCCCTTGATCAGTGGTAATGTTATCAATATACCTGTGGAGCGAATTACAGTTACAACAGAACCAGATATTAACATCTCGGAGGAAATGTCCAAATCAACGATCTGGAAAACAATAGTAGCCAATGAGTCGAGCAACAGTCTGACGAAACTAGAGGCCTCCTCCCAGAAAAAGTGAGTACACAGCCTTTACTTAGCTGGACACTCTATCTACTGTGATATTCATCACCTTATCATACTATGAAACTCATGTATACTTGGTTTTCAAAGGAATATTATTTATGCTGTCTAACTTTTATAAGATACTATAAATAAAGGATAACTTGAGACGAGATGCACTTTTATTTCTGATTCTTTGGTTTGATATCCATACATAACTATTAAATTTCACTGCTGTGGAAGCGTTATAGGTAAATTAATGCTCAATTATTAAATAAGTGGTTCAGGGCAAGAAATATTTGCAAGTAAAATAAGGTCGCTAAATTACTGGAAATTTTTGACACAAATAAGAGTTGGTTTACAATAATTAATGTATCTTATCTTCCCCAGACCAACACTCATTATTATTTGTTTGTGGCATTCCAAAGTTGTCAAATCACAGTTAGTGGGTTAGTTTTCCATATATTGGATAGAATTTACTAGAGATATTCCATTTTGATCAACTTGCATTTGAATCTATATGATTTATAGGGGATTTTATTCTGTATGAATGAAATTGCTGAATATTTGTAACATGATGAAGCAATGGTATCTTGATGCTTGAAGTTTTTTTTTTTACCTTCTATGTTTTGTTTAATTAAATTGGGTGTAAAAAAGGAGTGAATCATTTGTAAAATTGATTTACATTGTATATGCATATTTTCAGGAAACACAAATACAGAAGGAATGGAAAGAAAATGTCTCCTCTGGCTGGAAGTCCCCCTGATGAGAAGAAGGAGACCTCAGTGAAACAGAAGGAATCTAAGTCACTATCTAAAGATTCTAAGGATAACAAGCATTCTCCATTGTTTTACATTGCCGAAGATGAAACAGATAAGTTACTGGAGCCTAAACACAAGGATATGTCTAATACAAATGTGTAGGTCAAGGTCAGTGGACGTTATCTCTTACTTTATCTCAGAGAGAAACATCATAAATTCTGGAGAGAGTCTAGATGTTAAAAAAAGTATAGTGTTAATAATACATGGATGTATGTATATGATTCAGATTAAATATCTACTGTTTTATATATAACAATTGCAAATAAGTTTAATGCAAAGGTGAAATTAATAGCATTAAATAAATGTAGGATAAAGGAATAATAAGGAAGTTTTATTCTTATTGTACTTATCTCAAGAGAATAAGACATAGGTTTCTTGAACAATAACATATTTTGATACCAATTTTACGTAGAGAAAAATCCGTACAAATAAATTTGGTTATTGCTGTACTGTACTTGCCATTAATTGCTGACATTTGACTGTATGGGAGGCATACTGTGTATTTGTAGAGAGAGTACAAGTATTTCTTTAATACAGCCTGTAGACTTGATTTTGTAGTAAGTTTAGTAATCGGTGTCAGATGTCCATGTACTAGGAACTAATTTTCATATAAACACATATTAATCAGTTTCAGCATGCCTGAGATTAGATACATTATGAGATAAAATTATGAATTTTCTTATTCGAAATTTAATGTGATGTTAAAAGGTCTTATCATTTTACTTTCAAATAAAATATGTACAATGTGTTTACAATATTTGATATACCTTAATACATGTTTAGGAATTATTCAGTACACTGTAAATAGCATATCATAAAAGTGTGCTTTTTATTTAAGAAAGTTGTGAAGTTAAAAATTTTGGTAATTTATTGTTTTGCTACAATTTATTTTAATACAATCATAGTGCCATTTACATGTACATATTATATTACACTGTAGTGCATTTGATAATATGATGCCATATTTTTTTGTTTTATGTGCGTACTTTTGTGCAGAGCTTTATTTTTAAATTGTAACTTTTTGTGGTTTGTTGGTTTTTGTTTAGATATTGTAACAAAGTGGTGTCTCTCAGCAAAGTTGTATCAAATTGTTTTGTGGAGGTATGAAATCCTTTCAAAATTAGTCAATACTATTTGCTTTGTCATTGTCAAAAAATCCATTGATTTAGCAATATATTGTAATTTATTATGCAAATTTTATATTTTTACCTCAATAACATTATACATTATTTTCATGATTATGTACAAGGGAAACAGTCAAAGTGTTGTTTGGAGGTACATTGTAGTGGGGAAGACCTGAGAAACTGTGATTACCCGAGGCCAAGGCCAAGGCAACAGTTTCCCAGGTGTTCCCACTATCGAGGGAGAACAGTTTGACTGTTGCCCAATAGTCATGAAATAAGTGTATTATTACTTAACCTATTATATTATTCCTTGTAGTAAAATATAGGTCTAATTATCAATAGACTTTTTTTTCATTTATCTTTTGTTGTAACGTCAGCAACAATTCATCATGTTTATTTGAACTAAGTACTTAATTCCTATGCTGTATGGTATTAAGTCAGAAATATAGAAGGGTATAACATTGTTGTTAAAGCATTATGTCATGATGACATAAATGTTTGACTATCACTGTCATCCTGAAGCTTTAACTAACAGTATTTCTTCTTGTGACTGGTATACAGTTCATCTGTTTTACAATAAGCAAATTAAACCATTTGAAAAAAATAAAGAAAACTCCAACAGCTTTCAATGCCTAATAACAATTTACGAGGGCTGTTCGAAAATTATTGAGACAATTACTTTTACTCCACAAAGGACAGAGATAAATTCATGAAAGTTCGTCAACATTTCATAAAGAACAAATAAAACAATTGTGCAAAATTTCTAATTTATAGGGTAATTGAATAGGTTCCTGTGAAATTATAAACAAGCATATGTCTATTGACCTGGAGCAGCATCGTTACGTCATTTTATCGCCTGGTCAGCCAATATTTTCTCATTGTGAAATGATCGGGAATCGTTCAATCTACTTTCTCTGTCATTACATATAACATTCCAAAATTCAAACTGTCTTTTATAATTCTTAAATAATTCTTTAAAAAAAAAAAAAATAAAATAAAACGTGTGCTGTTGCTACCCCAGTGTAAAATATACACGAAATGTCATATACAGGTTGACTCAGTATCATGCAGTACCGAGTTATGCAACGCGGGTCAACATTATTTAGTCCGTAATAATTGATGGTCATCTGAAGCTTTTGTTTTTAATCTGGTTGAATTATTTATGAGAAAAAATATACCAATGAAAAAATAAACCCTTAGACATGTTTTATTTGATTGTTTTTGTTTTAGCAAGGTCGTTTAGTCTGGACAAGAGATCTCGATACTGCTACACAAAATTTTAGGTATGCTCGCTGCTCCGACTTGACGTCAAAACCCGTTTTGTCGTCGTTATCAGATTGCTATACCGCGCTAAATTTTTAATGATCTCCGTTTTTCTGATCGAAATTCTAGCAAACTTGCACAAGATGAAGTCAAAATTAAATCGAAAAATTATATACATAATTTGAATTATTTTCGCTCTCGCTATGGATCCACTGGGAGGTTTAACGTTGGTGTCACAAATTTTCAATATCTGATTTCGTGACTGCGGCGGGTACCCCTACCATTGACACATTTATATACCATTGAAAAGAAGAAATAAAATATTTTTAAAATATTTCTAGCTTTTATTAATTCTAAGTGTTTGTCAAACGTATATGCAAATTTTCACCGAAAAACGTTCATTAGAAAGAAGAATATACACAATGTCTCTATAATTTCCGAACAGCCCTCGTATATAGTAGATTAGGTAAAAATACAAACTGTTATGCATCTGAGTACTGTCTGAAAGTGCAAGTCTCCTTATTAAAGAGGAAAACAGATTATACATATAATTGTCTGTCTACAGAGGTCTGAGTGAAGGTCTTTTTGTTATTGTTGTGTATTTATGATTGCATGTAATGCCTGGGTAATTTTAGTTCTTTAAATATAGGTGCAATTTTGATTTTTATTGATATTTGAAATGTCAACACATGATGCTGTATGGGTAGTTTTTACTTTTTTGAGTTTGATTATAAGATGAATCTCACAAAAATCTTAGGAATCTCAAATACATGTACATTGTACACTGTAACTTTATCAAAGTTTACTTTTTTCAAAAAGGCTATTTTTATGTTTGAATAACAAAATTGATCACAGAGTAATCTTGTTTGTTGAACTGAAGTTAGGTGCATGCATACCAAGACATTGTTACATTTTTTTTTATATCCACCCAATGCACCCTTATTTAGCTGTATGGGAAATTTCAAAATTTTGATAACAACTTACTCATCATAAAGAATAATTTTTTTTCCAGAATTTTAAAATGTGACAATTATGATTTGGATTAGGTTCGAGGACTTACACAGATTGACAGAGTTTAATAATACATATATCTGTTGTAGAGGATTACTGAAGCTGTACACACAATATTCATATGGTAATACTATGTAAAACACAATAATTGAATTTGACCAGGTGATTGTTCAGAAATAAAATCAGATATATGTAAAGTTCTGTGGTGTTATTGGATACCTCTGTTTTGCAATTGATTTCCAATTTTTAAACTTGTCAGAATTTAAGTAGGTTAAAGTATGGCTGTGAGTGAAAGCACAAAGAGTTCAATTTCACAAAAGTACGTATAACTCAGCTATTGTGAAAAAAAGAGAGAAACATCATTTTATTATATTGTATTCGAATTTTCAATGTTTTATTCAGCACAGAGCTGGGAAGAGAGAGAGAAAATATATATACTTTGTACACATATATGTAAAAAAGGACTTTTCTCTTGTAATGGACACATTGATCATTTCTACATATGTATCGGACAATATTAGTTTATGGCTACTTAAAAGACGAAACTCCGAAATCAAATACCTTTTAAATATTCACTAATTTGCGAAAAGAAGCCTTTGGTTCCATTTTAAAACCAACTTGCAAATTATCAACGAATTGAAAAATAAAATGTAATGTAAAGTATCACAGCTAGGAAAATACTGAGATTTCTGTTGCCATGGGTGTATATTTATATCGACGTTGATGAAGACGATTCGTTATTTCTTGCACATTTTTACTTCTCCCTAAACCACTTAGCAAAGGTAGCTGTTCCCGTATTTTAACTTCGTCAATATACACAGGCGTTTTGGCACATTTCCTTACACCTTTGGCACTGGAACATGTAGGCATTGCTACTCTTTCAACAATATAATCCAGTTCCTCCTTAGGCACAGCCTTAGAATCCGAGTATTCATAATCGAACGCGTCCGGTTCCTCGTCCGCTTTCTTATTGTTGTGTTCGTAACATAAGTGGCACTCGAAAGTTTTAGCGCGGGAGGCCGTCGTAGGACGGCTGATCCGGCGGACACTTTTAGCGGATCCTTCTCTATCGGATTTCTCGCCGCGGACTATTTTACCTTCCTTCAGGTTCTGCATTTTATCTACAGTATCCTCGTCCTGTTTCTGATACTTAGCGCTAGCACTCATAGTAGGCCTCATCAACCGGCGCATTAGAACCCGGAAGTCTCTGTCAGTGTACCGCCTCCCGTCAGACTCCCGGCTTGGGGGTGGTCTCATGTTTCTCTCTCGGCAAGCAGACGGCAGACGTTTTCTATTCCCGGACTCTAGTAGATGTTCATAGTTATTTACTTGTTTATTCTCCCGGGTGGCTAGCTTTCTTTCGTATGTGGATTTCACCAGTCTTTCCGTTATTTCCTTGATCTCTTTAGCAGTCCTTGTTCCCATCCCAAATGTGGGGGACTTTGGTCGCGGGGGGTCCACTCTGTAGTACATGGAACTCATGATCACTACCGGATGTGGTACCTTGCTATAATTTGTGCAGTGTTACAAGAGGCCCATCTGGTATACCATGGAAACTTCAGACCTATGAAATTAAATTGATAAATGTTATAAAGATTCGACAAAATCATTTCAATTTAAAATTCAGTTCCATATCTTTATCATTGCTTTCTCAAGTTAAGTTAGTGGAAAATGAGGAGGACGGAAGTATTCACTTTTTTAAATGTTGGTTGAAGACTTCGGTACGATTCCCATTACATTTACATTTATTAGTTTGTTCAACAATAGCTTCTTATTTAGGATTCGCCTTTAGTATAGTAATTGTGGAGATTCATTTGCCTTTTTAACAGGATAAAATTTATCCTTGATTATTATTTCGGATTTTGAGGAAATACACCTCGTAGCTTCTCGCTAGATTTTCGTATTTCATGGTCAGGTAGAAATTGTTCTGCAAAGGACTGGGGCCAAACATGATCATAATTAAACTGTTGGTCCACAAACTCTTTGATCTTCTTTGGTGTTAATAAACATCAGACTCCGGTACAGAGTCGATCGGATAGAAAATCGAATGTATCAAACATATGTATAGTTTTAGTAATAAATATGCTATAGCGGACCAATATCGAATTTAGGATTAACGCCTCAAGTAAACTACCCGATCAACATTTACATTATATAAGGGATCACGATTATTGGATCAAATAATATGAGATTGTTCTTTTTTGTATAAAGTTAAACTGGTATAATGGTGAAAATTGCTGCTATATATTTTTTAATCGTATTACGGAGAATAAAACCTTTTGCGTGGTTCAATTGATTTTTAATTCCGATCGCTTTTCCCTGAGCTGTAGGAGACCCCTATCATGGTTGATCACCAATCGTTAACATGAAGTGGAATAGATTTCTAGATCACATGGAATTGAACTCGATCTCCATCGTTCTAATTCATTGATTTTTGATTCGACAAGCAAGCAATCTGTGCTGAAGTGTATAAGCAGTTATACTAACACTTGTGGATGTATATGCACAACGTTTACTGTTAAGATAAATTTATGATCATTTGATTTATATCAAAGTTCAGTCCGTGTTGGTCGCGCTTGAGTGTTAATTTAAAACTGTTGTATTGTATACAGTTGTATTGGTAGCTCCATTTAAATCAAGTTTAATTTGAAAGTTAAACCCAAAGCTAACAAAAGAATTAAAACCTACTGTTTTCTTGCTAACAATGATTGGTATGTACACCAAAAACATTACCTTTACCTAAGTAAAACAGATCTCCCATGGAAGTGCACTTTCTTTCAGAAAGAAATAATTCTGCATTAAACAAGTTAACAACTTCGGTATATGTATCTACATAATATACATTGCATTTAATTTTTTTTTCTCTCTCTCTATATATATGTCTACATATATACATTTATAGAGAGAGAGAGAGAGAGAGTCGCTTGTCTGAATCTATATAGTTTTAAACTATATAATTTGGATCGAATCAAAATCATTCATTCACTTGTCAAATATACTTACCTAACACTTAAGCTGGATCCTAAATCCACAAATCCCTCAGTATATTATACTTACAATTTTTTTCGTTTTTCAGATGTATTCCTTATCGATAACAAAATAGGTGATAGTGTTTGACATAGCAGAAATGTGAAGATCCGCTTACCTGCCCAGGTAAAATTATCCAATTATCGACTTTGGTTCTGGACCATCTCTTGTGGTTTTTAAAATGACAAGCTCTCACCAAAAAGTATTAAAATATCCAGCTTTGTTATAAATTATATTTGAAATAAAGATTTTTTAATATCCAATTTATGAAATAGTAGATGGCTTCAGCGACCCGTTTTTTAAATGTTTAAATCACTAGAATTTTTATGGGTCTGCAAATCCCATCCGATTAAACACACAGATCAATGACGAATTCGCTTAAGTCACCGGATACAGGGGTGCCATACAGAAGCGCCTTCCATTTACCGGGAAGAGTCGCTAGGTTGCCCGTAGTGACAAGGAAAGAAAGTGCACAGTGTTTTAAATTTCATTTTAAAGATAGGTAGCCTTTTAAACCTGACACCTCGTGCAGAAAACTCTCAGAACAACAAACACTCCGAGTGGTAATTCGTCACAATTTGTTTATCGACTCCGTTTCGAAATCTGCAATTTTGAATTGATTTGAAGAACACTTCTGCCTATAAAATTCGAACAAGTTTTAATAATTTTTCAAAGATTATTTTCAGTCAAATACAAGAATGATACTAGTTTTGAGTTGGAACCAATATAGGGAATGATATACGTTGTACAGGCATTTACTCGCAATGTACCTGACATTTTGAGTTTTTACTCATTTATACCTGTATGATGTTTTCCTTTTACCTAGGTGTGCACGAGTTTCCAAATCTGGGATTGTATGCAGAATAATATAACTTATTAATTTTCCGTTACAGATTTACTTAACAGAGAAATATTACAGGCTCAGACCTAATACTATAGATGCCTTCACTACTATAGCTTATTTTGACAAGGGTACAATTTATTCGAGGAGGGGGGGGGGGTGAGTCAAAACTTTGTCTTTGTAACAGAGACTTAGTGACGAAATTGTGATAAAAATATTAACTTAGTGTTGTCGCGTAAAGAATACATGTATATATATGAGAAGGTGGCTCTTGGTAAAGATGGAATTTTTTTTATCCCTGCTATATGATAAGCGTGTAAAAGAAAATTTAGACGCATGTGTGTGCGTCTAAGAGTCACTGTTTACTTGTCGCTAAAATGTTGGTTAGAAACTGCCCTGTGATACTCTGTTGACAAGTCATAGGTCATGGTTCCCTTATTACAATATCACAGGTCATGGTCCACTTATTACAATATCACAGGTCATGGTCTTCTTATTACAATATCACAGGTCATGGTCTTCTTATTACAATATCATAGGTCATGCCCCTCTTATTACAATATCACAGGTCATGCTCCTCTTATTACAATATCATAGGCCATGCTCCTCTTATTACAATATTACAGCTAGGTCAAGTTTCACTCATTACAATATCACAGGTCATGGTCCTCTTCTTACAATATCACAGGTCATGGTCCTCTTATTACAATGTCATAGGTCATGGTCCTTTTATTACAATATCACAGGTCGTGGTCCTCTTATAACAAAAGTTATAGGTCATGGTGCTCTAATTACAATATCACAGGTCATTGTCCTCTTATTACAGTATCACAGGTCACGGTCTTCTTATTACAATATCACAGGTCATGGTTCTCTCATTACAATATCACAGGTCATGGTCCACTTATTACAATATCATAGGTTAATAGGTCATGGTCCACTTATTACAATATCATAGGTTAATAGGTCATGGTCCACTTATTACAATATTATAGGTCATGGTCTTCTTCTTACAATATCACAGGTCATGGTCCACTTATTACAATATCACAAAGGCAAACTTCTCGAATCCCTGTAAATCAAGAGGACCATGGCCCAGTTGAACTTTGTTATCTCGGACTTCGATATCTCAAATACTGTGGTTTTGTCGAAGTATAAAAATTCCAACCAATTGTTCTTTTTGAATTTTAACCTCGAAATCTCGAAAACATCAGATATTTTGATTTTTTTCCTCAGCACCATCGTGTTCGAGATAATGAAGTTTGACTGTGCATAAACAAATAACCATCAGTGGCTTAGTCAAAAGCCTGGGAAGGAGAAAGGGGGGGGGGGTTAGGGGTGTGAATGAGGCTCGGTCGTACATGTAGTTTCCATGCAGCATTTTCTCGTTATACATCATTACGACTTGGATTGAAATGTAAGAATTGTATCTTCCCTCGTTGTGAAGACCTTCGGCAACCAAGGAAAAAAAAAAGACATACATTGGACCAGGGGCCTATATACTAAGTTAGAATCGGTCCCTTGGCCTATCCTATCTTTTCCTACAGCTAATTCAGAATTTATTTACCATTTCAACCAAAAAAGTGGGGATACAAGACTTTCCTACACCCCCATATCAAAAGAGGGGCATACACACCGCCTGCCCCCACCCCGTATCTAAGCCTGTGAGTATGAGTCCACATTTTCCCAACAATTATGCAAACTGAAAAGTAAAGAATAATTCAGCACCTACAATATGGAAGATTACTTCACAATTTACATCTATTTGTCGTTAGTTTGAACAAGGGAGCTCGTACAAATAGGTTGCCACTTCAGAAGGTTCGATTTAAAACTGTGCAATTGTGATTCCCAAATACTACTATTCCATGAATTAGTTTATCTCAACACTGAGTCTAATATTGATTGTGTGAATTTTTTGGCGCTATATATTTTCAGTGTTAATAGCTGGTGAATTGTATACTCAAACAGAACAAAAAGGGGTAAACATTGCTGAAAAAGTAATCAATAAGTGAATATTGCAGTAGAAGCAAAAGACATTCCCCATTTCATAACGTTATTATATATAGGCAAAATTGAAATTGCTCAGTATGTATAATTTAATGCAATCTTGATAAACAGAAAATACATGTCTATATAAATAATTGAAGCATTCCTGTTGCTTAATTATGAAAACAATATCAGTGTAAACTTGACACATAAAGTTTATTATACTTTTAGCACCATTTTTTAATCGTCTCAACGTCCCACAGTGGGATTCGAACACGCAACACTGTGTAAGGATCACACCTTACTCTGCGACTCTAGTACAGAGTCTGACGCTCTACCACTGCGCCACGCGGGCGAAAAATCGATAAATGAAGCATATGAATAAATATACCAATTTTAAATTGCACGATGTTTAAAAAATGATATATATAACTAATACTTAAAAATCTCATACCTTCAATACATTTTTGAACACATTTAACTACGAGCGCATGTTGTTCAAAAACTTCTAAGCCTCACTGAGAAAGAAGAACCATAGCTGTTTTTATGCCCCCGTATCGAAGATTCGGGGGCATATAGTTTTTGCCCTGTCCGTCCGTCTGTCTGTCTGTCTGTTTATCTGTTTGTCGGCAAAAACTTTAACATTGCTCATAACTTTTGATTGGTTAAAGCTATGGCTTTCATACTTCACATGTGTATTCCTTGTGACAAGACCTTTCTTTAGGTACCATCATATTTGATCACATTTGATTTGACCTTGGAGTTTGACCCAGTTTTGCAAAATTTTACCGAACTTTTTCCTTGGCCATAACTTTTGAACAATTGGTGCTAGCTTTCATACTTCACATGTGTGATCCTTGTGACAAGACCTTCCTTTGGATACGAACAACTTTGAACCTTTGACCTTGACCTCTGAGTTTGACCTACTATTGGAAAACTTTAACATTGGCCATAACTTTTGAACGGTTGGTACTAGGGCTTTCATTTTGACAGGTCTATTCCTTGTGCGAAGCCATTCCTTTGGATACCAACAATTGTAATCCATTGACCTTGACCTTGGAGTTTGACCTACTTTTGAAGAACTTTAACCTTGGCCATAAATTTTGAACGATTGATCCTACGGTTTTCATATTTCACCTGTGTATTTCTTGTGAGAAGGCCTTTCCTTCGGCACCATTTATTTTGACCATTTGACCTTGATGTTTGACATACTTTTGAAAACCCTTAACCTTATCCTTATCTATTCAATGGTTGCAGCTGGGGCTTTCATATTTCACAGGTATATTTCTCGAGACAAGACCTTACTTTGGGTACCAACATATTTGATTTACATTTGAGAATGTTTAACCTTTGCCAAACGGGGGCATCAGTTTTTCACAAACGCATCTTGTTTTGTTGCTGTGACACTCTACCACTTCTCATAAAAGTAAAAACACCATTCAAGATTTCTATCTCTATTCCAGTGAAGCCTAAACATGTGCCACAAATATAAAGATGGACAAAACTAAAACTCATGCAGCCAAAAAATATCTACAAAAGAAAAGTTTGACACCAGATGAAAATCATGAAAAAAAACTATAATGGACATGTAAATATTCCAGTGGCGGATCCAGGAATTTCATAACGGGGGGGGGCAGTAGCAGGCAGGGGTCTGGGGGGCTGCAATGAAGCCCCCAGTAGGTCCAGGTTAAAGCCCTGGTGGGGGTCTGGGGGCAAAGCCCCTGGAAGCTGACGAATTCTTCCAAATAAAAGGTGTTTTTTCCCTTGATGGACATATAAGTTCTACATAAAAAAATTCAAACGGGGGGGGGGGGGGGGGGTGCTGCCTGGATCCGCCTTTGTATTCAAGAATAAAGTGTTGCTGATGTATTTAGAAACAAGATGTGTTTGTGAAACACTGATGCCCCCGTATGGCAACTTATAGCGAAGGTTAAACTTTCTCAAATGCAAATGCAAATCAAATATGTTGTTACCCAAAGTAAGTTCTTGTCTCGAGGAATATACCTGTGAAATATGAAAGCCCCAACAGCAACCATTGAATAGATATGGAGAAGGTTAAAGTTTTTCAAAAGTAAGTCAAACATCAAGGTCAAGGTCAAATGGTCGAAATTAATGGTGCGCAAGGAAAGGCCTTTTCACAAGAAATACATATGTGAAATATGAAAGCCCTAACACCAATCGTTCGAAAGTTATGGCCAAGGTTTAAGTTTTCCAAAAGTAGGTCAAACTCCAAGGTCAAAGGGTCAAGTTGTTGGTATCCAAAGGAAGGTCTTGTCACAAGGATTTACATATGTGGAGTATGAAAGCCCTAGCACCAACTGTTCAACAGTTATGGCCAAGGTTAAAGTTTTCAAAAGTAGGTCAAACTCCTAGGCCGAGGTCAAAGGGTCTAAGTTTTTAATATCCAAAGGAAGATCTTGTCACAAGGACTACAAATGTTGTTTGAAAGCTCTATCACCAACCGCTCAGAAGTTATGGTCAAGCTTAAAGTTTTCCAAAAGTAGGTCAAACACCAAGGTCAAGGTCAAAGGATCAAAGTTGTTGGTATCCAAAGGAAGGTCTTGTCACAAGGATTTCATATGTGAAGTATGAAAGCCCTAGCACCAACCGTTCATAAGTTATGGCCAATGTTGAAGTTTTTTTTTCAAAAGTAGGTCAAACGCCATGGTTCAGGTCAAAGGGTCAAAGTTGTTGGTATCTAAAGAAAGGTCTTGTCATAAGGATCGATTGTACATGTGAAGTATAAAAGCCCTAGCACAAACTGTTCAAAAGTTATGGTCATGGTTTAAGTTGGGTAAAATTTTACAAAACTGGGTCAAACTCCAAGGTCAAGGTCAAAAGGTAAAAATGATGGTACCCAAAGAAAGGTCTTGTCACAACGAATATACGTGTGAAATATGAAAGCCATAGCTCTAACCAATCAAAAGTTATGGACAGTGTTAAAGTTTTTGCGGAAAAACAGACAAACAGACAGACAGACGGACGGACAGGGCAAAAACAATATATTCCCGAAACTTCGATTACGGGGGCCTAAATATTGGAAAGATCGGGATCAGTTTACAAGGATAAATTATTTAAAATCGGGATCGCCATACCATAAGAAGGCTGCAGTCATGTGATATCAAGATGGTGGATGAGAGGTGTAAACATGAAAGTTTACAAATGTCATAATTTTAGGTCTCAGAATGTCATACAAGTGGACAACGAACCGGTGTCTTTGTTTGCATACAAGGACAAATTGTTCGTTGCAACACAGAATTGTTGTGTCTTTGCTTTTAAGTTTTTAGCTAATCAGAATCACCAGAGGACGAACGCTTTTGCTACAGAGGCGCGAGTTCAACAGCTCCTGTTTAATGACACTGGTAAGCTTACTTGAATACAACCAAAGAAATTTTAAAATATGTTGGCTGTGCGACCGTTGGGGCGAGCGTAGATAGAATGTTCTATCGTTAGAATTATAATGCCTTACGGCCTATACGGATCCGTGTTAACCAGGTCTGGTACAATCACTAGATTTAGCTACGTAGCTTGAATTACCTACATAGCTTTATTTACCTACCTGAAGTAGCTTTATTTAGCTAATGAATCAAACTTTTTTCTTAAATTTCCATTTTTCTCAGCATGTGCAGAAAAATACACTTTGATGCAGTGATAATTTTCAACTTTAAGCTCATCTGAAAACAATTCATGAAAAAATCACTCTTGGAGATGCGTCTTTTTCTGTGCAATTTCAATCAAAGTTCTACAAGTTTTGGGCTATATACAACAGTTAATTTGTGACCAAACAGTTACTTCTTGAATGAAATAACAAAGAAAACCAGTTCTGGTTAACATGAGCACAATGAGAAGCAATCATACTTATCCATGCATCATCGCACACAAGGTGGTGTACAGTTACTCAAACAATGGAAATACATCTTTTCCTTAAAAGTGTTCAAATGCAGCAATGTTAAAATTATCTCTGCTTTAGATTGCTTTTTAAATAATCCCTAATATAAATATTAGTAGTCATTTATTCGCGATTTTTTGTCTTTTTTAAAATAAAAGGCAAAATTCTGAAAAGTTGCATTGGAATAGCTAAATAAAGCTACCTGAGGTAGGTAAATAAAGCTAAGGTAGGTAATTTTAGCTACGTAGCTAAATATACTGATTGTACTGGACCTGTTAACGATAGAACAGATCCAGCACAATCTCTTGATTTAGCTTGAAATAGCTATAATATAGGCTATTATAGCTCTATTAAGCTATTCAAAATAGCTTGATTTAGCTATTTTGTCATACTTTTCTTCTTTAAAACAATAATGTGCATTTTTTTCAGCAAGTCGAAAAAGTCGCACTTTGGCATGTTTGGTGCAGTGATAATTTTTAACTTTGTATTGTTCTGAAAATGCAGGTATATGGGAGACATTCTAACTATGGTGAGAGCCTGTACCAAGACACAGTTAGATTATTCTAAGTAGGGTGTGAGCAGTTGTTTATTCATTACTGGATTCCTATTCATTTTTGACCTAGATCTGCCTCTTCAAATTTTGAAGATATTATATTATTTAGAATGTCTAGACTGTTGACATCACACAATGTTGTAGGTTAATTGTATTTCTATAGTGGAGCCTAAAAAGTGCATTTTTTAATCAGAGAGCATTTAATTTACTATCTAATCTGCAATTTGCATTAAAGTGCGGTTAAGTTCCGGTTATATTTGTAAACTTTTGAAGTTACCATGAGAAGTAGTTTGCGGCGAGATGCATTTCGAAAGGATTTGTGGGTCCAGAGGTTACTGTGGAAAGAATATCATTTGGATCAACAAGCAAAGTCTGAATTTTCTCTTTACCCAGACGTTGCCTTAAGAGCTCACTGCACTCACTAATATGTTGATGATTCGACCATTAGGGCAAGCGCATATGTGTATTATTAGATACCTATTCAGTTTTAAAAACTGATATCTGCATCTTCAAACTGCATGAGACATTTAGAATATCTAAACTCTGACATCACATGACTAATTATGATTCAACTGTTCATGAGAAGATGACATTCAAAACTTTTTCCCATACACTTGAACCTTGGTATCTCAGACACTGATATCTCGAATAGCATTGATATGTTGAAGTGATTTGAAGTCCCAGCCCCTTATTCTTTAAGTATTTTTCCCTGAATATCTTGAATCTTTGGATATTTCGAAGTTTTTTCTCAGTCCCATTGAGTTCAAGATAATGAGGTTTGACTGTATATATATAAGGGAAGCAATTCTACAATGTAATCTGTAACCTCATATTTCCAGTTTATTATGTATTGTTGTTTATTTTCAAGGTAATTATGTTGCAACTTTAGAGGTGAAATCATCTAGAAGGCAAACATTTTATGCAGTAAAAATTTATCTGAACTGGCAGCTGGCGACAGATCCAAACAGCACCAGATCTTGTGTACGACTTGCCAATCATGATCATAGTTTGAAGCCAAACAGTATATCTAAGGATCAACTACAAGTCATTGACATACCTTGCAGCAAAGAAGTTACATGTATATCTTCTTGTCAAAAGACAGGAAACCTAGTGATAGTTCAGAGAGACAAAACAACTTTCTACCAAGTTGTGGAGAAATCTGTTTCAAATTCTGAGAAAACTTATGTGGATGTAGTGCCATTTTTAGAGTTGGACTGGAGTTTTGATGTGAAATGTATTTCTTTCTGTGAGAATTATGTAGCAGTTACATCAGAAGAGGAAGCACAGGTTGTGCGTCTTTTGTACACAGAATCTAACAAGCAAACAGAGGACGTTGACATTTTAAAACATTTTCCTTCAAGGACTCGCAGAAGGGTATCCTCAGTCTTGAGTGAACTATCTATAAGCTCTGATAAGCACCAAAACTTAGATTCATCTCTTAGTCATGGATCTAGATATGGAGCTTTTGGTTCATCTAGAAATTCTATGAATGCTAGTCCTGCATTATCATCATCGTCCTTGAACAAACTAGGATTTGATGCATTTAATAAAATTGATGATGATGAAAACTTTGTGATATGGAATTTTGATGAAAGTGAACAAAAAGAGGATCTGGATGGGAGTTTGTTTCTAGGAAGACGGGGAGTCAGGAGAAAGCAATCCAAAACAGCCGTTCTGAAGAGTCTGCATGAACTCACTCAGAGAGACATACTTCTGGCAGATAATCCAAAACACAGTGACCTCAGAGGTAACTAATCCTTTTTTCTTTTCCCTCCTGTTTAATCTCACTTAAGACAAGACACATTTCAACATTACCATCATTACAATTTTAAAAGCAATTTGATATGTCACTTGCATGTGTATCAATTTTATACAAATGGATGTTTATTTTTACAGGAGGCAGTCACTCCACTATAGGAGAACTCAGTGTTGTTACAGTACTGTACAAAAGAAGTTCCTCCAGTACAGATTCGTGGAAGTTCATACAACTCCATCCAACATACCTCGCTGGTAGGTTTTTATTTAGGCCAAATTCAGTGGTTTCTTATTGTTACATATAATCTTCTGTGTTGTAAGAGGACCGATATAAAGTACTGATATTGTTTTGCAGATGCTGAGAGGTTGGTTATGAGGGACTGGTATAGAGAGATCCCCGTTCAGTCCTCCGTGTTCAGTAGTCTGGTGGGTGTGTCCTGTCTCCTGAGCAGTGCCAGGGTGGGGACAATGTACAACTTATGGAACAAGACCTCAGATATATCACATTATAAATACACACTAGATGTGCATCAGGTAGTCAGTTTTTTTCTGATTTATTTCTGCTTGAAGTTTTATTACAAATGTAATAGGAATGAATTTTTCTTACATTTGCATGATGTTTATACATGTGGTATTCATATTTTTTTTCTCAAATTAAAAAAAAAAAATCGCCATATTTTGATACAAGTGCATGTAAGACAGAATTTTATGTCCAGTAGATAAATTTATTTTTATGTTTGTCTGTCTTTTATTACAAATCTTTCAATAGGCGATGATGTGCTTATATTAACACCACATTGAACAGTGAAATTGTGAGATAGACTGTATATTTCACACCAGAACAAGCATTAACAAAGTTTAGTTAGTGCTAACTTTACGATCAAAATGTTAAGCTTACAGCATCTCATTGTTTGTCAACGACACCTGAAAGTCCAAGCTATTGGTAGAAATGTTTTATATGTCTACAGGTTGACCATGTCTATTGATCTCTGTGAGATATATACTTTATATATTGGTATGTCCTTGTGTGTAAATCTGTTTTGTTAATCAAGCTATAACAGGGTCATGATCTACACAATCACCTCCATTTTAGAAATTTAATACATGTATTGCATTGGCCAGTCTGTTTCAGAAACTAGTCTTTGTTGCAATATGATGAGAAAATTCAATCATATTAAGCCTTTTGTACCAGTATTTGATAATAACTTTAATTTTTTGTGTGTGTGTGTATATTGATGAATATAATCTTGCAAAATATTGAATATCATTTGAGATTATCTATGTAAGAGTGAATTCTATATTTACATCTCTTTCCGAATCAGCTGATAACAGATGGGAACTTGTTGTATGTCATGAATGAGAAAGGGTTGGAGATTTATTCCAGCAGGTGTAATGCAGCAGCCATTCATAACTCAGAGGATCTTAACGGCATTACCAAGGTTAGATATAAAGAATACTAATATTGTCAGACTTACATTTATTACAGTACATTTACTTCTTTTCATAATTTGTTTTAGAAAAATGTAAATGCAATGACATATTTACTAATGGGATATGCCACTTCTCCGGTGCCATGTTTATTTGCCTAAAACTTAATGCTAAACATTACAAATTTTTCAAACTATGTTTATTCCCAGAAATAGGGGTATGTGTTGATTTTGAAAATAAAACATAATAACACTAAGATAAGGAAATATAAACAGTGCAAAGGACATATTTTGAATAATTTTTTGATTGATAAATGAAGGTTTTGTTCTGCTATATTTGAAAATAGTAGAGATATATTTAAAAGTGCATTAGACAAACAAATTCCCATATCTCTTGCAAGATATCTAAGGACTTGCAAGAGTTGCCTATCTTGTTAATATATAGGTTCCTGATAGTAGCTGAAAACTGATGGAAGTTGATAATTAAAACCAAAGCTTTGGGAGGAGAACAACCATTTTTATATAAGACATCCTTGCAATGTTTATTTGACAGGCTTACCCCTCTGCTAGCCTGGACATCTGTCTGTTAGGGGCCCATCCTTTTATTGGCGCTACACAGATCACACTGGCAGATGATACTGTAGTTCTGTTGTCCAAGGTGGATGGATCTAGCAATAAGTATGTAATACATATCTACACATATAGGTAATACACAGAAGTTTTGAAGTATATGTGATGTAGAATTTTTATTCAATGTTATTATAGAAATGAGGAGAGTATATGGAGTCTGTATGCCCTTGAGAAATGTTCTGTTTCTGAACTTTTCAAAGATATGGTAAGTGACCAGTCTTACGTGGAAAAAAAAATGACATGTTGCTTGATTTAATAATAAAATTATGATTACGGTAAGTAAAGCATAAAAATCAATAAATATGTGTACTCAAATTCTTTTCCTCTGTAGCATGATAAATATTATTTTTAACAGCTGAACTATGGATCCAAGAATCAAAAGTCAAGCTCTTCAGCTTACTTACACATGTTACAAGAAAGTCACATGATTGTGAGAAATGCTCTCATTGGTCAACAGAGAACAGATGATCATCTACTAGAATTATACAGGGAGTCATGTGGCCTTTTGGGTGAACACTACTCACTGTAAGTGTATGTGCTATATAGTCACACTAGGTACTTGCACTTTAACAAAGTTTCAGAGAAATGAATAGATCTCATATGCTACGTTTAGAAATATTCAGATACATGTTTATACCCCATGGCACAGGAAATCATTGGTTTAATGAAGGCTAAATTTTAATTACCATAAATGGCTTATATTTCTGGTGACTTAATTTACCATTACACAGTTATGTTCTATTTATTTGATACACATAATATTTGCATATCCTTCATACCAGAAATAATTAGACTCTTCCAATTATTATTAGCAAAAACAAAACTATAAGAAAATCTTTAATACTGTGGAATCATTAGATTTTGTGGTGGCTGAGGATTACTGGGATTTTTGGGTACCTCTCATCCACGAATTAACATCCTCCACAAATTGATAAGCTAGGATTTCATAGTCATCTTTCCTTTTGTATATATGAATGAATACACGAAACTACGTCCCCACAAACCTGTAAAATTTAAGAACTCCACGAAAATTGGCCCCAATAAATTTTAACGATCCCACAGTAATACAAATACTAAAAATAAAGTTTGCCCTTATTTAATATGATTTACAGTGCTATAAGTATGAAAGTGGAATTTTAGATAACAAAATCTTTAGGATATATACATGTAAGGGTGTTTTATGGTTGTTTTTTTTGTAGGCCTGATGCAGAAGATCACAGATTGTGTCTGCCCTATTATCTGATGTCTGGTCTCTCCATCAGTGATATCATAAAACAAGCTGTGATTTACAAACTCCAGTCCAAAAAGGTCAGATAACAACATCTGATATAATTACAGTAGCTACAGAAACAGGTTTAAAGTTTTGGTTTTGAAATGGTTGCATATTTCTCAGTAGCTGAGTTATTTTCCTTAAAAAAAAGGGGGGGGGGTGACATATAGTCCTTAAGTGTCCATATCTTTGTCCATATAAGGTTAGGTGTACATATAAGCCATGTTTTCAAGATGATTGTATTTCACAGATTTTTTTTCTTATGTCTAAAGATTTTGGTTTGCCACTTCCAAGGTAGATTTATGTCAGGAAATTTTGCTAGCCCAGGATTTATCAAACCATTGGATTCCAAATTCACACAGTTCTTGTATTTTAACCAAAATTATCTAGAAACTTTTTTCTAAGGATGACTCAAGGAGGTAACATGTATATCTCCAATTAAATTTGTGATTTTGAACTTATTATTAAGCATAATGTCAGAGAGATACTTCACTTTTATTTATTTTCTTTTCAATATGTAATTAAACTGTTTATCTCTGTTACAAAAGGCATTCAATATGCAGATAGACAAACATTGATATAGACACTTGCAGACTTACGGTACAATAAGGTACTAATTACAGGTACATGTACTATTTTTGAAATTTAAATGTTAAATTGTCACTCAAACTGTGGTCTTTTATTTTTACAGACAACACCATATTGCTATGGAAAAGGATTCAGTTATTACCTGAGTTATGTTTTGTTTCAAGATGAGGAGCCTTTTGTTTTACTTGAGGTAACAATTTATATTTACATACATGTATTTTCTGAATCACATAATTATATTAGAAGATTTGACAACATATGATAATTATGTAGTGTCCTGGAGGTTTGAACATAAATGAAAAATCTGAATATTGAATGACACTAAGATCACCTGACCAAATTATTGGGATGGTCTGAAATCTCACAAGATGAGTAACTTTTTTTTTAACTTTCTTAAAAGCCTTAACCTTGAATATCAACAATTTTACAGACAGATGGAGACCAGATCCTTGAAGTGTGTGCTGAGGTTATTCCAGATCGAATGTCAGAGGTTATCTTATTCTCCCGTCTCCAGACATACAACCCAGAGACTGCGCTCAAACTGCTTCAATCACAGATGCAACATAAATCATCCATCGATGAAAAACACACGTAATTATTTTATTTACATTTAAGTGAATTTTCAAAAGGGGAATAGAATAATGTATTTCCTTGGATTTATGGGTAATGTTTTTGTTATAGTCCTGTAGATATGGTAGCTCTGGCAAGTTTACACCTGAAGCTGTGTGATCCAGAACCAGCACATGTGGCTCTGACATCAATACCACAAAGGGAGCTAACTAAGATCTGTATCCGCCATCATCAGCTTCTACATCAAGACTTTGCAGAGTTATCCCCCTTATCTCAAGTAAGTGTAGTAGAGATAAACCTTACATGGAGAGAAAAACAAAAAACAAAATTAGAAAGATTTTAATCCTAATTCTATCACTAGTGTGGCAGGTAATGAAACTTGTATTAATGCTTTGATTTATTTATGATTATTTGAAGATTTGTCTGTATGGGTAGAATGTGCTTTTGATATGTTCCTTTGTTGACAGTTGATGAGATGCCATTGTCCTCAAGTTTTGATCACCTCCCTGGTGGCTCTACATGACATAGGGATGATATCTCTGGATTTAGCCATCCAATTACTGCAGGTAATTACCTGTATTGTCTAAATTCTTAAAAAGTACCTACTTTTGTAGCAATTCAATTCAATTCTTTATTCACTCAAAACCAGATCACTGGTACAAGAGGTACATATACACATATACATGTATACAAACAAAAATTACAGTCAAGGGTAAAAAAATAGACAAGTATATAAAGAAAAAAGAAAAGAAGTAAACATATAATCAGTTATATATATGGAGGATTCAAGAAGGACAGACAGTTTTGAAGATTTTCTTAATAAATTTTGACAATGATTTTTGTATTTCTACATTATTTGTGTAGCAAAGAAGAATATTGTATGCATTTAAATTTTCTGGTCATGGATTTCACAATGTTAAAAAAACTGCTTTACTAGATAACCAGTACATGTCTCAATAAAATATAGCCTCCTGATTATAAATAACTTTTAAATTGTACAGGGTACACATGATGAGGATGCAAAATTCAAGAATAATCATGTCAAAGAATACCTGGAAAAAATATTAGAAGGTCAGCCATAAAGTGAAAATATCATCTTCTTGTTTAAATGTTCCTCATTGTTCAATATGTGTTTTTTCTGCTTGTTTCAATATGAAAATCTGTTCATTATTGTGTAATATAGGCTTCATATTTGAATGGAGCAAATGACATACAGTAAAACTCAGTTATAAAGAATTCAGTTATAAGGAAATCTGGGATATAACGGTATCTTTTCACTCTGTTCCCTATATGAATATAAAGAATCCTGGTTATTAGGATTTTAAATCTTGGTATCCAGTGAATTCTTCACAACAGAGTCTTACTGTACTTTATAATTTTATCTTACTTCAAATTTAATTTAAATCTCAATAAATATTAATTATACAATATATCTTTTAAAATTGTGTTATACATATAACTTATTTTGTAGATAATCGAAGAAAATACATTTTTGAAGAGGCAGCAGTAAGTTGTGTTCTTATTGCTAGATCATGTGAAGTAAATATTGGGATAACCTGTAATTTTCTTATGTGTAAATACTTTTGTATTCATTTGTTGTACTAGGTTCTTCTCTCTGAAATATACATGAAGAGAATTGTTCATGTTACACATCCTACTGACAGACAAAGGCTGAATGGACAAGTTCAGGTAAAGTGAAGTGACATTCATAATAATTTGAAAATTTTGATGCTACATTTAAGACTTTCTTTTATGCATGGAAATTAAATAAAACATTTCAGTTTAAATGATGTTTCCACATTTTAAGTAATTATTTCATTCAGATCAAGGCCACTGGATACTTTGGACAGAGATATTCCTGGTTAGATGAGTTACCTCCCTTTAGGGGGTTATATGCCTTAAAGCAGCCCTGTCTATATCTCAGACCATCCAGTCCTACCACAGTACGAAAAAACAACATCACAGCTCCAGCTGTCAATAAACAGGAGAACTGTCCTTGTGCTCTATGTCATGAGGACCTCCTTAAACTACAGGTACATACAACAGCCTTAACTTCATATTTCCTATGTAAATAGCATACAATTGTTAAAAAACAATTCTGTTGAATTGAGTTGGACACATTTTGTTATTCTTCTATGAAGGAGATAAAGAATGAACATGTAATATGTATTTATGTATGGATGTCTGATTCTTGCCATATTAACTGAGTGGTTTGCTCCTTTATAACTCTTAGCCTTTCTATCTTTCCTAAATATTATTTCCAATTCAGATATACAATGTATAATGAAATGTTCTGTATATACACATGACTATTTCCAGAGTTTGCCCCTTTGTAACTCTTAGCCTTTCTGTCTTTCCTAAATATTATTTCCAATTCAGATATACAATGTATAATGAAATGTTCTGTATATACACATGACTATTTCCAGAGTTTGATCCTTTGTAACTCTTAGCCTTTCTATCTTTCCTAAATATTATTTCCAGTTCAGATATACAATGTATAATGAAATGTTCTGTATATACACATGACTATTTCCAGAGTTTGCTCCTTTGTAACTCTTAGCCTTTCTATCTTTCCTAAATATTAGTTCCAGTTCAGATATACAATGTATAATGAAATGTTCTGTATATACACATGACTATTTCCAGAGTTTGCTCCTTTGTAACTCTTAGCCTTTCTATCTTTCCTAAATATTATTTCCAGTTCAGATATACAATGTATAATGAAATATTCCGTAAATACACATGACTATTTCCAGAGTTTGCTCCTTTGTAACTCTTAGCCTTTCTATCTTTCCTAAATATTATTTCCAGTTCAGATATACAATGTATAATGAAATATTCCGTAAATACACATGACTATTTCCAGAGTTTGCTCCTTTGTAACTCTTAGCCTTTCTATCTTTCCTAAATATTATTTCCAGTTCAGATATACAATGTATAATGAAATATTCCGTAAATACACATGACTTCAATGTATAATCATATGTTCTATACATGACCTCACTACTTTCTGTTTCCAGAGTATGCTCTGTTCCCCCTCCTGTAGTGGGGCTGTGGTGGACAAAGTTCTAGATCTCCTAAAGACCTCACCCTCCATACAGGGCAGGGACTCTGTCTGGGTACTGTGTAAAATCAGGTCAGAGGTCACAGAAACTTTCAAGGTCATGGTGGAAAGGTACCCGACTGTCCTTCTTAGTTTTAGTACATCTGTACTGGAGGCAGATCCTGGTTTGGTGAGTGTGCAAAGTTTTAGGGGATATAAAAAAAAGAGAAATATAAGAGCAAACTTAGCTACTTATTTAAAACTAAATTTTATCAAATAATTTGACTTAATAATACCCGTAATATAAATTGTACATCATGGGAACCTTTTGAAGAACTAAGAAGATTGAAGAAATTACCTCCTAATGTCCTTTCATGCAAACAACCACAACACTGTGTTTGTTTTGTCAATATTTTGCAGTAAAATGCATTACTTCATGCTTAATTTAAGCCAGTGATTGATAAATAGCCTTTGTAGACAGAACTAGAGTTACCTTGATTTTAAAACAGCTTACATTTTTCAATATTTTAGTGGAGCCATTTTTTGAATGAGGTTGTGCAGATGAATAAACTCCAAGCTGAAAATCCAGATGAGAATGCAGACATTTATTTTAAAACATTTCAAGGTAAAAAAAAAATTCCAGTCATGTTGGATATACATAAAAATATTTTTGCTATGCTCATATCATTTCAGCATATGTAACTAAAGTCAATCAAGTTAGAGAGTTTAGTATATCCATATTGTTTAAAGCAGAATTTGAAAAATGATAACGATGTATATTTTTAAATTGTTGAAAATAAGATTGCAGATTTAATATTTTTCATTTCCTTCTTGTTTTTTAATGTTTGACTTTCAAATTTAACAATAGAGGGCTACACTCATGATTGGAAAATTAAAAATAAAACCAGAAATTCCCTCCCTTATTTACGATTAGAACATCTGTCATGTCAGGAGAAAAAAAATCTTGACAGATTATAATTATATCCAAATTGAAAAGCAAAAGCTAATGAAATGTCAGATATTTTGGAACAGGTTAATATCAATATTTATATATTTTATTTCCAGGCATACTAAAACACCTGACAGATATTCTAAATGTAAGGGACTTTCTCCAGATTTTACCTGAGGAGGGGAACATGCTGTTTTTCTTGCCATACATTACTGAGTGCCAAGAAAAGGACAAATCTAAAAAGCTGTTAAATACTGTAGTTAGAAAAGGAGAACATTTACAACGATTTGTTTAATGCTTTAATCAACCATTTTTTAATAACATGATATTCAATAAATTTCCAACATCGTGTTTCAACTGTACAGGTGTTTTAAAGTGAGGTAATCACATGAATATCACCATTAGTTTTTGAAATCGAAATGCCACTTTTTTTACCAGAAATAATATTATTATCTGATTAGAATGTACTAGGTGTGCGAGTACCAGTAGTTTGTAGCTCACCTGCACTTTAGGCAGTCATTTATGACAGTTTTGTTCTATTTTGAGATTTCTCCACCACTGCTGTTCAGGCTTGTGGCTGAGTTTCTGACTGACAATATCTATGTAGTTTTTGGAGATCAGGTCTTCCAACAATCTGTTGGAATTCCCATGGGTACCAATTGTGCCCCATTATTAGCACACCTATTTTTGTATTTATATGAAGCAGAATTTATTCAAAACTTGTACATGAGAAGAAGAAAACAGTTGCTGTGCTCATCAACTCCACATTTAGATATATCGACGACGTATTATCAATTAACAATGGTTTTTTTCCATTCATAAGTCGACTCAATATATCCCAGTGAGCTTGAAATAAAAGATACCACAGAGTCTGACACATGTGTTTCATATTTGGATATTTTAGTAGAAAAAAGATGTTAACCTAACCACCAAACTTTATGATAAACGTGATGACTTCAACTTATCTATTGTCAACTTCCGTTACTTTAATAGCAATATACCCTTACCATGTGCATAAGGGGTTTATTTCTTCCAGTTGATTCGATATGCAAGAGCATGCTGTACGTACAAACAATTTCTAAAATGAGGAAAACTATTGACAAGTTAATAAAACAAGAATATCAATCTCTTTTGAAGTCGTTATTTCGCAGGTTTTATGGTCGATACAATGACCTTGTCAGTAAATACAATCTATCATTAAGTCGAATGCTGACTGACGTTTTTTATACTAATTGGTAGGCCATTATTTACACTTTGAATTGCTACGGATTTTTCCGTTTTGCCGATCATGATAAGGAGCACCCGGCGGGTTTGACCGGTCGGCAGGGGGCGTTACTCTTCCATGGCACCTGATCCCACCTCTGATGTTTTTAAAGTTTTTTTCTCTGCTCCTGATTTGTATTTTTTCTATGGATTTTTGAGCTTGAATACTGTTTGTTATCTCCATATTTGATATGCCTTGTTTGAGGAATACCTGTATACATGCATCTTATAAATACATTTTAAACGTACATGTCCGCTCTCACTCAGTTGATTATGCGGAGTATATTAGATGATCCGACTTGCTTTTCGGTTGTGACAGGTCACAGAAAAGTAAAAATTGATCAGGTGATTCTTGATATATAGGAATTCTTTGTAAAGAATACAAAAAATATACGTGTATATAATGCAAAAGGTCTAGAACTAAATTAAAAGAAATTGAAAAGAAATTGAAATCCACAGTGTTTTACTCAATTTGTAATCAATTCAAGCATTCTTACATTTTGATAGGTCTAGTTAAATTATTTAAAATTTTATTGGCATGTATTTTCCGCACATAAGTAAAAATTAGTGATTTCTTTTCATCAATACTTCATTATCTTTTAAACATTTTCTCACGGATAAATGCTAGGTACTCTATTTTGAAAACGAGCTGGATAAACTCGATATTTACGATATAAGGAGATGGGTGAACATGACGAGCGATAAGCCTATAGTGTGACAAACATGAAGATGAAAAATTAAATTTCAATTATGTCAAAATTTTCCTTGATATTTCGTCTAACATTAAAATATACTTTATGTAAAATCTCTACAATTTGCATAAATCCCTCAAAGATTGAAATTATTTGCCTGTGAAATATTGGACACACACTAAAGCGGGCAAAAAGAGTCATTTTCTCATACTATAACACTATTTTTCGATATGAGTGGGTCTTTGCTCCACCTTTTTGAAAGTTAATCCTCAAAGTTTGCATAAAAATATACATTTTTTGGTTACCAAAAATATGGAGCAAAGACCCACTATACCTTAAAAATATACTTTTATGACATAACATTCGCATGTTTACGAGAAATACTTGAAGTCCATTAAGTCAAGGGTCACATCACAAACATGATTTAAATGCCACTGTTCGTCAGGACTTGTGTAGTCTAGTGGTTAGCGTGCTAGTCTCGAAAGAAAATGATACTCAGGATTTTTATTGCTAGGGTTCGAACCCCACGAATACCACATTAATTTTTTTAATAAAAGAATAAATTTTGCTGAGAAAATTTTCCTCAGAAAAGTTTTGTTTATCACACTTTCATAAATTTCAATAATGAGAACTTTACTCTAAATATTAAATTCACAAACTGAACATGATATTTATATTTCTGAAGCTATAGGCTTTCTGCACGCTATGTTCGCCCATCTCCTTTTCTCAATCTCTTAAAAATTTTTGCTTAAGTGTATTTAGTAAGGAAAAACAGAGACATGGACACATATAGATTCTCTCTTGCAGAAAGGAAAATGTCCGAATTTCTGCAATGGTTTCCTTTCGAATTAGGATCAAAATATTTTACGCAGTTTAATTTTATTTAAGTGTTTGGATAATTTATCTACAAACTCATTTTTTCTGCATTACATATTAACCCTATTTACATTTTGGTAATGCGATAATTTGTTGTTTTTTTTGGTATCATTGTGATCTAAAATGTTACCCACCCATAGCGTCTTGTTTGAAGCCTTTGAAAGGCGAATAAACTCTTCGACCAGAACGCTTTTTACAGCGCTGTATTATTTAAATGTAAAAACATTGATTTTAAATGAGAGGCGAACTTCCTTGACAAAAGCTACATAGCTGGGTGTGATGGAGTTATACAAACAATTACAAAAATCTGTGGATTATGTGTTATTTAGAGATTCTTCTGCATGAAATGTAACACGTGGCTATGGAACACATATCCCTCTCCCAGAAAACGTCAATGGGCGATTTCAAGGTAATTGTTTTGGCATTTTATCTTTTATTTTGAGATACCCATGCCAATGTAAAAATAATTAAATGCAAATCACGGTCACAGGCCATAAGTTAAGATGATGTTTTAAAGGGTAAACCTTTTGCTTGTTGGAGCGAGTTTGGGGTGCCAAAGTAATTGTCTGCACATCCTTCAATGATACAGGCTGTATGGTTCAAGATGCTTTAGGGGTGGGGGAGTAGTTTATATGCAATGAGAGAAAGTGGAAATGTATCGCCGTAAGAAGAATTTTATAAGGTTTAACTACATGTTTTTATTCTTTAGAACTTACAGTCAAAAGTACGTACACAATAGAAAGATATTCGCTTTTGTTTTCAATGACGTATAAATATATATGAATGTCGAAGCCTTTTCCTGAACAATACAAGGCGATTTAAATGTAAGAAACTGCAATCCGTCATGAAAATAGAATTGAAATGACACTGTACAGAGTTAGGAGATTATAATCATGCTAATTAATAAGAACATTTAACTCTAATTGCATGAATATATGACAGATGGCACAGATGATTGAGAGAAAATCATCAAATACCTACTATTCCTACAGATTACGTTTCTAGGTCACTGAGTTTCAAAAGCCGTTTATGTGACCACTGATTTGAATTAGACTCTTTCACTTAAAAATGTGTCAGGTCATCGGGTTGATGCGGTGAACAAGGAAGACGTTTCCAGTCTATGAAAATAGCTCTGCTTGCCATCGGCCCAAAAGAGATCAACTTAGATATCTTTGGAATTAATAAGTAATATCATCAAAATATTATGATCCTCCTCTTGTACTGTATATGTTTGATGAGAAAAAATGGTTAAATTTGGGAATTTAGAAACTTTTAAATTTTAGATTTCACACTTTAATTATTTGTGATGCACTTTTTTATTGCACTATACAGCAGACTGAAAATGAAATTTTTTAAAAAATAAACTATCTATCATTCTGTGCGAAAAACTGGATTTTTTTGTTATAAAGACCCCGTTGTACATTGTATGTACATCACAATACATTTACCACTACTGTAGTAACGACAAGATACTGTGCTATATCTAATCTAGTAAAGACAAAATACTATGCTATATCTAAGCTATTGGTGTCCTGGATGGGAGACATTCACTATATTGTGATACTGGAATAAGTCACCTATTTCTGTTTAAGAATATGACTGGACAGGTCGAAATAGGCTGGAAAGGCCGAAATATATGAGAAGACTGCCAGATATTGACACAGGTAGATACCAGATAATATATTAATGCTAAGCATCTAATCGGCCACAAACGTTCCAAGTAATACCCTGGATATATGCCACGTGATGCTGCCGATGATTTCTATACAGGCGCGATGAAAGGCATCACAATAAATGTGAATTATTAAAAAAATGTTTTGTCATTAGCACCTCTAGCAAATTCAAAATAAATTTCAGTACCAATTTTTCTCCTATTTATTTTAATACTGTAATTTTCCGGAAATTTTTTAACACAACCACAAATAGATCGGCCACTGCTGCGGCCGATTATAAGAATAACCATCCAATCTATCCCAGCTGCTGATGTAGTTTCCATATAATGTCATATTATATATCAATACCAAAAAATATTACAATATAAATAATTTCAATAAAAGGTACATGTTTATCGGCATAACCTTTCTGCTGATAAAATATAAGAACATTAGCATTCAATTAAAAGAAATGAATTACATGTATATAAAGGATGAAGGTCAATAATGCCTCAGTAGTTCATTCCATAAACGTCGTGAATGCGATAATCAAAGAAAGACATCAATTTCCAGTAAAAAAAAAAATATTTAAAGTTAACATGGAAGGTGCGAGCTATATCATGAACCACTGAACATGTTGAATAAAAGCCTTTTACATGTCAGAATATTTAAACATGTATGAACAAACCAAGTCAGAAAAAGTCGTATCATTTTATGGAACAGCTGGATTACTGTTCTTTATCTTCATATTTCATGGAATACATTTTTAGAATCCATAGATCAGTGGATGGAGTATCTTTCAGTGGTTTGCTCATTGCTCTCTATTGGTGTAAGTTAACGTCATACGTGTACACGGTGATACAGTTCAGCGACTGTTGTTGTTGATGAATGTAAATTTCCATTTTTATATCATGTAAACCCAAACATGTTTTTTTTCTATTAATTACTAGTATAACATTTGAAGTTTTCAAAAATGCAGTTATTTTAAAATAATTTGATCTTTTCTGACTAGGCTGTCAATGTAAGGATAAAACCTCGAACTGCTTGGATTGTGTTAATGATACTGATATGTATTATCAAGACATCCATCACATCATCATCATCTTTAGACACAACAGCAACGACATCTTCGATCTTATCAACCATAACTACAAACTTAGCTACAGTATCTACAACAAACCAGTCATCTACAGAGGAAGTAACGCAAACAACAACAAACTTATCGGAAACAACATCCGTGACATCAACACAATTATCCTCAACAACTTTACTGACATCAAGTATGGTATCAGAATCGTCGGCTAGCACATTCTTACCAATTTCTAATTCAATAACATCACCAATAATAAGTACAACATCAGCGTCAACAAGTACAACATTAACGACAACTACTGAAACATTACCGATAACGAGTACAGGTACGACATCAACAACAACAAGTACGACATCACCAATAACAAGTACGACATCACCAACAACAAGTACGACATCACCAATAACAAGTACGACATCACTAATAACAAGTACGACATCACCAACAACAAGTACGACATCACCAACAACTACACATGAAGTATCACGAACAACAGGTTCATCACAAACAAGTACAATCTCATTGACAACAAGTACAATAAGCATAACATCACCAACAGTAAATACATCACCGACAACAAGTACAACATCGCCGACAACAACAAGTACAACATCACCGACAACAACAAGCACAACGTCACCGACAACTACAAGTACAACACCACCGACAACAACAAGCACAACATCACCAAAAACAACTACAGCATTACAGAAAACAAGTACATCATCATTGTCAAGTACGTCATCACCAGTAAGTACATCATTAGTGCAAACTAGTACAACGTCACAAACAACAAGTACAACTTTACCGACAACAAATACAAAATCATCAACAAGTACAAAATCACCCACAATTACAACATTACCATCAAGTACAACATCATCATCGACAACCAGTATATCTGCATCTGTAAAAACAACTAGTGCAGCATCATCGACAACAAGTACAAAGACAACGACAACAATGGCTAAAAGTACAAGACCCGATACAAGCCTTATATCATCGACACAAACTACGCCTTCTACCAAAACAGAAGTTACGTCTTCATCGATAAGTACAGCAACGTCATCATCAACACACGCTTCAACAACGCAAAGGAGAACAACACTCACTCCAACAACACAGAGGAGAATGAATTTTCAGCTTGAACTGAACGTAAATGAGACGAGGGATCTCTCAAATGATGAAACTTACGCAAAGGTGGTCAATGACACAAGGATTGCAGTAAGTCAAACTTTGTAAAAGATTACATGCAGCGCTTCTTCATGTATAAAAAAAATAAATAAATACAGAAATACTTTTTTCTTCAAAGTCAGCATATAGTAAATTTTATACCTAAATCATTTGATTTACAGCTTACAAAGTTGTACAGAGACACATTAGAAAAAAGCTTGAAAATTGAAATTAATTCACTCAGGTAATATTGCAAGTATTTTTGTGAATTATCCATATGTCTCAGATTATATGTATAGAAATTGATAATCAAAATATCTAATAAAATTGAATTGTCCTAACAATGTTACTTTGATCCTCAGAAAAGGGTCCCTGATCGTGGATTATAACGTTTACGTGGAGAATTCGCCCGCAATATTACTTGACATTGTGAACGTCATGAAGAATTTATCTGAGGGGAAAACCAACTTAACCTACAACGGAAATGACGTCAATGCCTTATCTGTTTCCTATACAGATACCTCGAACAAGCAGGGTAATAAAGTTTTCATCTGCAGTCATATTATAAATTATAATTCTTTGTCCATCACAAGAAAAACTACTAGTAATTCTAAAAAGCTTAGCAGCATTTGGATATTGGTAAATGTTGGATACATTCTTCAAGAATTTTAAAAGACCACTGTATGGTTTTTCGGTAAAAAGCTAACTGACTGCACTCTTACCCTTTTTCTTTTTATTAATTTATTATTATTATTATTTTTTAAACAATTTTAGTGCCGATTGATGGAAGAACGGACCCTAACACAGTTATTGATGCAAGCTACTTTTGCCCATCAAATGGTCCATGCCACCGTGGTGATAATACCAATGTTGACAGTGGATTAACAGAAAGCGGTATTTAGTGTGGCATAAAATAACAATTTTACAATGTAAAGTTAATGTGTAAGATGGGGAAATGAATAAAAAATAGTAAAGAACATTTCTGATGTGGAATATTTCTGCTCAATGTTATGTTTGACTAATTACATTAATGGTATGTTGCTGCTGTCATATCTAGAGTTATATTCCTTTCCTTTCTTTATTTCATGTGAAACTCTTAATGTGAAATCCTTGCGGTGAAAATTTGATTTTGTAATGAATATTTGCATATAAATGTGTTGAAGATAATTGTTATAAAATAATTTTTGTAAATAATATTTTTTTCAGAAATCATAATCATTAGCAGTGTATCAGCTGTTGGAGGACTGATTATAATTATTCTGATAGTAATTATTGTCTGTTCGTGCCGCAGTAAATCAAAGAAGACCACGACAAATGATCGACAGTTCAAGCATTTTCTCTTCTCTAAACATACTACGGTAAATAAAAACAAGTTAATTTTAAATTAAAATGAATAAGAAATAATTCATTTAAAATGAGAGAAATCTTGGAATCTTAACGTACTTGCTCGGAGAAAGTAAAAAATAACTATTTTTGATTAGCACAAAACTTCCCACTCAAAGTCAGGGAGCACATCAAACATTCTTTTAAATTTTGGTAAAGAAGATAAAATGTAAAAAAAAAAAAAAGAATTGATGTTAATGAATTTCTTTGAAAAATAAACATTAGGGTGTGTCTAAATTAATTAAGATTCTAAGTCATATTAATATTATTTTGTAAATTTTGGTAAAATTTTTTGATCCCTAGTAATATATATAAAACTAGGGGTAATTTTTTTTCTTCAAATCAACAAGTTTGGTATCTGTGAGTCTGATATTCTAAATTTTCATCAATAATTATAGTTGTGCTTAAATAATGTAATAGAGATTAAATGTGTACAGTGCTATACATTTATTGACTGGGTTCGAGGGCAATATGCATTTAACAACCTGAGGCAAACAGTTTGGTTCGAGGGGTCGACAAAACGCATTTTGCCCGAGAACACAGTCAATAAATGTTTTGTTATATCTTTTATTTTCAATTCTGCCACTGTCGAACACCAACAAATGCAAATAAGATTAGTTGATCCCGCCCACAATGTGACGTAAGCGGTTCAATATCTCATCGACAGATCCAAGATCTCACTCAGCGGTCAAACATCGATTTTTTAATATGGCCGCTCAGTAAAACATTGGAAATGTTAGACTTTTTTTTATAGATTTATATAGAAACCAATTTTTAAAGGTATAACAAATGATTTTATTGAAACAAAGTGGGAAAAACAAACTAACAACAAACGATCAAATACGAAAATGTCATTTTTTTCTAATATGTTTTAGGACCTGCTGAACAGTGCCAATGCTACAAGAAATATGGCCATGGAAAATATACCGCCAAGTGTTTATCCAGATCCAAACACAAACGGAAAATATGCAATGGTGAATAGAGTTCCAAGCAGACAACGGGATCCTTATGCAACAGGAAACGACTTAACAGAAAAAGAGTTTGGAAACGTAAAAGAAGGTGCCAAGCGTAGCTATTATGGCCAGAGTGATGAGGAATTAATTGGCAGACAGTTGGGTGCTTACAAGTTAGGAAACAAAGAAAGTGAGACGTGGTTTCAACAAAGACAACCCGAGAGCTACATAAATGAATACGAAGGCAGAGGGAATAGATTTCAAAATAGACAGCATGGTGCTTATATAGCCAATAGAATCCCAAAAGACGTCAGAATTCCAAGCAGACAAATGAATGAACCAAGAAATAATTATGAACATAACTGGAATGCAAGAGAACATCGGAGTACGAACATGTACGAAGATAGATATAATTCAAGAGAGGAAATGATTCCGAGGAAGAGGCAAGATGTTTATAAAAGTGAATATGAATACAGAGAAAATAGAGCTCAAAAAGTACAGAATTATAATAATAGAACAGAGTTTCTCATAAACAAGCAACAAGACAGACCAAGGGGATCAAGGGATGATTTAGAACATAGTGGAAGAAGATGGTATCCAGGCTATGAACAGTATGTAGCAGAGAATAACCTCTGGCACGTTCAATCTTCGGGATCCTCTAGATAGTCCATTCCCACAATTTTAAACTTCGGGTCCTCTTGATAGTCTTTTCACAGAGCTTTTGTTTGTAAATTGGATAGTAAGAGCCTCATGAGTTTGGTTCTTGACTAATTAAGTGGTCTTTTATTGCCTTATGTGCTCATTTTCTTCGAAATTATTGCTTGATTAATCTGCATTTGTGATACACTGATGCCCCCGTATGGCAGCTCATGACCAAGTTGAAAGTTTTTCATAAGTAGGTCAAACTCCAAGGTCAAGGACATAAGGTTAAAAAAAAACTGGTACCAAAGAAAATTTCTTATCACAAGAAATATATGTATGAAATGTGAAACCCGTTCAAAAATTATGACCAAAGCCACGGTAAAGATTTTTTAAAAGAAGGTCAAACTCCAAAGCAAAAGTCATGAGGTAAAAAATGCTAGTATCATGCAAAGAAAGGTCACAAAAATACATGTGAAATACAAAAGCCATAGAACCAACCATTCAGATGTTCCGGCCAAGGTAAAAGTTTTTTTTCCGGACAAAACAGATTAACTACAACAGACAGCTAGACAGACGGACAGACCAAAATCTATTAGCTGCAGAACTGTAGCTCTCTGCTTGAGAAAATTCGGACAGATAAAGCAGCTTTATTTGTCCGAATTTTCTCAAGCAGAGAGCTACAGTTCTGCAGCTTAAAAACTATATGCCCCAATTCACCAATTACGGGGCATAAAAATGGTATCCTATTTTCTTAAAAATAAAGGTTTCTATTTAACTTTATACTCCTTACAACAATAATAAAGTATGGGTAACAATAAATAAAAGCATGCCAATCAAGCATGTAGTTTCGGCGTTGTCGATGTATCAAGAATTCAAGGGACAAAATATCACATTTTGTTCCTTTATATAGAATTATGGATAAGTTCAGACCCTCAAGTAATATTATACATACTACATTTGATCAACGACTTTAAAGGTGCTTAGACACAGATTTGAAGTTAATATTTACTCAAATTTTCTATATAATTTCATGACTTTTATGTTGCTATAGCATTTCATATGAAAATTTGATAAAAATCTTATTTTATCTGGAAGTTATTGAAACTTCGAATTTCTAGACGCATTTGATAGACACATCCTTGCACTTTCATAAATTTTAACTTTATCCTTATTACTTTAGAAAACTAGCAATTTTGTTGTTTATTAATGAAAAATATTAAAACTATAATGCAGAAATTTCAGAGTAGAAATGTAGAAAGCAAAATCCTCTCACCAGTATTGTCAGTCCGTGCTCAGTGGTGTGTGCAGAGTATAACAATTGAACACACCCGGTGAAACGTAAACATTAACAACAACAGAGCTCGTGCCTTGTTTACAAGAACAGTTTACGTTTCACGGGTGTATTCAATTTGTTAAACTCTGTACACAATTACACAACACTAAGCACGGGCTGACGATACTTAAGTGAGTGGGTTTTGCTTTCGCACATTTTTACTCTGAATTTTCTGGATTATAGATATAATATTATTCATTAATACACAACAAAATTGCTATTTTTCTTAAGTATTAAGGATAAAGTTAAAAATCGTGAAAGTGCAAGGATGTGTTTGTTACGAATTACAGCTGTCTATGTTTAGCGGCGTAACATCGTGGGGCTCCTTAATCTGAATGTTGAACGAAAGACAACAGGATATAAATTGTTTTTATTATTTTATTAGATTTTATTCAAATAAATATACACAAAACTCTTCTGCAGTCTGCACCTGAAATAAAAACAAACCAACCACCCTTTCCACCAAATGTTAATTCTTAAACCACCCTTAAACAAACCCTTTAGTAAACATGAATAGACCTAATACCTTTAGGTCTTAGTTAATAAAAGATTGAATCAGTGATTTCTTCACTAACTGAGTATAAATATGAAATACCAGAGGTTATAGCAAACAACTATTTGTATAGGGACAAAAAGTTATGCTAATTTCTCAGTAAAATTCAATACAATGCACCATGCATTTGTTAATAATAATGTCAGGAGTTACCAACTTCAGGTCACTTCTTGTGCCTGAGTAAATAGTAACCAACAACGGTGAGTTCAGATCACTACTTGTGTCTGAAAGAAACTTGTAAAATGCATAAACAAATAAAGCAATCAAAAGTTGCTAACAAATATTCAGTGTTAGATTAGGTTAATAATAATTACCCATCTAAATTCTTCAGGACCATGCTCTGTGAGCGTCATTGTTGTTACAGTGGCAGAACCTTACTGTAGGTGAGACTGCAGACGTCTGTCTGTCAGAGCCCGCGGAGCTCGTGTTTATACCAGTTAGACCCTCTATGACGTCCCATGCATGACGATTTGGCGCCATGACTTCAAATCACTGGAAGACTTCGGGTGCAGTTAGTTTACTGTACTCATCCGAGGTGTTCCGAACGTACTTTACAGCTTTTACCGCTTAATTAGTTAATAGAAAACTGATGGGTAATTGTAAGGTTTTACCCAAATTATCAGTCACTGGACTTATTATTTATCCAAATTACTATAGGTAAGCATATTCAGCTTTATAATAATGTAGTTATTGAACCATTAATGGTGTATTTACATTGTGTGTTGAATTTCCCTAGTCACGTGGAGGAAATTCGGAATGAGATGTACACTATACGACATTTTCTTATTAAGATCTTGGCTTTAATTAATAATAACAATTACTAAATAAAAATGAAACATAAGTATATTTTCTTCATCCAATCATTCATCCACTCATTATTTTAATGACTCATTCCACAAGAAATAACTTGTCATTTGTTAACTTGTACACAACCATAGTGGAGAATGCCGAATTCGTAACATGTTAATCAAACGCCTCCCGAAATTCGTAGTTTCAATAATTTCCAGATTAAATAAGTTTTTAATTTTATATTCGTGTGAAATGCTATAGCAACATATAAGTTGTGATATCATACAGGAAATGTGAGGAAATATAAACTTCAAATCTGTGTCTATGCACCTTTAATTGATTTGATTTGCCTGGAAAGTGCCCGATATGTTGATGATCTAGAAGCATATAAAGTTGCCCTTTTTCTGCAATTTACGCAATTAGAGCCATTTTCATAAAGATTTTTATATTATTTTTTATAAAAATGTTAATTCCAACTTAAAACTTGGTTTTCCATATTAGAAGTTGGATTTTCCAACTTTAAAGTTGGTAATTTTTACTTTAATCTTGACTTTACTAACTTTAAAGATGATTATTCCAACTTTTAAATTGGTTATTCCAACGTTTAAGTCGGTAATTTCAACTTCAAGCTTTGCTTTTCCAACTTTAAAGTCGACTTCTTGACTTCTCCAACTCTAATCTTAGCTTTTCCAACTATAAAGTTGGTACATATAATTTCAGCTTAAATCAATTTTTTATCTTTTAAGTTAGTAATTCCAGCTTAAAAGTTGCTTTTACCAGCTTTAAATTTGGGAATTCCAACTCTAAGATGGATTTTCCAAGATGAAAGAAGGAATAATTTTCATTGTGTTTGCATGTACAGAATTAATACATTTAGTAAAGTTGTCTTTGTAATATGGAAAAAGTGATATCAAACACCTAATATGGTCTCATTTTAAACACCCATTCTCAACAATTTTTTGCATGTCTGATCTCTTAAATAGGTATGGTTGAAATGCTTTCTTTTTTGGAGTTGTATGAAGTTATCCCCCATAAAATTACTAGTGAAAGAGGGTGTTCCATAAAGTTCCATAAAGTTCGTGGAGAGTGACGAATGGCCCTTTGGTATACTTATTATATACCGAAATACAATTTGGTATTTGTTATGAAAATCCAAGGCAGAATTGTTTGGCTTTATTTGTTTGAACCTCATATTTTTTTTATATAAAAATCGCGCCGTCTTCAAAGGTCCAGGGTTAAAAATGCTATAAACTTTGAAGTAATTTTTTTTTTTTTTTTTTATAAATGGGCAAAGTTTAATAAAAAAAAAAAATCTAATGTGTCGCAAATAAAGCGGGTGTCGTCATTTTTTGTTATCTTTACTATCAATTATTGGACAGATAGTGAAATTATTAAGAAAAACCCCCCAGCAAGAATATGTTTCTGAAATTAACATAAAAAGCGGCATCGGATGGAACAGCTTCCAATTATAAAATTGTTTTATTATGGTTGGAACAACATCAGGGACAGAATAAACTGTCATTAATAGGAATATATTCGTTAAATGGTTTATAATTGGTATATACGATTTTTCAACGGTGTGTATAATTTAGGAAACGCTACAAGAAGTGGAAAACCACTGTTTGGTGAAAATTGGATATACCTATTCATGACGTTCTTCTAAATCTAACGCAACGTCGGACTTGAGCGTACAGCCTGTGTATACATGCACAAAGTGTTTAAATATGCTGATTATCGTGTATTGTTTTGAACTTTGAAAATTATTTATTCATTGAATTATGGTCTATATATAAAATTTATCGGCACACTTGGAATTAGCATAATAAATAAAAAATAGTGAGTAAAAGTTTTTAAATGATGTTTTGATATATTTCCATCAAAGAATATTGATATGTGCATGTTTCCATACAGAGAAGTTATAAAATACTGTCTATAAAATACTAGTTTATAAAATTTTATTCTCAAAGAAATATAATGATACTTAAGTATGATAATAGATATTTGTTATTGAATGAAACCTTCAGGGCGTGGACAGGGAATCATTTCAAGTCCCACTTTTCAGATTTGATTTGTAATTTTGTATTAAGGTTATAATTGGTCAGGATCTACAATGATGAAATTTAAAAGTCAAATCATTTGAAAATCTTTTACTTGTAAAATTGCAAGAAAACTTATAAAGGGTTAAAAGTGAAACACCCAACATTCAGAAAACTTGAAGGAATACTTCTTGATTTGGTCGTTAAATACAATTCGTTACCAGATAAAGATCTCTTTAAGAGGACTACCATGTTAACGATGTGGAACAACTTCACAAGAAACATAAATAATCGATATAAACACTATGTTCAGATTTTGGAGCAAGGAATTCAATTCGATATATTTAATATACTTCTTCAAAAAAAGAAACGCATAGTAGGAATAATACCCTGAAAAATGTAAGATAGTTTTGTGATACAATTTTTTAAAGATGGATATGATTCATTCGA